TTTATTGATAGCTCCACTGAACTTATAAGTTTAAGATAGATGTGTTTTAATAGTCAGCTGTAGTGCATGTGCAGGGCTATGAATACATAGTGCACATCCACCCGCAGCTAAGATATTTTTAGGGTCAGAACACACACACACACGTTGAACGCATAGAAAAATAACTATTTTTCTTTAATAACCTCAGTAAAACACACTTTCATCCAAATTTTGAGGGGGGGGAGGCCCTACCGCCTCTTGGTTACGGGCCTGGTGTGCATGTATTATGTGAGCTGTTTTCCTTGACTACCCTGATGGCACAAAAGATTGTCTGAATCAGCCGACTCCTGGGTTTTAAAAAACTGCAGAAGTTTGTAGCTATGAATTACCAATGCTTGGCCACCTTGCAAAAGATACTTGCTTCGAAATTAGGAGTTTTTACAGCCATTATTATTTACCTCAACTTGCTAATGGGTGGTAGAAAACACAGTTTTATACCTTGTGAAGCTCGGAAAAGTGTGAATGTTACTGCATACATTTTCATTATTATCAACCACTTTTCTGATTTTTATCAGTTACCTACAATTTGTGCAAAATGTTGCTTGTTTCTACAGGAAATTACACACTAAAAAAGACATTCTCTTGCAATGCAGTGGTGCCACACTTTATCTCTAAAGTGAGTAGATGTATTCTTTTGACAAAGACATAATGGCCACAACATGCTGAATTTCCCCACAAAATCAGTTGTTGGCTGAGTTTCACACTTGCTCAGAGCCACCATCTCTGTATACAGAGGATTTGCATGGTAGAGTAAGTTTGCCTACGAAAAAAAAGGTGTCATTACTCCTTTATCAGTAAGGTTAATTTGAGAGCAGCTTTCTTTTTTTGTTTTATTTAAGGTCACATTACATTTATATTGAAACTTTAATATTGAATAATGTATTTAGTAATCTGGTGTCTTGAAACTGTTGAAAATGTTATCGTCAAAATTTTTAAAACTTCTTCACAGGGTTACACTAATATGTTGAAACTTCACCCACTGTTGAACTAATGTTTCTTGCAAAAACATCTGCCTTGTTTGTGAGAAAGGTAGTGTAATTGTGGACTACCAAGCAAATTATGCTTTCAGTTGGGTTATCATTCACATGGTGATGTAGAATTGACGGAAAGTGATGCTTCACTTAACATGAATGTCAGGTAAGCTTTACTGAAGCAGTTAATCATGTGCTATACAGCTAACAGTAACATGTACTATCCATGCTATGCATGGTGCGTTTAGGAGCGTTTGGAAGTGAGCTTGTTGATAAGGATTCAGCTAAAAAACAGCGCTACATTATAAACGGACTAGGGAACACACAATGGTGGGCATGGTTGATTTCGTGCAAGCCATGGTGCAATCTTTTGCAATGTTACTTATATTCATCTACTACAAGTCACAAGTTGTAACATAATTTTTGTTTGTGTACTACACGGCTCACAAGCTTTGCTGTGGTCAAAGTGCTGAACCAGGCGGCTGTGCAGAAACCATAAATAATTGGGGTCCCTTAAGCTTCACCTTTAAGAGTTGAACACGATAGCGATATTTTATTCCTAGTGCGTACTTTGGAACACTTAGTGTATGAAATCTTTTCGAAGTTGCCATGCACCTACTGCGTGGCCTTAATGAGGAAATGGCGCGTGTACATTTTATAGTGGGTGACTGGCTTTAAACTATGAAGTCGTCATGATAATCACATGTTCTGACGCCCGATGACAATGTGTGCTTGTACCACACATTATTACGGCAGTATTTTACATAGTATTGTGAAGCACGTATACAGGACGTAGTTGTTTGTAAAGCATGAAAGTAACTTTTACTGCGTTTCCAAGCAGAGGAAGTTATTGTTACTGTATTCGGAAGCAGGTACGCGGCTGTGTAGTAGAACACCCACTTGCCACGCAAACGACCCAGGTTAGATCCCCGCTCAGACACATAGTTTTTTCAATATATATTTTGTTTGAATCTTTCTAGATTTCTTGGTCACGCAAAGATGATGATTTTTCCCTCATAACCAATGACGCTGACATCGACGCCGATGCCAGAATTTCTGCGGTAACGAGCTCTTTAATGCTTTCTTGTTGAAATGAGTAGGATGGCATGGACCACAGTGGTATGACACTGACCGTATGAAGACTAAATGATTGGCATGATAATGATGTTATGGTTACAATTGGATGATATTGAAATGGGCGCACCGAAATGACAAATGATTTACCATGATGACATGATCCCATTATTACGACAGTGTGGGAATGGGGACATCACTACAATTTAGAGATGACAGAGGATGGCATAACGAAAATAGCAACCATGATTACATCATATCACTGTACGAAAGTGGAATGACAACCATGGAGTGGTGACTACACGATTACGATAACCTCATGACGGCAGTATGACATGGATGGTGCGATGATGGCACGACGGCCAATGGAAGTGACAACCCATTGGCGATGCTGAAGTGAGGAAACAATGATCGCAGCATTGCAGAAATAGAGTGATCACTAAGTAGGGCAAGTGATGAAAAAGTTGGTGTAAAAAACCTCTAACTGGAGTATGGTAAAATTGTTGAAGAAACATGCAACTGGGATATGTTGTCATATAGTATGCAGAATTTCAGTGTCAATCGTAAGGCTTACACGTAATATTCGTTAATGCTCATGGCCCAGTTGGAGTTGATGATGGACACTACTTCGTAGTAAAGGACCGTTTCCAAACAATACCACATATGCTATGACAGATGTGAGCAGAAGCTGCTGTTTTTCAACAAAGTGTTGCATCAGATGTTTGTTCAATCATAAGCACATGGTGCTATGCTTGAAGTAGTTTGTATATATTGCCATAGTTCCACATTTGCGGAAGACGCGTGAACAATTTGCGCTCACAAAAGCCGCCACACAAGTGGCAAGAAAGCTGCACCATGAAATGCCGTCCTGCATGTGCCACGATGCTACGCCACGGGACCGGCACGAGACTTGAGGGGTGAAGAAGAAGAGACCGACGAAGTTCGAGACAGCGAGCAAGGGACATTTTGGCTGGCCATTTAGGTTTGAGTTCACAGGCACAGGTTCGCCCTGAATAAATAGTTTTTATAGTATCAGGTGCTATATTGATTGGTAACAATATTTTGTCTTGTCCATTACGCTACTGCCAGATTGCTGTAGTGGCAACACATTGCTGTTGATCACCAGGTCCCATATTTCACGCATGCCATAGCAAACATGAATAACAGTTTTCATTCTATGACTGGAAACACTCAATCTCACAATGCTACCATGAGGAACGGCATAGACAGGTAGATATGAGCAAACACGCTGCATTGACTCTTCAACCTGTCTCCGATGAATCTTGACGATGCAATTTGCACACATGGCATGCGGAAAGATGGTTTACAGGAACTGACAGGCCTAGTTATGTTGCTCAATTTCTGCATCTGCCTCAGGTTTTCTACAAGATAGGGTGCGCAGGCTACCTACACGCTTAGTTGCATAGAGTGCTAGAGGGACACCACATGACCAGGCTAACTATAAACTAAGAGGCACATGCTCAGCGATGTTCCTGCCTACTGTACTGTGCACATGCGCTTTATTATATTAGTAGACTTGATTGTGAGCTCTGTTCAAATCACATGGAATGGGGATTTGAACCTGCGTTCTATCTGTGGCAGTCGTGTTCTACCACTGAGCTACGCTGGTGCTTGAAACTTTATTGCAAGCTGACAGGTGTCATGAGCTAAAGAATCGCTTAACATGTGTAATAAGGCATTTTAGAACAGTAAGCGACAACCAGGCATTACAAAATGTGAATTATGTAACGAGTAGGTCATTGATTGCTCCAACCTATTACAAAAGCCTCAGACATAGTTCTTCAACATCGTCAGCCATAGCATAAACAAAAGGCCATGAAATGCCTGAAAAGTGTGTAGCAGGTACCCTACTTCTTCAGAGATCGATGAATAATGGCATTGTGGATGCTTCCCTTCTACATAAATGTTAAAATGATTTATGGCGAAGTGGGTACCATGCAAGTGTGTTTGTAGTCGCCCTAAAAGTGTGTAAAAAAAGATTCTAGAACGGCTGCTTGTCCAGCATTAGCTGTGACTGTGCTACACATTCCACGCAGGCCTGGTGTGTTTTCTTTTTTTTTTCTCAGCTTAGTTTAGCATTCATTTTGAACCTCATTTTAAATCCTAAGCCAAAATAAAGTTACACTTGTTTAACATTTGGTTTGAACCTTCCTTTAAATCATAAGCCCAAGGACAGCTACGTCATTGATTTCGCTACCAGATTAAGTAGGAAATGTGAGAATGTTTTTTTGTGAGTGGTTGCACACTCTTTAACACTTCTATAATTTTAGACTTTTATTATGTAATCACGCAGGTGTTGTCGCAAAGATTAAGTTTATATTTCTCTAGTGAAGCAAGTACGATTTTTTATCTCCGATTTTTATCTGACTGTTAAGTGACTCAACACATGTTTAGTTGGCAAAGTAGCAATAGTGCCGGATAGCATGAACACAGCCTTATCAACTGTAGATGTCAGCTGTGTAGGTCACAAGGACTAAGGCAAGGTGTAATTCTTAATGAGGGATGAGGAGAGTATATGTAAGTACTCTTAAAGCCTCTATGCTGCAGTGGAACATATCCAGTAGCCAAGGCGGTTATTGTCTTGGCAGGATAGCAGAGCACCCGTACCTTCAAAATAAAAGCAAAAAACAGTCAAACTTCGACTCAGAAAAAGAAAGTAAATAAAAATAAAGCTGTGCCCCTTGCACATTGCTAATTGCACACTGTGGGAGCAGTGATCGAGATATGTTGCAGTCAGGCTTTAATGTACTTCAGCAATGTGTTAACAACCGTTATAGATCAGCAGTTGTGTAATAATGAACGCATGTTTGGAAGCGTTTAAATAAAGGTGTACAGTGGTATTTTAAGCTTGCACATCTACGCTCATGATAGACCGACACCATTTCTCTCTTGCAGTTCCTAGCACGTGTGCATCAGGACAGTTCCAGTGTGCGCTATCCAGACGATGCATTCCCAAGGGCTTTGTCTGTGACCGAGAGTCAGATTGTGGCTTCACAGATGACCTCGTCCCAGACACATCTGATGAAGATGCGCGGCGCTGTGAGTTCTAATTGTTTTGCGAGGTTGAGACAAGCTAGCTCAGGATCATTGCTGAACATATCCATAGTGAGCTTAGCTGGATATATTTTAGTTAAATTTGTGTTTACCTTTTTTTTACCTTTGTTTTTATGTCTATAAGCTTCACACTGCCAGGACTCTAACTAACATACAAGTTTTTGCACCTTCATGGTAATATCCTAGAATTTGGTGGTGCCGATGAGGATAACCTTCTGTGAAATTCATTTTTTTTTTTGTATATCTGGCAGATCTGCTGAAAGCTACGTCTGTTGTCTTTGGCTGATTAATTGATCATCAGGCACACTTCACATTAGACAAGGCTGTAATTGAATAACCAAAGAAGTGAAGCTTGCTAGTGAGCTTACTGTTTTTTAGGAATATTTCAACAAAGTTTTGAATGTTCCTGTACGTTAGGACATATTTTATAAAAACATCTCACGTTTAGTTTTATTTTACTATCACTTTGAGAGAAGCAGGACGGATGTGGCACCTTGGCATAGTACTTTAATGCACACACACTAAACTGGGAGGTAAGTGGTATAAATATAGTCAGCCCACAAGTTGATAAATCTGGATAGAGGTGTGATAATATACTAGTTCATTTTTTTTTTCATCTCATCTGAAATACACTCTTATGTACTATCTGCTGCAAATGTGAACCCATCTGAATGTTCTCTCAGAATATATATATATATATATATATATATATATATATATATATATAGACAAATATAGACCTTATTTTATATTCATGAACTCAAGAAACAGAGTTAAATAAGTACTGCTCAACGTGTCACTGTTTATGAACGTGCAGTTTTTAATTGTCCCGCTTGCTTTAGCTATTTGTTGCGATCTTAAGTTCAAATGCTTTCCTGGCTCTACGATAAAGCTCTGTAAGGCCAAATCTGGCACACATAATTATTGCAAGTAATGAATAGCTAGTGTGTAGGTGGTTCACAGTATTAATATGTGTAAAGAAGTCTTAAGTAAACGTGCCCACGATGTTGAAGATTTTTATGTTTTTCTAATGAAAATTGAACACGTGATATGTGCCACAATTTTTTACCCTTCCTTAACTGATTTGTGCGGCAGCATTGTGGTAGCATTCTGCTTGTAATTTTTACACAAATAGAAAATATTGACATCTTCGAGACTGATATCAGTACTATACGAGAATTTGACATATTGTTTCACACACACCATAACCAGGTGGGAAAGTACCAAGATTTATGTCTAGTAGAAATGCATACATGTGCAAATTGACATTACCTAATAGATGGAAGTGGAAAGGTACAATGCATACATGTGCAAATTGACATTACCTAATAGATGGAAGTGGAAAGGTACAAGATAAAGGCAAAATGAGGGTGCACTGAAGGTTGCTGTTGTATGCCTCTGTTTCATTTTTCCATTATGGTAAAAATTTTACATTCAGAGTACTGGAAGAAAAAGCATTTTTTGAAAAGTAGCCCCTGTTCAAATGCACTGCATTATGGATGCAGCCTGCCAACCTTTTATGGTCATACAGTGAAGCTTCGTTATCTCATTGTGCGACCAGGTCACCTAGGAAACAGCTGCCCGCAAAACTACTTTCGGTGCCACGATGGCATAACGTGCCGTCGAATAGCTGTGCTCTGCGATGGTCACAATGACTGCCCAGATTTCTCTGACGAGGGCCCTTTTTGCTGTGAGTAACCTTTCTTACGATTACATCGACTGTATGTTTTTGTGTTTATGTCAATTTGCTGTTGCTTCTTTTTTTTAATAATGTGATCCATTTTTTACGCTGAAGCACTTGTACAGGTGCAATGAACGAACCACTTGTACGCAGCATGTGTGCAGTTGATAACGTGATTTATAACAAGCATTTTTTATAAACACGTGAGCGGCCTGAAAGTCGAAACAACAGTGGCACACTCTCAAGCCGTGACGTAACGAATCGCTTGTTTTGCAAACGTTTCTATTCCAGCCAACGATGGTGTTTCACGGTCAGCTGCTCTTGCACTGGAGCTGTTATAGCTTTCTTCAGTTCGCATAGAAAATTGAGCAATTTGCAGCCGCTAAAACTTAGATAGAAGACGACAGCTCCGCTCCAGGAAAACCGTTACGTCAGACACGCCATGGCAAAATGGTGGTAGCTGCCGGTAGACCGGGTTTGTAACCAGCAACTTCTAGGGCTCACTTTGCAATTAAATATTCTATTACAGTTCCTTGTTTTTATATACGCAATGGCACAACAGACCCTCGTTTTCATTTTTCGCTGAAAACTTCAATTTGGTGGGTGACCGTGTCATGGCCCCTTTAACCTCATTTAAACGAGGTCATATATAACAGAATATATTTGTATGTCTAATTTTCATTCTAAGCAATATTTTGCTATACACTCCTATTGATGGGAGATGTGTTGAATTATTTACTTTGTATTATTAAATATTTTGTCTGAATGCTATACAGTATAGACTAATTAATACAAGCTTCATTAATTTGAACCCACAGTTAATTTCAACTGACACCCTGGTCCCAACACAGCGCTGCATATTTCTATGGGAGAAAACTACCTGATAATTCGAACAGGTCGGTATCCATGACGGTTCATTCGAATTGGGAGCCCCCGGTTTTTGTCACTACGCAAACGTCGGCCCTGAGGGATCACAATATATTGCAAAATCAAACCAAACTAAGTCTATTAGAGATGCAAAACAATGAGACAGCAACATTTTTCAGCAGATGAGATTTTGGATGCTGTGCTGGAGCTTTTGGGCAAGCTACAAACGATGCTCATGGGGTCGCAACGAAAGAAACACAAGCAAATAAAAATTACTTATTGTTGTTGAATTAACCTTATTCTGGTCCACAGAACATGCCGGCGAGATCCCGATTACTTTTGATTTGGTTTTGTTTGCAAAATAAGCATATTTTGGAGCATAAATAGAGTCATATATTTAGACATTAGGGCTTACTGCTCACATGAATGCGTGCCGTTGTTTGTTTCTGGTGTATCAGTGACTGATGAGTCAATTCTGTTGCTGTTAAAGCTCCATGAATTTTATCAACCAAGACACCTGCCATAAATGTTTAGTGCCACCAAGTTTGGAATTATGAGTCCAGAGGTGGCTTCTTTGAGTTCTGCCCAAATAGTGTGGCACAGTGTTTGTACATTTTAGCGCTCACCCACTAACTTGAACTCCGTTTAATTCGAACAATTTTATAGTCCCCCTCGAGTTTGAATGAACGAGCTTTTACTTTATTAAGCTATGACTGTACTCTTATTACTCTTAGTTACCCGTAAATGGGTGTGTACGGTATGCGAGACTGTTGTAGGGGAGGATATTAATGTGGAGGTATCATTTTCTGATGAAGTCAATTTCCACGCTTGTGGACAAAACTTGCTTGGTGCAGTCTCCACAAATCTGAACTGCTTGTTTTAGGGGGCTATACAATAGCAAAGGTGTTCATTTTACTTCGGTACAATGGTGTTACCCTCTATTGCCATTAGCATTATTATAGTGGCTTTCACACAGATTACAGGAACTTGTGGTTTATGGTACGCTGAAAAGTCATGTTTGCTTGCTTATAGCACTGCTGGAAAAACGTCTGTGAGTGCTGAAGTGACTATAATGCATGCAGTGACGAAAACGTACATTGAAGTCAAATTGGTTTCTGTGAATTTATTTTCCTTGGATCAGTTTCATTATTGAAAGCTCTAGCATGCTGGAAGAACGTAATGATTAAAGAAGGTGAGGTTTGAGATATTTCTCTTCTGTCTATTGAACACTGCAGCAGAGACAGCTCAATGTGCCAATGCATCTTGTGATCATGGTTGCAAGCCGGGACCCCAGGGTCCTGTCTGCTTCTGCAAGAAAGGCATGGAGCCCCATCATGAGATGCCTTCCCTTTGTGTTGACGCCGACCCTTGCAGTGTTCCTGGCACCTGTGACCAGGTAATATTTTAAATTCCCCAATTGCATTGGCTGCCTTCTCTGCAAGTATTGTCGTCATTCACTACATTTCTCTGCAGAGGCAAAGCTTTTTCCTGGTTATTTCACAAATTCACAGCGGGGATGCGAGAAATTCAAACAGCCACAGATCTGTGGGAAATATCAGTCGAGCCATGACAAAAGCTTCAATCCTTTATTGAGCCCTTATGTATATTTATCTGCTTTTTAGCATAATAAACCATGAATTTATTCTGGTTAACTTCTCTTCATGTGTCTTTTAGTAGTACTCCATTGGAGACTCTCCAGTTTAGGGTAGATTTACTTGACCTATATACAGCTAGAAGCCATTTTTCTCATCACTAACCATAAACAACATTTGAATTCTGCATCATGCAGATGTTTTGTACATGCACATTGTGGTCAGTTCAAAGCATGTCGCTGGAGTATACACACATTATGGGATTTCATACCTCTGAAGACATATGTTTTTAAGGGGCTCTTACACCCACCTGCTGTAAAAAAAGTATGTTTTGTAATTATAGTTAGTATTTAAAATAAATTGCTGTATTTACTTATTTACATGAGCACTGCCTAATGCGGGCTGTAAGTCGTTATAACAGCAGCATTGCATTCATTCATTCTCAGTCTGTTGATTGAATTGCATACCAGTTCTTTTTTATCAACCATTGAAGGCATTACTATAGCGAATAGAACCCAATCAAAAATGCTGGTATGTTGGCCTGATTGACTGCCTTTTTTTTTTCTGCAAGTATAGCAATGATTAGAAATGGCTATAGAGGAGGGTGTGTTGCTAAATTGAAAAATTATGCTCTTATCTGAGTTGTATGGATGTTTTGTCTACTTTTATTAGAACTGCACAAGTGGACCTAAGGGCTCACACAACTGCAGCTGCATTGAAGGCTACAGGACAGTTGGAAGTCAATGTTTTGGCATCAATGGTGTGTAAATGTTCGTTTTGGTTTCTCGTGTTTATAGAGTCTAATACAGTCGTAGTTTTGTAGAACACTGCCTCTTGATCAGTGTGGACAACTGCACTATGGTAACTCTTCTCTATAATATAAGATATTGAGATTGGTTTTACTTCACAGATATCCCTGTCCTAAACTTTCGAACTTCCAAGTTGATTGTGAAGAACTTCCGGTGCATTCTTCCTCAGTCAATGTGACTGTTAAATACAGTCGAACGCCGCTACAAGAAAACTCACGGGGTGCGGAAAATATTTCGTTGAAGGGAGAATTTCGTTGTAGTGAAATTGAAAAAATATAGCTGATCTGAGCTAGGAACAAAGGAATGTTTATTCTTAAAAAAAAGTGTCCGCTGCTTCCTATTCTCTTCCAGCAGCATCACGACGCGATTCACAGTCATGCATAGCGAGGCCACGGTGAAAACCACGCTGAAACAACGCCTACAGCTGCTTTCGTGAACGTACCAAACAGTTGCATTGACACGTTAACACCAGCAGCTGTCCTCCGTCAAAGTGTATCCGACAATGCCGAGATGGAGGCAGGGTATCGTGGAGCAGAGACTTTTGCCTTATTCTATGCCATTCTTATCATCCAAATCTCGCTGCTGGCTGATTTGGTTGGCAATGCGGACGAACAGCCGCTCTGATTAGGTACCACACTGGCAAAGCGCGAATAAAATGATAAGCATTGGAATTGTGAAAGGCATCGCTCCACGGTTGCGCGTAGCAGCTGCATGAAGGAAACCATGAACTGAGTGACTGAGCTTCAGCTACAGATCGTCTGCGCCTCGAAAGCAAGCCAATGGCAAAAGCAGGGCAGTCACGGCCAGTCAGGGAAGTCTCATTGCCATCGCTATCTAGCAATGGCGACGCCCATGCTTGCTGAACCGTGGCGGTTTCTGGTAGTGCCAACGCGTGTTTTAGATTTTGTCGACGTATTTTCAGGTTCTGAAAATGCATCAAAGTGTTAAAGATTGGGTTTCTTGTATAGCAATAAATATCTGAGCCTGGAATTGCATAGTGAAATTTCGTTGAAGCGTGATGGCTGAAGAAAAAGTGTTCGTTGTGGCGACAATAATAATGCATTGACTTGTATGGACTGCTGACAAGAAACCGTGAACTTTTTGTTGTAATGGAAATTTTCTTAAAGTGGCGTTCGTTGTAGCGGGGTTCGACTGTAATGAAGAAAAAAAAAGCTAGGTTATGTGTGCACTTTATGTTTTGTTCCTGGATGAAAAGGCTGTTAGTGAAATATAACTATAGCTGTTGTAACAAAAAAAAAAGTGCCGCCATATCCACGAAGTGAATGATGATGAGTGGGCGAAGCTCTGGAGGAAAACCTGGTAAACCATGAATCTTCCGTACCTTTTGCCCACTCGATTTTATTACGATGCTCCCCCTAGCGTACGTCGCCGCACTAAATCGAACGATTGCCTTTCACCAATGATGACACGTGCCGTATGTGACATTATTTCTATTTTATAACATCTCGCATCTTTCATCATCAACTACAAGTACCGCCGTCTAGTTTATAACATCTTGCATCTCTTCATCATCAGCTACAAGTCCCGCCATCTAGTGAACACTGAAAGAACTAAATGAGAGGTGGCTACATGCAGGAGACGGTGCCGCCATCTAGTGAACACTGCAAGAACTAAACGAGAGGAGGCGACATACAGGAGACGGTACCGCCATCTAGTGGACACTGCAAGAACTAAACGAGAGGTGGCTACATACAGGGGACGCACAGCCCACGCCTTAAGGAGCTTCGCCCCTAAAAACCCCCCTTTCTTAATATATACCTAACTTAAATTATAGCTGTAACAAAAAAAACCCCTTTCTTAATATAGACCTAACTTAAACACTGTTAAGAAAGGAATGTGAAAGGTAGCATAGCATGCATCGTTTCTGGCCTTTGGCTGAATGACTGGAAAGGAGTTGTGAACACAGTTTTCACAGTTTGTTTCTAGTGAGCAAAGTGAAGCAGTATTGGCCTGAAGTAGTAGCAATAGGGTACATGATGTTGTAGACGGGCCATGAATGAATTAGCAAGGTTCTGTTGTTTTCTTCTTTCTTCTCTGCACCCATTTGTGTTTTCCCTCCTTTCAGTCCCAGAGGATGAAGAGGCCACACTTCTTTTTGCCAATTCTATAAACATTCAACACATTCGCCTGGACGGTTCTCCTGTTGCCGGCAACAGCAGCATCGCTCCAGTGAAAGAAAGCCTTGCCATGGATTTTAACCACGTGAATAGGACTGTGTGCTGGGTATAGCAAGTTTTATTTTAGCATGGAAATAAGAGAAATATAATTCGTCATAGTATTATTCTACAGTTCTGTTTTAATTTTAGTTTTGTCCAAAAATGTCCCATCACGAAGCTGAATATGCTGCTCTAGCATTTAGCCCAGGTGCTGTGATACTGAGTGCTTTAACTGAGATCGCACTTTTTATGAAATTGCACTCACAGTAAAAAGAAAAAAAAAGTGTTTTAGCCAGTTTCTTTATTACTTTTTATATTGTACGGTAAATATGTTCTTCTATATGTGAATCCTATAGTATAAGTTTATGGCAAATTTGTGCATAATGAAAAGCCTATATACTGATATTCTAGCATTTTTTGAACATGCATACTGTCGGTATTGATTTAAATGTGGACTTTCAAAACCACGCTAATGCATCAGTCTCAGTCACTTAATTCAATTTCTGAAACACACACCTGGGATTACACCATCTTTAGACCTCAGCATAATTTTTTTGTTATGTGCATTCTGGTCACTTATATCGAGTTTGCATTTAAAGTTGTGCGGACAGTTCTTACAAATGCTTGATTATTTCTTGCATTGTTACCTCACGCATTGCACACCTAATACGTGTGTTAGGTGCAAGTCTACTTCTGCAATGCCCACTCAAGTATGTGTGCACCATGCCACTTCTAGCTTTGACAGAGTATTGTAAAAAGTTAATGGTTAAGGAATACTAGTGATAGCATTAATCAGTGCATTAAAGAAAAAGAGGGCTTGGGAAGCTTAAGAGGTGCTTTTTGATTTTGTCGAGAAATCTTAAGTGGGTCAATACCAAAGCAGAGCATTGTTTTCTGAAATAAAAATTTGAAAATAATGTTTTTTTTTCTTTTGTCTTTTGAAACTACCTATAAAACACTTTTGCAGGATTCTTAAATGCAGCAGTAGCTCCTAATTAGGGAGGTCAGTGATTCCACTCTTGTGTCAATTGTGCCAAAGTGTGGCAAGTTGAATTTATTGCTCTATCCTGATATAAGACCAGCCTAACTGCACCAAACTGTGACAGAGTTTGCTTCAATGTCTTAATACTTTGTGCCGAACTGCACTAGAGCACGAAGGCACTGTTTTGTGTAGCGACATTTGTCGACCAGTTCTGCGGATAACTAAGTGTTATGTCGTGGTTTTTGTGGTTCAGTGTTATTTCATAAAGTACAATTATCAGTATTCAGCATTTCGTTTATTCAGTAGTTTCTGAAAAAAAAAAAAAATCACTGAAGAGGTTATTCAAGAACACCGGAGTGCATGCATCTTTATTCTTGCATTATCGAGTGTAATATGAAGAGTTTTCTAGATGATTTTCACTATGAGATTTCCAATGAAACGAAATATTTTTAGTTCTTCATAACAGCCCCATAATAATTCAGACACTTGAATGTAAGTGCAACAGTGCACTGCAGGATCTGAAATTAGCTGCTTCATAGGGCTTGAAGTTGCAAAATTAGCTGCTCCAAGTTGCTCCGAGGGAGACTTTTGCTGCTCCAAAGTACTCGAAAACAAAAGTTTTGCTGCTCTGAAAATTGGTACAAATAAAGAGTGCTCAATGGCATCACTGTGAAAATGCATTTTGAGATGAAATAACGTATTGATTATGCCATGTATTGCAAAAATGCTGGCAGTTCCCACTAAGTCGCGCAAAGCTTGGCACAGCGAAGCACGGGTCCATAACAGCTTGTACTCCCTGTCGACCGATGTGTCGATAAGAGTAGACCGCCACGAGATGCGTGGCTTCCTTCTTGGGAGTACGCGCTGTCTTAGGATGCCCCATCACTCTCTGGACACGATCAGGTGTAGCCAGGCTATGCATTATAGAATGGAGGTTACACACAATTTCTCCTTTGATGGGCGTGGCTTAGCTCTGTGTATGTGCGGCTTAGCCTGGCAGTGCGAAATCTGGTAACTAGACGACACGATACTTGCTTCCCCTTCCTTTATTTTCCTTTCTCCCTATACTTTCTCTCTCTTTTTCGGTGATGTTCTTCCTGTGTCTCCTCGTTTCTCTTTCTCATACTTTGCCAACCTTTACTCTCTCCTTATCGTTTTCCTTCTCCTCACCATCACAATTGTCCTTTTCACGCTCACTTCTTTTGCTACACTGCACTATGCAAGGCAATGCTGTTCTGTTAGCGTTCCTGAATAGCCGAGTGGTTAGAACGGTTTGCATTGGTATTGGAGGTATGCAAGTTGAAATCCCGCCACTAAAAAAAAAGTTTTTTCTTTTGAAAATCTTTCTCCTTTATAACTTTCTTTCTCTTTCTCCCTGTACGCATTCTCTCACCCATCTGGGTTGCCATAGCAGTGAGCTATGGGACTTGCCCAGATTTTCTGGCTTATACCCTTCATGATGACAACAGTTTTTGGGCATGGTCACACTTTGTCAAACCAGAACAGCTTCACTTTTAAAAAATATTTTGTGGTCCAATGCATTTCATAGTGAAGTTGTTTTACGTGAACTTCATTATTTGAGCTCATGTGAATATTTTTCCTGCCTCGGATGCTCACCCCAAGATTTCTTTTGTGTGCTATGCAGATTAACCATGAAGGAAACGAGACGGCCCTTCAGTGTGCTCTTGTCTCTCAGCTGGACGTGCGGTGGGACTTGAAGCTGAACGACTCTTTTTCGTTGACTAGTAAGTAGTGATTTATTCTGACGGTCAAACGACCTGTTTATATTTACAGTGTGTAGTGGCAACAGGGCTTTATTTTCTCATTAGGCACTCCCAGAAAAAGGGATCATTATTTAGCTTATATAAAATGCTTTGGGAGCTTGGTTAACCTCCCCGCCTTTCCTCTCCATTTTTCTGTGCTGGCATTGGGCCGATTCCATTGCATTATCATGTAGCATTCTGACCTCTCCTGTGAAAAAAGATTGTGTTTCTTGACACTCTCTAAAGGCGGCTCATGATGAATTCGTGCTTTAGTAGGTACTTCTATAAGCCATCTAAACGTTTGCCAAGTGGGCAGATAAAAAAATCTGACTGTTCAGTACCATCTGTCTCAGCATTAGCTGCAAAAGCTTGTAAAACTCTTGCTTGATTTTTGCAAAGGATTCATACGGTGTGCTTGCATCTGTCATCATGACAATGTCCAGCCTAATATATTGTTTCTTCTAACTTTCTGGGGTCTGATAACATTACCTAGAAGAGGATAAGTTGCACAGTTTCTAAACAAGGCGATGATAGGGCTTGTATAGATGCTGCATCTGGCTGTGAGAAAAATTGCCAAATAAATGTGTAAATTTCAGTGTCCATAAATTTTCCCGCCAGACATTAGAAAACTCATTCTTGTGATTTGTGATAGCTGAAACATTTGAACATGCATTCCCCTATTTTGGGATAAATCAGTGGGCTATATATTTCTCCTTTTTCCTTTTTTTTAGCTGTCAATCAAATGGCGCTAGACTGGGTATCCGGCAACTGGTACTTCCTGGACGATGTGCGGGAGACCATATTCTTTGCAATGCCTCTCTTTCTGTGTGCGTCACAGTGATTGACGTTGGACTGAGCAAACCCCGTGGCATTGCCCTGGACCCTTACAAAGGGTCAGTCTTTGCTTCTTTTTCCCTCTTTATTATTCACCTTCCTGTTTGGGAAGTTGCCCTTCGTCTGCGAAATGCAGTCCCGGTAGCTGGTTTATACTTCAATCTCTAGCACTTTTTCTCAACTAATGTGAATGCTGCGCACATTAAGGGTTAAAGCTTTTCCTTGACGACATAAACCTTATGTTTGGCTGAGTGGCGATGTCGGAATACATGACTGGCTAGGATGTTAAAGTTTGCTACCTAAAATCAGCAATACCAACGTGTGTCTGTACGGAAAAGTCGGCCATCTGAAATTTTCAAGAGGTGCTTAATGTCATAAGCATGAGTAAGCACTACTATTGGATGGAGCACTTATGCACATCACTTTGGGGGAAAGACAGTGGTGGCTGTAGGTGAAACTGAAATTTTTTCTTACGTTGTCACCAGCGGTATGATAGCATTTGCTTATTGAATGGGTGCAGAAGTTGAAAAAAAAAAATCTGGGAAATTGAGCAAGACTTGAGTAACATTGCATTAAATTTAGGGGAACTTGACCCACGTGCACTGTCACGACAAACTAGTCGAAGAGCTGAAAACAGAATGATTGCAAATGCAGTTTAACATTATTGTTGTTTTTAAGTTCTCGGCGCCTCTCGCGATCCTTGATTTCAGGTTCATGTTTGTCACGGAGTGGGGCAGTGCAGCGCCGGTGTTGGAGCGTGCTCACCTAGATGGAACTGAGCGTACCAAGCTTGTGGAGCAGAAGATTGTCTATCCTTTTGGCATTGCCGTTGACCTGCCCAGGGAAGAGGTCTATTGGGTCGACACCTACCTCGACATGGTGGAACGCATCAGCTACGATGGTTCGAGGCGCACCACTGTTTTCCGCGGGGCTCCCGTGAGTTGTTTTGTCTTTTCTTGTTGGTGAGTGCTGATTGTAAACCTGTCACTTGGATTGCGTCTGTTGTCTTAATAATGCCGTCCTCGCTGGCATAACCAAACAGATTTGTGTTTCCCGTAACTGTTCCGATAGTTTTCTATACATATCGCTGGCTTTTCTTCTATGTAAAAGAAGTCTGCATTGATTGTCCTTTTTTTCATTTTCTACATGTATGGGGGCTGTCCGAAATTTCCAGGCCACTATCCCAAGTGCTCATATGGTAGCGTGGCCTTGTAACTTTTGAACGCCACTGTATGCAATTACCATTTGAGCCAGGCCCAGTAGGCACTGCGCTGTAGTTGACCCTGTGTGCAGAACACAGCTTACATTAACTGTGATCAAATTTGTGGAATGCACCATATATTGTGAAATTTCCATCTCATTCCTAATCATACAGTTTTTTTGAAGTTTGACTTTTTGCATGAGCTGTTTCATTTCCTTGCTATGAGAAGAAAGCCTTTCGGGTGTTCTAAGAACAGTTAATGCGATACAACCCTGCTGTCTTTGAGTTGCTATGCACCTATGCTTCCCTCTTCAGGCAGTCATTAAACAGCTTTTCTGTGGAAAGACCCTCGTGCAGACTGTACTTCTTGTTGCAGATGCGCAACCTGTATGGCATCACGGTGTTTGAAAACTACCTGTACGTGACAAGTTGGCACAGCAATTCCGTGGTGGTTGTGCACAAGTACAACCAGAGTGACATCCGCACTGTGAAAGCCAACCTGACAAGGCCATTCTCCATTCACGTTTACCATCGTCAACGGAAACCCTTCGTGAGTGCTCATCTGGCATCGGACAGTGAAAGCGCACATTTTAAAGTGAGACAGCTGTGCTTATACGGTGAAATCTTGACACAATGAACCTCAAGGGACTGCTAAAAGTCTCATTATTTTGAGACGTCATTGTAGTGAAAGTATTAAAAATATGCGAAAAAATTGTAAACCTAAACACGTGAGTTGCCTACCTGTGCTGTGTATACATTCGCGATCGCGTTACGCTCGAATCAGCTCGAAGAAACAAACATGATGTATTACGGAACCAGTGCACAATAATTTGAGGAAGAGCGTGATCTATCCTGATGTGGGCAGCTCGACTATTGAAAGATGCACTCTTAAGCATGTGCTTGTTTTTATGCACTGGGAAGCATCAGCGCCAAATACAGCCGATTCTTCACGTTGGTTTGTGCGCGCCGTTTCAACATGGTCTTTGCTCTTGTCGCCACTTTGTTATCACGACAAATGGTATAGATCTTATTGGTCAACAGCTAATCTCACGCTCATGCTTTGTCGTCGCATTGCGTGTAGAGTTCAAGGGTTAGTGAAGCGAGCATTGGTAATCATTGGCGACTTCATCCCATACATCACTCGGGTCGCAATTTTCACTGTAGTAGCATTCCTTTCATGCTGCTTCTGGAGCTCGTCTTGAACGTCCTATCACCAAACAAAAGGCTAAAAAATAGCCATGTAACAAGCATGCAGATCAAGCTGCCTGATGAAAACAAAGGCAACGAGGTGAAGCCTGACGCGAAAAAAAGTACCAGGCGATGATAGGGCTATTGTGTATTTGAATAGTGCCGGCAAATAGAGAAATACGCGGGCGTTCTGATGATGATGATAATAGTGGCAGGTACGGTGCTGGGCATTATTTTCACAGCCATGAAAATAATGTAACTTTTTCAAAAATAAGTAACTTTTTCAAATCACTAGCCATTATTTTGAAGTGTTGTAGAGATTTAAGGGGGACAAAATTTGGTACATTATTCTGAAACATTTGGTATTCTCAAATTCGCAGTAGTGAAATATTTTTACATTAAACCAATGGACATTTTAAGGGGGATTTTGGGAAAAGTCGTTAATCTGAAAAAATCGTTATACGGAGGTTTGCTATAATGAGATTTGACTGTATTAAAATAATTGCCCTGCAGAGTTAATACTTGTAAGCTGAGAGTTCTATACTTGTCTTAAATGCTGAATAGCCATCCTTCAAAACAAAAAGCTTAGGTTTTTTATTTGTGTGTGTGTGTGTGTGTGTGCGTGCGTGCGCGCGTGTGTGTGCGTGCGTGCGTGTGTGTGTGTGTGTGTGCACGCGCGAAAAAACTGAGTGCCAGGAAAATGTCCTCGTTGCACCGTTAGAAACTAATAACTTTAATGAGAAACAAGTGTTAAAAATTTCTTGTATTTGTAGCATAGCTAGCTAATGCTCCTGCAGCGTTGACAGGGGGTAGCCAAGTATATTCTTAATTTGAAGATATTTGCGTGCTTTTAAATTTGGCAGCTTGTTTGCAGTATTTAGGTAACATATTTTATTGGCTAAAAATGCGGGTGGTATCGGAAAACCAGCCTTCATTCAGAGCTTTTCATTGATTGTGTACTTAATATTTCATTGTTGAAGATTTTGCCAGCATAAGAGTTTTTATTTTATTATACTCAGACTAAGTAGTATTGTTATTGTGCTATATATACTCTTCCTTCATTTTTTCTTGTTAATGTGCATTGGTATGTGTTACCAGGTGTTACGTGAGAACATAAACCTATTGAGGGGGCCCCTTTATTTTAAGACATACTTTTCTTGGCTTCATACGGTCATGTTCCTGCCGCCGTTATACAGCTAACGTAACAACATACAATGTTTCTTTCTGGGCAGGTGAGCACCCTTGCAGCCAAAACAATGGAAACTGTGAGCACCTGTGCATACCATCAACCATAAAGGGGACGCTGACAGCTCAGTGTATTTGCCGGCCTGGTTTTCGTCTTGCAGATCAGGGACGTTGCATTGGTAAGCACCACCACCCAAGGACACATGTTTTTTGCCAAAGTTCCAGTCGATTGGGCGTGTGGTTACTGCCACAGCCTACTTGACCAGGCAATAGGGACAGTTTTTTATGCCATGCCATACAATGCATTAGATGCAATTCTTGGGCAGTCGTTTCTATTCTTCACAGATATTTAAGCTGTACGATTTCGGTTTTGACCAGAGGAATTCGAGACATCATTAATGTTATGTGCAACTATATACACATTTTTTTCTATTGGTTTGGAGCAAAAAAAAGACCAGGGCATTTGTGTGTGACTTTTGTAGTTTATAGACAAACAGTTGGCCTATTGCATATTGGTAAAAAAAAAAAAAGATCAATGCTAGGGCATCAGGGGCTTGCCTCAACGCCGCCTCATGGGCGTGCTGGGTCGCCCAGGTTTGGTCGTCAAGAGCGGGTCTCCGCAGAGCCTCACGGAGCTTCGACGAAAGGGTCATGGCGTAAGTGTGTCTGTAATGTGCCGGGCACTTCCACAGCATATGCGGAAGCATAGCCGGGTGAGTGCCACAGCACCGTCAGTGGGAGGTTGTGTACACGTCCGGGAAAATGAGGTGAAGGTGGGCAGGCGAGGGATACGTGTTTGTTCGAAGTAGACACAAAATGGTGGCCTGTGCCCGGCCACCTAAACCTGCTGGTTTCTTACAATAAAGTTTATTTCTCCTCCAAATGCTAGGGCATGTGCAAATTTCATGCTGCAGTTTTTATTTGCCTTAGAATGATCACATTCTCATGCAAAATCTCCTACTGCACTCCAGACTAGTCCTTGTGTTTACCACTGCTGAAAATAACTTACATATATGTTAATTTGATCCAGCTGACACTTCACTCCTCATGGTTTCCGTTAAAGTAAAAAAACTTCCTTCCCTTGTCTCACTGGGTGTACGTTAAAGAATCCCAGATGGCCTAAATTTCAGGAGCCCTCCACTACGGCTTCTCTCATAATCATATCGTGGTTTTGGGGCGTTAAACCCTACAGATCAATCGATCCCTTGTCTCACTGCCAACCCTGCTTACTTAACTTCCATTGTTCATGAGCCCATTGTTTCGTGACCCCTGAACTTGAATTTATCGAGCTGTCTGTACAATATTTATTTGCATTTTCTCGGTTCAGTGGTGGCTCCAGCACAGTTCCTGCTGTATGCACGTGGGCGGCCGGGTGCGGTGAAAGGTATTTCAACAAGTGACGACTTCCCTGAGTCCAAGGTGTTCCCACTACTGCGGCGTGAAGTGATGGCTCCCATACGTTCCCTCAGCCGCCCAACCGCTTTGGACTACGACGCCAGGACTCGCACCGTCTATTATTCGGATGCCCAGCAATTCGTCATTGAGCGCCAGGGTCTGGACGGATCCAAGAGAGAAGTGTTCACTTCTAAAGGTACCTACTTAACTCAAAACTTCAATTCAACATGTTGGGCCGTGTGTATTGTTTCTGTAAGTGCAACATACGCTTGTAGATGTCTTTCTGTGTGAGCTGTATGTTGGGCCCCCACGAAAAATGTGCTGAGAAGCAAATAATTTTCGAGCTTGATGAAGTTCGGCGAATGAGCTTGCATGTTCATTGTGTTTAAAGGACCATAAAGCCCCAATACATTAATACAGTCGAACCTATTCATAATGAACTCGAAAGTGCCGCAATAAGTGGTCGTTGTATCAGTATTTCGTTGTGTATGAACTCACCTTTAAAAACATTCACTTAGCAGCCAAAACGTTTTCTTCTTTTTGTATATTTTTAAAAATGGTAACAACTTTCCTTTGACAAGTCAAACCTCGTGTATTAACCGACGCTCGCTGTGTGCTCACAAATGAATTAAATCACATTCTTGGTGAATTCGTGCCATTCCACTGAAGTGCGCTATCACCACGCAAAACCAATCATACGTGGCTAGTTGCTTGCAGCACCTTGCTAGAGGAAAATTTTGGTGAGTGTGAGTTCAACTGAGCCCTAAGTAGAGAATTTATTTCACGAGTGAATCTTAAGTGTGATCTACATGTTTTGCTATCTTCAGCTGTGTGCGACTGTATAGATAACAATGAAGTGGTCTGGAGAGAAAGCACATTGTATAGTACAGTTGTGCACTATGTTTAACAGAGTCGCTCTTTTAAGTTAATGGTGCTGAACTGCATAAGTATTTTTTTGTTGTGGTTCATACGTTTGTCTTCTTCTCCTCCAAGCGTCTGCTTAACAGAGTTCACCATTGATATAGTTTTTATCAATATAGTTTTTTTAACTGTAGAAATGAGCACCGTATCCAAAGTGAGGAAGGCAGGTGAAATGAAGTGTGAGGATGCTCATCAGAACCTTGTCACTTTTGTTTTGGCACGGTATTTCATGCCAACCATTTTGTCTTCAGGCCTAAACAACTGCGAAGGGCTGGCTGTGGACTGGGCGGGTCGCAACCTGTATTGGACTGATGAGGGACATTTGGGCATCTGGGTTGCACGACTGGACAACGCCACACTGCGCCGGCAGCTCGTCTCTCTCAACATGTCACATCCAAGGGCCATTGTAGTCGATCCCAAGAGGGGGTGAGGCCTGTTTTTCACTTCTTAATGGGCATTTCGGCGCCATAATTAATGTACTTAAGTATTAAAAATACCGATGTTTTGTTCAACTGTCATAACTAAGTGCATTTAAGTGCAGTGAACAATACTGCTCGCTTCGTAAACTCGATTTGCAAGTCTCCGATAGAATCTGTGTGATGGAAAGACCTGGATTACTCAGTGTTACTTGTTTCTGCATATCGCAACTTGTAAACCGCGGCCTAGAATAGATCGATGATCGCTAGGAAAAATGCACTTTCTGGGCTTTGGCACGGCACAGCGTTCGATATAGCAGATGTCCTGCTGTGCGGGAGTTCGATGTTTGGGTGCACTGGATCCATACTTTTGCATGGGAAGTCCGAGGGGATTTCTCAAGTGTTCGATATAGCCAATAATTTGGTATATCCGAGTTTGATATATCCGGGATCTACAGTATACACAAGGCATGACGGTGAAGCACATAAAAATGAAAAGAGGCCAATGTTTCGGGACATTTCCTGAAATGTTTCTCTTAATTAGACAAGTGTGCGGTACTCACTGCAACCTTCACTGTCCATGCACTTATGCAGCTAGTAAGTGTGATTATGACTGGCCTTGAGAGCTACTTAAGATGAGGCTGTGGTGATTTGAGACATTGGGAGCAGTAAAAATTTGTTTTCTCAAGCCACCCACACTTTTTGGACAATTCTGCAGATCATGAGGAAGCTGTAAAGTTGCATGTCGACTGTGTTGTCGGGAGACTGTCGCTAAAGTTTACTTTCAATTCTTTTCCTCCCCTCCATAAACTGATGATGTGATGATTATGTGGCAGAGGGGATTGTGTCTATACAGTAGGCTTACAAAATTGGTTGTGCAGGAAAATATGTAATAGCTTGTTTGATTGAAGTGTTGAAACATGCTTAAGAATTCTTCAATGTTAGAAAAGTGTCCTTTTATTGATCAGACGGGCTCTGCTGGTCTCTTTCAGGTACATGTACTGGTCTGATTGGTCAACTGAACCGTATCCACCAAGTGATGGCCGAGATGGAGGAAAAATAGAGAGAACATACATGGACGGTTCGCACCGCGAGGTGTTTGTCTCACAAGACCTGCACTGGCCGAATGGCCTGAGCATAGACTACGTTAACCGCCAGCTCTACTGGTGTGATGTGTACTTCCATCGCATTGAGCGCATCGGCCTTGATGGCAAGGGGCGTGAGGTCAGTTGTGCCTTACCATTGTTGGAATGTTTTGTTATCGTCGCCTGATTTGCATTTTAGATTGTGCTGAACTCCTAATTAGTGTCGCCTCTTTTGAATATGTCATTAAAATCTGGAGGACACTGGTTTGGTTCTCGGTCCCAGCAGCCACATTTTAATGAAGGCAAACGGTGAAGCCACCAATGTATTCGGATTAAAGTGAACGCTAAAGAACCCTAGAAAATCAATATTGATTCGCAGTCCTCCACTGTGCTGTGTCTCATAATCATATTGTGGTTTTAGCACATAAAATCACAGAAGTAAATTTTGCTCTCTCGCCCCTAAAGTCTGTTTTTACTGCAGTAAATTCACCCTTTTATGGGGGTTGACTCATCTTGGACATTTTTTTGTTAATTTCTTCAGTGATATTGATTAAACTGCACAGGCTTATGCAGTTTTTTATTCTGATTTCAAATGTGCAATACTTTTACTATAACTCATCTTGTTCCTGAGATAACTTAAGCTTACTTTCTATCATTTAAGGCTCCCACAGAATAAAAAGTGCTTAATCAAAAGTGATACTTATAATATGGCAACATAGCCTTATGACTAGAGATTGAAATTATGCAAGAGTTTTTTTGTTTTTTGGCATTTCTTAGTTATTTTACAGCAAAATGAACTTTCCATTTTCGAAGGCAGTTAGAATTGTGTTACAATTTTGATGAGTATTTAATTAAAAAAGGCTTGTGCTCTGAATTCTGCTCCCATACTTGCAATCTATACACGTACAGATTTCTATTGCCAAAAGAATTATTGTTATGCCTGCCCTAGCTGCAGAGTTATGGAGGACTCAAAATTGAACAGTCATAAATTTACTTTTTTGAGAAGAATGGAAAATACTGATAACACCCAGCTCTTCAAAGAACATCAATCACCATGTGCATGTTTTACAATGCTCATAAAAGCACTCATAAATTGGTAGTAGAGCTTCGGACACAGGTACCAGCTAATAATAAAGAAGCCTCGAAGTAGGCTCTCATTTTTTGCGGGTTCTGCATTGTCCTAGCACCAAAAATCTGGACAGTCAGAATGAAATTACAAAAAAAAAAAGACCACTTCCTGGTGGGTGAAAATTTGCAGAGATGGAATAATACTTGTAGAAACAAAATATGTCAATTTAAAAAAATGAATTTTTTTGTCACTTTTCAGTCCCAAAGAACAGTCAGCTTTGAATATCTGTTCAAATTATCATAACTTTATTATAAAAGAATCATAGTGCATTCATTGGAATCCAGACATAGACACCCTTGCTTTGCCTGAAAATTGAAGCTGAGAGAGTTAGTTTTTCTGAAGTATGGACAAAACTTTCATGCATAGTCCTCAAGTTGCGCATCAGCTGATCTTGGTGATGGAAAAGTTGTTTGAGTATTGTTTGTAACACTGTGAAATGGCCACTCGACATTTTTTTCTCGCACTTGTTACTTTTTAAAACTGTCTCGCTTTTTTTTTTTACTCAGGTGCTGGTAGAAGGCGAGCACTTGGACCACCCATATGGCCTGGCCCACTTTGGAAACTACATCTACTGGACTGAGTTCCAGAAGGGCCACATTCTTCGCTTTGACACGGTTTCAAAGAACATCACTAAACTCAAGACTGAAAACCCGCCCCTCTTTGAACTGCGTTTCTTTGATGAGGCATCGCAATCGAGTGAGGGCATTGCACTGGTTATCAATATTACTGAATTAGTAGTACGTTTTACAATATTGGTTAAGGCTTTACACTGGTTCCCAGCTGTTGATAATCAGTGTCAATTGGGCTTGTGCAAATAGTGGTTCGGTTCGAATAACCTTGAATTGAATTTGAATAGTATATGTAGCATATTATTTTGAAAAATGGACATAGTTGTCACTTCCCAAGCAACTCGCAAAATATATTTAAAAAGTTGGAACAAGGCCTGTGCCAATGCTGTTCTTTTTGGCTCAAAGGAAGTGGAAACAACTTTGAAATAGTAGCAGGATTTCGCTTTTGGTAGAATGCAAGTGGTAGCCTGTAAAAAATGTTGCATTGTAAAATTTACTATACTTAGAGCATATATGCCCATACGAAAAGCTTTGAACTGATAAAATGGGCATGATGAGTCAATGTGAAGGTAAAATATGTTTATTGAACTTTGCAGTGAGGTTTCGCAGCCATGTGAATTTTTTCTGGACGGGTGTTTTCTCGGCTTTGTTCCCCTTTACGGCAGGGAAACCACTTTTATAGTGAACTATATGAGTACTTGTGTACGTTTAAATACTTTCATGGCTTAGCATCCTTCCACTGGAGTGAACCAACCTTTACAGGGGATTACATGTGGATTAGCATTCACCTATTCATTCATTTCGAATACTCTGAATTTTTTGATAATTTAAATTCAAATCGAAGTGAATTTGAATACAGCACTATTCGTTCGAATATTCGTAGCATTAGAATATTTGCACAAGCTTAGTGGTAATTATTAAAATGAAATACTGTGTTTTCGATAAAGAACTGGGCATATTAGATACCGTATAGACGTAATTGCAAGTCGGCTCGAACGCAGGTCGACCCTCTCCCGCCCGCCCCAAATCGCACGTTTATTAAAAAAAATGATGTGTGGTGGCCAGTATAATGGTTCATTCTGACATCACTTTTGTCATAGCATGCAAAGTGCGCTCAGATTTTAGTAAAAGCACCTTGGTATCCAGTGTTTCCAAGGAAATTTTTTGCTGTCACAAAGCATGCTTCTTAATCATTTTTAAATTTTATGTCTACAAATTTTCTTGACTACAAAAATCTCTTTACAAGCCTCATCAAATTTTTTATGAAGGGGTCTGGCCTTATTGTTGTTCGTTGATTGACTTTGTATGCACGCACAGCTATAACTTCACACTGTGCATGAACAGTGGATCTGATGTGCAGGACATCACTTGGAAATAGCCGGTCAGATGTTTTACTATGTGGTGAAGCATCTGCCTTTCCTTTTATTACTTGGTTGGAAATATAAAAAATCATATTATGTGCAAGAATAGGAAGAAAATGGAGGGAGTGAAAACTAGATAATGCATGGATTGGCTCATGGGAGCAAGAAAGAGACATAGAGAAACAAAATAGACAAAACTGAGTGGGGTGAACAAATGATTTACACTGCAGTGTTCCTGGTGTTGTCTTTTCTCACTTGCTTTTCAGTGATATCTTGAGCATTCTTTATATGTTACTTGATGAAGTTCTGTCTCAATAGCATGGTGAAAAGTTCAGTTGTCAAATTCATGTCAATTAGGCTGTTCCTCTTCCTCTTGTCCAATTTGCAGCTGCCAGCAGTTGCAGCAGTGACAATGGTGGCTGCTCACAGCTGTGCTTGTCTATTCCCGAGGGTCACTCCTGTGCTTGCGGGGACGGCTACTACCTGGCCACTGACGGCACTACGTGCCACCGTAAGACGGCATTCGTCCAGTCTTCTCATAGCCACGAGAACTATCGACAAGCGCTTCCTTACTCTGCACATCTTAGTTACCTGTCACGAAACTGAATTCGGTAACGTGAGCACTGTTCGGGGGCTGTTTAGCTTCCCATGAGATAAATGTGCTTCTGGATGGAGAAGTTTAGGTAAAACCAAGAGACCTTGATAACTGCCACAGTAATATGCTGGAAAGAAAATTTCATACAGAGAAAGTTCACATTACAATAGAAACTGAATAATTTCATTTTATGTTACTGGTAATTTGAAGTTTTCATTCTTGACTGCATTTTGTGCTACTTAGTGTCAGCACTGCCCTAGAGCATCTAGTCCAATTCAATATAGAGACGTTTGGCTGGCGTGTACAATTTAAGACTTCTTTGCGTATAGGCATGCCTGTTAATGTGACAGTCAAGTGATTGCGTGTGTTGTCACATGATGATGCGTAGGGTAATGCAAGACTGCATGCAACTGCATAATGGGAGCTGGTGTGGCCAGCGGAGGGTGCATTTAACAACCTATACCCATATAGTTTTATTTGTGCTTTGTGCACTTAAAGCCTTATAGGGTGTTAGAAGCTACCGTCTCTTTTAGCGTATGTAAGCATGACTAGCCATCAGGTCAATGTTTGATCTGTCGGTTTTCTGATTCTTCCATTATATTCATGAGATGCAATCTCTTATTTCTCTTCTTTCTTTTTTTTTCTATTTAAACATTAAGGGTCGGCAAACTATACCGAGCCTTCACGGTGTCGTGAGGGTGAATTTGAGTGCAAGACCAACCAGCGGTGCATCGACAAGCGCTATCTTTGTGATGGCGACAACGACTGTGGTGACAACTCCGATGAGGACTCTTCACCATCTGGAATCTGTGGTGAGCTGTGTTTCTGGGATTCATGGATTGAATGACCCTGTCAAACTTTTTTTGAGAGCTTCAACGAAACCAAGTTAAATCGCTGCACTTATTGTCACCAATATTCGTGTTTAGTACTGTTCTATATTAAAAAAAATTTGCCTGCTGGTATTTCATGAAACCCTTGCCACTCCTTTCATATTATTGTGCGCCTTTTATGTTTTGTTGAACAAGAGGGTCATCGGCTGGATATTTTTTCGATACTGTGAGTAAGCAGCGCCTCTAGCCGAAGCAGAATTTAAAAGAGAGAAAAATCTTATTGAGCCTCAGACTAGAACATATTTTTTGGCTACTAAGAAGGTTTCTTTCTGAGAAATCTTTATGGTCTTTTTTGCGACTTCACGCTACGAACCGGTGGTTGTCAATTTGCCATTCTTAAAAAAAAAAAAAAAAACTTATTTCTGATGAAGCATTGTGGCAATTCAGGGGGTACAGGACAGGACAGTAACACTGTGCTCATACTATTAGAACTTCTGAGATCAAATCACACGGCAGAGGAGCAGTAGCGTTTGGTCCTGAGATCTTGCCGATGTAAGGTCTCAATGCGACGGTGGATGGGGCAGTGTACGGCGGCGAAATGGTGGAGGCTCATGTATTGTGACGGGTTGGTGCAGGTAAAAACAAGCTCGTACCATGTTGTTAAATCCCACCAAGCAGGCGAGAAGTTTCAGGCATCGTTTTGCGACCGGCATTAAGTTTTGTTTGCCTGGTTCCACGGAGCCATGAACTTTGCCAACTCCATCACTGTAGTCCAAATAGAACTGAATTTGCTCATCCCCAAAAACAGCATGAAGCATGGCATTATTTGAGGTACTTTTTAGGCTTTTCGAGTCCAAATAAACTTCACTTTCAAGGCTTGGCCGTTTTCTCAGGGCTGTTCAATTTTTCGGACTATTTCGCAGTTCCCGTCAGGTCCGGAAAATTTGTCGGCGACTGTAGTCTACTGTAACAGTAAAGTGTCATAACATGTCAATTTGTGTGTGTTATAGGATGTGTTATAGTAACTACCATGGTTAGGTTGTATGTAATTAAATATCTATTTATCTAATTCTGATTCTTTGTTTTGGCATTATTAGAATGGAGTCTCAGGCCACAGATATAGTGGAAGTTCATTATTGGTCATGTCCATCGTGAGCAAAGAACAATTACACTTTTCAAAGGTCTCGCTGGACGTGGCACATTAAGTGTAAAAGTGCCTTCAGAAAAGTGATCATATAAAACAGTACACTGCAAAGTGAAGTTAAATGATAACAAATTTATTTTACAAGAGATTCGATTCATCCAAAGCACTATATATCTCACTCTTCCTTAGCCCCTAGGTGATACAGATGGCAAAAACAAGTAGTTCACACATTTATGTGCCAAAGGGGCACGTATGTCAAATACAGCATGCAGGCTAAGCTTGACGCACCACATACAAATTAATAGGTGGCGACAGCACGTTGCGATCTTTATGATCTTCGGGCTCTCTTGGGGTCAATGTTCTGAACAGTTTTAATTCATTTCTGAATCTTAGTTTGGTGGTCAGATATCAGACACCATATCAGACTGCATTTGTGAGTGAATTTCATCTTTGCGTTTTCCTGAGTAGCGATTTGTGTCGTGCAGAGAAAGTGACCTGTCAGGAAGACCAGTTCCGGTGTGACGCCAACCGATGCATTTCCTTGCACTGGGTCTGCGATGGGGAACGTGACTGCGTGGATGGCTCAGATGAAGAGCCAACGTCCAAGTGCAGAAGTAAGTGGCATTTGATTCTCATTTGTAGTGTGCATGTAGCAGTTTATTAAACATATTTAGTGTGATACAGCCAGATGAATCCAACATGAAAATAATTAATCCAAGGAATGCACAAGGGACGCTCTTTGTTGTTCTTGACTTTACTACAGTAATTATGACAGAAACCATGTTATAATTACTACAGTACAATTAAGAACTGCTCAATTCCCCTTCTTTTCTTATTTAGTTCGATGTACTTGCAGGGGTTTTCATTTGCACCTTACACTGCATCGCCACGCACGAATGATGTAAGAAAGTGGTTAAAGGCACCTGCTTTTCCAGCAAATGTTTCTAGTATAGTGTGCTATCGAATGGAACTACGCTCAAACTTCATTATTACAAACTTGCATCTTACATGAAAATAAGTTTGTTATATCCAAAAATTCATTATAAAGGTTTTTTTAACACTATATATTATTGCAACACTAGTTTTATGTATTTCGTTATAACCGATATTTTGTTATATTCGGTTTCGTTATAACGAGGTTCGAGTTACTATTTCCCAGGGCTGACAACAGTGCAAAGTACTGTTAGCACTAGTTGACATGTGAACAGGAAAAGTACATCAGAATGCTGTGTTCAGTAGAATATTTGTAAATGCAAATTGCATTGCATGAACAGAATTTCTGCTTAAGAGGAACAGCCACATGTAATTTGTTTGTTTGTTACTTTTTAAAATTATATATATATATATATATATATATATATATATATATATATATATATATATATATATATATATATTGGTCAACTGCTGTGCCACTTAGTAATGAAGCTCCTGTAAGTAGTAGAACACATTGTTTCAGTCCTTTCAGATTCTGTTTAATGAGGTCCTACTGCGACTACATGGATGTTATAGAACATCAATGCAAAAGCTTTGAGGCAAATACAAATGCTTTTGGGTGCATGTGTCAGCTGTTTAGCTGTTCACTGCATATGCTGTGCAGCTGCTGAACATTCTGCTAATCTCCTGAAACTGCTTTGTGTGTAGGTTGTAGTAAATGTAGGGGTGTAAAATGTACATACACGTGTATTCTAGTGCTGAAATAATTGAGTTTCTGTGCTATTGTAGGTTAATCCTGACATTACCGTTGCATTGAACAGATGCAGCTGTAGTTATGTATAATCTTTCCTAAGAGTGCAAAAAAAAAAAAAGAAACTTGTTAATACAATTTTTGGTCTGTGCTGTAGTACACTGTCAAATACCTCTACAGAAAACTGGCCCGCATAACAAAGCATTTGTTACGTTCTGGCCATACCACAAGTGTAACGCTGCATGATCTTTGCAAACCCGAGCGCTTTGTTATGAGGGTGTTCGTACCTTTTTGTTGAGCTCGAGGGTGTCTCGGTTCGAATTGCAGACACGACGTGCAGTGCAGCGCAGTACACTTGCAAGGTGACTGGAAAATGCATACCTCACAGCTGGACGTGCGACTCTGACAAGGACTGCGGTGAAGGGGACACTTCAGACGAGCATGAAGCCTGTGGTAAGTGTTCCTTGCCTTCAGATTTGTTGCCCTGGCTCTTAATGGCTACTCACACAATAGACTCGAACCCAGATATAGCTAATTATTGGCTATAATGAAATAAACAAAGAATAGCTCTATCATAGATACAGTGCTGCAAGTATATGTTTATAACAAATTTTCTGATATAATAAAGTATTGTTGTGACAGGTGTGACTCTGCCTAATGACGTTTGAGTGTATTCTTCAGTCGTAAATTTTTAATTTCGATTGAAATGCCATGTCCTCAAGCCTAGAAAATGTAATGGTAAGCATGAGTGTGCTCTGAAAAAAATCAGTTACGGCATGTTTTACAACCCCTAGGGGGTTAAGCTTTTTTTTGCTCGTATGTGACCCTCTAGAGGTCTGTTTTTGTGATTGGAGACTTAAAATCTTTTTAAGTTCCCTCTTAAAAAAAAATTACTCTGTGAAATATTTAGTGACCGTAAAGTGATAAAAAGAATATTTTTTCTAGATACAGATGCATTGCTTATGTATTAAGAATAAAAACAAAAATGAGAAAGAAGTGTCTATTGAAATAAATAGCTTTCAAAGGCTTAGGAAAATGTACACTCCAGAATAATGTCGTCCTTCTACCACTCAGAATGGTCATGTTGCAGCTGCTTCTGATGAGAATGATTTTCGGTAAAACTCACAATTTTGTACTTTTTAGGGATTCTTTGTCTTGACAGCTAACATCCAGTGAATCCAATTCAGATTTGGCATTTGGCTAGCAGTTTCTATCAAAGGAATCGCCACTTGACACTCTCAATAGCGGAGAAGCTGTCGTGTACACGGCTTTTCCGCCATGTCGTGACCGTCGCGTCTGTGAATGCGTGCAATGAAGCTATGCTTGTGCCCCCGGCATAAAACCTTAAACGAGTGAGACATTGCTTCCAGTTACCCTTCATGTTATCCCCGCTGAGAAGCTATCAATTTTCACAGTTCTCTGGACAGAGAAGGCACAGGCATGGTGGCATCACTCGTATATGGCGACGTTCGTATATACCAAGACCTGCCTGTGAACAACTGCACTAATGAGCCCGTAGACAATAAATGAGCGAGCATTAAGCAGTTACGTTTTGAAAAATTAGAAACTAGATTGACATCTATCTTTTACGAGCACAACAAGTGGAAACTGCCCGTGAGAGGAAACCAAATTACCATTGAGTGCCCATGCATGCGTGTTTATGTGCGCTTATGCACAGGCAAACCTTGAAATGCCCACACAAACCCTGGAATGGAAGCCGATGATCAAGGGCACAAAAAAAAACATTTTTTTTTCCCATGGCCACTGGGTGACACGACTTCCTTGACACTTACTTAAGAATTTGATGTCACGTTTCCATTTGTGGCACTGTAGTTCATAATCTGCAATGCTAACAGAAGGAAATGTAATTTCAAACTTCATACTGATTCGAACAAAGGATCCATAAAATGCTTGAAATTTTGTGGCTTTTGACTCCGTTCTGTGACTTGCTTCTTTCTGACTGCAGCTGTCTGGTGTGACATTGAGTATTTCTGCCCTTTGCCATGCAGTGTACCCAGAGTGCGATGTGACCGAGTTTCGGTGCAGCAATCAGCGCTGCATTCCCCTTGACTACGTGTGTGACGTGGATGACGACTGTCGAGACGGGTCAGACGAGAAAGATTGTGCTGCTGTGTCCTGTGACCGTGGCCACCGGTGTGGCACTGGTCACTGCATCTGGGATGCCCTTGTCTGCAACGGTGTCTGGGACTGTCAAGATGGCTCGGACGAAGCCAACTGCAGTATGCTGCTTTCTTTATAAAGCTCGTGTACAAGCTCAGGCTCTGCAAATTTTCTAGTATTGTTACTACTCATCACCTTTATCTTTTTTTAAATTAACTAATGTGTCAGTGGTAGCAATATGGATAAGTGAAATATTAGTATCTGCACTATATACAGTGCACTCCTCTTAAACGGAACTCGAAGGGGCAAGCAAATTTGTTCAATTTGTGAGAAGTTTCGTTTAAGCAAGGCCCTCAAAATGAATGAAATATGGCTTTATTCAAAAACACCAACTGTGGCTGACTGAACAAAAACATTTTAAAGTATACCATACATATATAGTTTATTAGAAAGAAGAATGTTGCTAATATTGCTTACAGATATCTCTGTTTACAGCCGCTACTTTCTCCAGAAACTATCTTAAAATTAAGACCATGCCGCTTTTTAAAACGGCTCAGACAGCCATCACTAACCCGCAAGTGCTCGATCCCCACGGAAGTAGCAATCTCTTTGGCCTTCTCTTCGAAAATGGGGCCGCTGATCGGGAAGTTCGTATTGCGAACACGCTTGTATCATAGAAAAAGAGCATTGTCAATTTATTTGTGCGCCACCGTTCTCATCCGCATGCTGTCCGTGGCGAAGTTCCCAAGCTTTGCAGGTTCTTTCGATTTTCCTTTTGTTCTTGAGTATCCCCAACAGTGTGGACTGGGGAATATTGAACTTTGTCATAATTTCTGTCTTCGATAAGTTGTTGCAGTCAAGTTCTTGAAAGATTTTTACTTTCGTTGTGATCAAAAGTGCATTGTGCTGCTGTTTTTTTCGTTTGCATTTCAAGTTCATGACGAGATAGAAGCAAAAAAGATGGAAACGAGATGGATTGTTTGCTGCTGGGCGTGCGCGGACATGTGCAATCGCTGGATTGGCCTGGCTAGGCTAGTTTTGACATTAGTTTCGTGGTCGCTAGACTGCCGTGGCTACTTTCGCCGTTCATGGATTTTGCCCGTTTTAGTTTCATTTAACTGATGTAAGCAAAAAAAAAACGTTCTGATTACTCGCAACTTAAATATATAGGAGACCAACCAAATGTGCCTAGATAGTTTTGTTTATACGACTTTTTCGTTTAAGCGAGTTTTGTTCAATGGGAGTCCACTGTATGTAGATTGCATTCTTGTCTATACGTCACATTTAAAGAAAACAAAGCTCTACAGTAAGGTTATTTTATATTCAATTTATACAAATTACGCATGGGTTTTCTAATATGTCAGCTAAAAATGGCATGAATGAATAAAGCATTTAGTTTTTTAAAGCATCAGTGCTGGTTGTAACAATTTTGAATGTATGTATTTGCCGATTTGTCTTCTCTAACCATGGGACAACCCAATACAAACTGTCATTAAAAGAATGCAGAAATCACAGTCACTCGGTTTATCAGCAGTCTTTTATTGAGAAACAAGTCACATATAGTACATGACCCTCTCCCTTTTCTTTTTCCTTTTTTAAAATTTCTGACAGCGGGAAGCCGCAACAGCACCAACGTACCGCCTTGCCACAAAGACCAGTTCGGCTGTGGGAATGGCGAGTGTGTGCCTAAAAGCTGGCATTGTGATGGGAAACCCGACTGCCTTGATGCAAGCGATGAGAAAGGATGTGGTGAGCGGAATTTACTGTGAAAAGCTTTTATTGTTAAAGGCTTGCTAGATTGTTTATGTCGTTTAAAAAAATAACCTTGCAGTGCTACTGTTCTGAGGCTGTTGCAATGATTGTTGGGAAAGGCGTGGTTGGGAAGGGATATAACGATCATACCGGAGGTGAATTGTGTTTTTTTTTTTTTTGTGTGCAGCTAGAGATGCAGGTGCGGGGTTGTAGGGCTTGTAAAACTTACTTACTGGACTTGGTGATGAGTTTTATTCTTTTGGGGTGTTAATGAATGAATTAATGATTGGACATAATATTGTAACATAGTTTATGTAAGCAAGTGCAGTTACATTCGTTATCCAATTTATGATTAGGTATTTGAAGCTGGCCACACACATTCACTTTATATTTGAAGTACTGAATACAGTCGAATCTCGATAATTTGAACTTGAAGGGGCCTGAAAAATTTGTTAAAATTAAAAGAAGTTCGAATTAATGAAAGCTAAATAAACGGAGGGCTCTCCATGCAATGGCGCATGTGCATTGAGCTAACATACAAGGGGAAAGTTTCAGAAGACTTGCATTTATTCACAAATGACAGGACATCCGTTATTAATTGAAGCAATCGGTGATGCGCGTCTGCACACGTTTGCCTTGCAGTGAGTCAATCAATTTCGCACGCAGCTTGCAAAGCATTTTTACTTCAGCTTCAGCATTCTACTGGCAAAGAGAAGTTGCGCGTGGAAATGTCCAGTGCCGACACTTTCTAAAGATGACGACAACAACGACTGCGTAGCGGAGCCTCCTGCTCTCCGCTACACAGCAGCAGCATGGACAGCACGTGACAAGAAAGGAGGAGCGTCTTCCACGCGCAGAGAAGCAGATCGGCATTTGAGGAAAAACCAACACTGCACGGCAGCTTTTTTTTTTTTTGTTTTTTTTTTCGCGCGTCGTTGAAAGGAGAAGGGTTACGTGGCAGGGACGGAAAAGGGGGAAGCGTGGCACCGGCGCGTGAGAGACCCATCCCTTTCAAGGCACAGAGCTGTGCTCTCGCAAGGGGCAAGGGCTGCAGACGATAGTGCCTTTTTCCTTTCCTTCAACCACATAATCATTCAACCCAGCGACGGCTTTCTTTTTTTTTTTTTCCTCTCTCTCTTCGCGTGCGGTGTTGGAAGGAGGAGGGTCTTTACTGTGGCAGGGACGGAAAAGGGAGAAGCAGTGACACGAGCGCATCGCAGATCGGCATTTGAGAGAGAGCAAACATTTCACCGCAGTCTTTTCTTTCCTTTTCATTTCCTTCGCGTGCAGCGTTGAGGTGTCGCAGGTGCCGCCGCAGGATTGGGCGGGGTGCTGAGAGCATTTTCGGAGCACGGTATGTTCGAATTAATCATCGGAAGTGCTCGGGCGTTCGAATTACTGGGTGTTTTCGCCCATTGGAACACACATAGCTTTGACGGGACCTCATCGTGAGTTCGAATTGACCCGATGTTCGAATTAAGCGTGTTCAAATTAATGAGATTCGGCTGCATTTCACATATGCGAGAGAGAGAGAGGTTTGTTCATTTATGTGAGAAAAGTTGAGAGGTCGCCTGAATCAATTTTGTAACCTGCTACTCAGCGCTACGAAAGTGGAGGGGGTTTAAGGAAGTAGATAGAAGGTGTTGATGGTGGTGAGGATACAAGTTAGAAGAACTCGTATATTTCAGTTGAAAGATGATAACCTTCTTGCTTTCTCCTTGCAGGCAATGTAAACTGCTCTTCGAATGAATTTCTTTGTGAGAACCGGCAGGAGTGCATTCCAGTTCAGTTTGTCTGTGACAGTGACCATGACTGCATGGACAACTCTGATGAAAAGAACTGCAGTGAGTGCAATTTCTGTGCCTTGCCATGCAAGCTGCACAGTCAGCGGGATGTCTTGTGTTAATGGGGTCTTGTCTTGTGTTAGCTTAGAATTGATATGAAAGGCATGCACGCACGCTTTGGGATCAAACGAAACTATACATTTACTCTGTAGAATGGGCCAACAATGACTGCATTTGTTTCGGCATGTTCCATAAACATTTTTAAAGCCTGTGTCACACTCACATGTGCATTTAACATAACTGCCAACAGTTCCGTTTTTTGTTCTTTTTGACTGTGCCTCTTAGAGATGGCATTTATTTGACTATTCGAGTTGTTTTATGTCAGTCACACTGGAATGAATGACCTATGTTGAATGCAGTGATTTAAGGATGGGCATACATACTTTAACAACATAGTTCTGGAACCTTCTTGAAGTATGTTTTTGTTGTCATTGTTTTGATCGGAAGTTTGAGTAAACTTATGCAAGTTGTTGTTGCATTAAGTTTGTCTGCACCTATCATTAGCACTTGAATATACGAAGCTCTAGGCAGAAGCATGAAGCTTTTTGTTCAGCAGAATTGGAAGCACTAACCAACAAGTAACAGGCACACACATCAGGGTTGTTTCTTTCTGTTTGCATGGCCATTTTTATATGCAGGCAGAGAAAAGAGACAGTTCTTTATGCCTTGTGTGAACACTGCTGTTTTGCAGCATCTGTGTCTCACCTCAAGTGCCCCAAACCCAGCCACACCTGTGACAACAACACTCGCTGCATAGAGGTTACTCGTCTTTGTGACAAGGTTCCAGATTGCAAGGATGGCTCGGATGAGGGTGGCCTCTGTGGTGAGCGCATTCACTCACTACTTTGTCATTTCGGTCAAAGAGCTGTCCTAGGATTTTTCTCCTATTTTCCCGTATTAAGTATTGCACATTATAGGTGCCATATAAGTACTTGTAATGGAAAATTCTGGGAACAATTCACGGCTTACGTTAAAACAGATCCCTTGGTGTCAAAGCTGAGCATCCTACCTTGAAGCACTGATAGCTTCCTTGACAATGCCAAAAAAAATTTTGTCGAGCTTACGGGTGCAGCTTGGTCGGAATGATTGATTTGGACTGATCGAGTTTCAATTAAGGGCAGAGAAACGTTATGTCAGTTGCTGATTTTCTGGCAGTGCTTGAAAATTCGTACACTTTCAAGACACTGCCTTATAATATAAGTTCACTGTATTAAAACGTGGTTTCAGAAGCTGAAACTATTTGGCATCCGATTTTTTGGAAATTCTGCTCCAATTTCAGGTCTGAAAAGGCATTAAGTGAAGCCACACGAGCTGCCATGTCGATAATCTAGCAGGCTTGAATCGGTGCTTTCGAGAGTCCATCCATATAAACCCATGGAAACTCTGAAAGTTAGCTTTGCCACAATGCTAAGATGACAGGAGGTGAAGCATACTCAAAATAACAGCGGGTCACTGGGATTGCGCAGTGTGTTGATGTTTCAGTTGCCGAAAACCCTATTACGATAAACATCTTTAGCTAATTGCTCAGTTGGGCATGTGCCCAAGTGAAGTTGTGAGTGTACTGTGTGCTTTTAATAGGCGACAATTTAATTGCCCTGTATTGCCACTGAATACTGCCTCGTTGTGCGACACAACTAAGTACGTTGCTCAGGTGTTTTGCCTTCACGAACAAAAGCAGCTGTGCTGTTAGAAAATGAGTGGGCATGACGCACTCCAGGTGCACGCATGTGTACGGCACAGCAAGCACCCCGGCAGTGTGGGCACGGGCTTAGGAGTCGTCATGTTGCACGCAACTGGGAATAATCAAATGGGTTTTCTGCACGTACCGAGCATACTCTCTTGAAGCTGTGCAAGCACCGAAATGACTGTGCATGTTTTATATAAATATTTCTTATTTTCAGACGATGGCCTGTGTAATCCTAACGACTGCGAAGACTTCTGTCGACCCACACCATACGGGAAGACATGTTACTGTAGAGATGGTTTGCAGCTCGCTATCAACGGCCGGTCGTGCACAGGTAGGCAACATTGGTATTATTGGGTGTGTAATTTCAGACTACTTATTGGCTGCGACATGGAGTAGAAAGATTACATTAAAGCTACTGTTTATCTAGACAGTTGTTGTTGCACGATTGTGAAATGTTGCTCTTTTCTGTTTGTTTTCATGTTTTCAGACAAGAAACCATGCTCCCAATGGGGCGTATGCAGCCAGAAGTGCTTTCAGCTGAAGCACTCGCACAAGTGTACATGTGAGAAAGGCTATGAACTTGCCTCAGACATGTTTACCTGCAAAAGCACTGGTAAGGAACTTTGAAAAACCTTTTGGGCATGTGTTGCTTCAGTATTTACCTTGGCTTGCCAAGCAGATGCACAATTCGTTTATGTGTTGACTATCGACGGCTAAACAGTGTCACCAAGCCTGACGTGTGTCCGCTTTCTCGTCTTGACGATGCCCTTGACCGCCTGCATAGTGCCCGTTTTTTCACTACACTAGATCTTCTTTCTGGCTATTGGCAGGTGGAACTAAACCTGAATGACGCTGAGAAGACCGCCTTTATAACTCCGGATGGTCTATACCAAATTTAACCGCCTGCCATTTGGTCTCTCTTACGCTCCTGCTACATTACAGCAATTAATAGACTGGGTTCTTGGGCATACCAAGTGGTCGAGAGCTTTGGTCTATTTAGACGACATAATTGTCTATGCTCCCACGTTTCCCAAACACTTCAGGCATTTGGAAATGGTCTTGCATGCTCTCCAAGATGCTCGCCTTTGTATTAAACCTTCCAAGTGCTTTTTCGGCTTTTCGGAAGTTAGTTACTTGCGGCACGTAGTCAGCACCAAAGGCATCAGCCCTGATCCCACAAAACTCTAAACCATTGCCTGTATTCTGCCTCCCACAACGTCTCAGGAGCTTAAAAGTTTCTTGGGCTTCGCTTCATATTCCAGACGCTTTGTCCCTGAATTCACTTCTCGCGCGGTACCTCTTAACGAACTACTGAAGACAGAAGTTCGCTGGAAATGGGGCCCCGACCAAAAAGCTGCCTTCCCGACCTCAAGACTGCCCTTCAAGCACCACCGACGCTCGCGCACTATGACGAGAATGCCCCGGCGATTCTACACACCGATACCAGTGGTCTTGGCCTTAGAGCTGTTCTCTTGCAAGTTAACGAGGACGGGCAGGAGAGACCGGTCTCTTATGCTAGCCACCGGCTCTGTGAACTAGAGAGACGATACCACTCCTCTGAACTTCAATACTTGACGCTAGTTTGGGCAGTTGAAAAATTTCGTCCGTAAATTTATGGTAAAAGCTTCACATCCGTTACCGACAACGTTGCCCTTCGCTGGCTTCAAACAAAAAAAGACCTCAATGCTAAGTTCGCCAGGTGGGCTCTATCGCAGCGGTGCTCGTCATTAAAACGCTGACTACCTTTCTCGCCACCCGACAGCTTTCAGTGACGTCTGCCCAATCTCTGCTGTGCTTGATTTACGAACTACACAACTACAAGACGCAGAAATCGTCGATATAACCTGACAACTATCCGGGGAAGTACACACTCCCAAGGGTCGTCGTGAAAGTCTTCCTGCGTCGTATGTCATCTGAGAGGGAATCATTTATCACCGAAATTATTGGGATGGGTCGTGCGTGCCTATTATGCCGGTAGCCATGCGACAATCGGTGCAATTCATGTGCCACAAAGCTCCGACTGCCGGTCACCTCGGGCTGCACAAGACGCTGGCACGTCCAAGAGAGGTTTTGGTGGCGGCGCATGCACAGTGACATTTCCTGCTACGTTTTGTTGTGCACAGTCTGTCAAGCACAGAAAGCCATCACAAATCCACAACCGGTCCCCATGCAACCCATCCCTCCTCCGAAAACACCTTTTGAGATTCTGGGATTTGATAATATGGGATCGTTTTCACGTGCGTCGCGCAGCAACAGGTTCCTTATCGTTGCTACTGGACTATTTCATGAAGTGGACCGAAGTCAGGGCCGTCCCTGACTCTTCGACTCCGCACATTCTCATGTTCATCAATGAGTGCGCCATTTTTTGACACGACACGCCACGCTTCCTCATCACTGACCGTGGCATGGCCTTCAGGTCCCGCGCATTCAGAAACCTTCTGGACGACCATGGAATTCGGCATGCCGCGGCCTCTCCTCAGCATTCACAAACAAACGTTCTGGTAGAACGTACAAACCGTACCATAAATGACATACTGTCATACGTGAGTCCCAGTCATAACAACTGGGATGAATACGTCACCGCAGCTGTCTTCACCCTCAATACGTCACAGCAGGAAATCACGTGGGAGTCACCGTTCAAGCTTCTTTATAGAGGTACGCCAATGCTTCTGCAAGAGAGCTTCTTTGGTTTGAACACAACAACGCAAAACCGTCTGGATGATACCAGTAATTTGGAGCTTCTTCGGAAGGCTCGCTTTAGAGGGCACCCGGCCATAGCGCATCGTCAAGCGAAATTCCGTTCACCTTCCAACGAGAACCACACTCCTTTCAAACCAGGAGACCTAGTGCTGGTTCGACGCACCCAGCGTGTTCCACAGCGTTGCCAGAAGTTTTTTTCCCGGTATGCCGGCCCATTTCTCGAGGTGAAAGCCATAGGCCCTGTTACGTTTTGCCTGGAAGTTATTCCCGAACTGGGCACCAAAAGCAGAAACCGTGTTTTTCCCACCCATGCAAGCCAGTTGAAACTTTATGTGCCGTGTGATTTCTGTATTCATGCCTCTTCGTCTTCTGGCTCAGACTCCAGGGGAGAGGGGGGGCGGCGAATGTAGTGGATCATAGCAGCGGGGTGACAGGCGCGTGATGGGTAGACCGGGAAAAGAGAAGGACAAAGACAGTGTTGTGTTGGATTGGATTTGAGTGAGTGGCTCTTGTATGTTACAATATAAAGGTTTGTGTATTTTGAAACGCGAGCATTTTTTGTCAAAACTGAATGAAATGAAGCTCTGACAATTACCGTATTTACTCGATTCTACCGCGCCCTCGATTGTAACGCGCACCCGATTTCCACCGCAAAAAAAAAAAAAAAAAAAAACGTAAGACATCGATTGCAACGCGCACCCATTTTTCTCGCTGGCCCGCACGATCACACCACTCGAAAAAACGACTCCTTTCGGGAGCGTCTCCCATTTAAATATGAGGTACGGGCGAAGCTTGTGCCCATCTGATGTGTAACAGAGCTTTGCCGTCACTGTAGTTTTACCGTGGACCGATGTCAGCACGCGAACTTGCTTCGCCCCCTTCTTCTCGACGGTTGTGGTGCCAGCCATGTCGACGTAAAGAGGCGTCTGATCGGCATTCCCGATTTGCCCAAGCAGGTAGCCGTTGTTGCGCCACAAGTTTAGGACGAACCTCTGAAAACTGTGAAGCTTTTCATCGTACTCCTCCGCAAAACTTTTCGCATATGCATGTTCCCCTTCGAAGGGAAAAGCCTTTCCTCTTCATAAAGTTATTAGCCAGCACCTGCTCGCTTTAAACTGGCTCCGCATTAGACATAGCCCGCACTTGGAGCAGTTCTGTCGTCACGGGCCGCTGTGCCGCTTGCTGCTCAAGCACATACTCGCCGAGCAGCTCTTTAATTTGCGGAAACCGACCCTGCTGTGGTCCACTGAAGCCTTTGCGTGAAGCTTTGCTGTCGACAATCTTCTGCTTTTGTTTCCGCCGGTCCCGCACGCACGTTTCGGGAACTCCGAACGACCGCGATGCGGCCCGATTTCCGTCCGTTTCTGCACACGCGATGACTTTTCTTTTAAAAGCGGCATCAGTGGTGCACTCGAGTTTTCGGAGTCTATCCTTCCACGCCGTCGATGCTAATGCACTACTAGATGATGAACTCCTCAGTACACGTACGAAGTGCCGCACATGGGAAACACTTAGGCAGAAATGGCCGATGCGCCATGCCGACGCACATAGGGGGCGGCCATTTTGGATTTGCCGATGGCAATAGATTGACCAGTAATTTTTCGTTCGTACTCGATTCTAACGCTCATGCGATTTATGAACTCGCTTAACCGGAAAAAAGGTGCGCGTTAGATTCGAGTAATTACGGTACTACTTGTCAAAATTAACCGCGAGACTTGTATGCTCTTATTACCAGCTTGTCCGCCAAGATTAGGTATCACATGCAGCTGAACTTGTGGCAGTGAAAGATCATGAATACAATGTATTGAGGCTGGCATAACACAATATAATGGCTGCATGCATGTGTCATGCAGCTTAGGTGCTATTTACAGGTTGCTAAGAAGAAAATGACATGATTGCCACTCGAATCCTGGCCCCGGCGGCTGCATTTTCGATGGAGGCGAAAATGCTGTAGGCCCATGTGCTCAGATTTGGGTGCACGTAAAAGATCCCCAAGTTGTCGAAATTTTCGGAGCCCTCCACTACGGTGTCTTTCATTCTTTCATAATCTTGTGTTTTGGGACGTTAAACCACACATGTCAATCGATCAACACAATTACTAGCCCTATAATATGCCAAGATTACTTATAGTGGTTACATACTATATTCACTCACAGCTACTTTGAAGCAATTAAAATTCACTACTATGCATTATAAATGACTGGATGTGTTGCTTAATTTTTACAGACCCAGCAACGCCTTATGTCATCTTCTCCAATCGACATGAACTGAGGAGTGTGGATTTGAACACCATGTCCCTCCGTGCACTCATTACGGGCCTCAAGAACACCATTGCACTGGACTTTTACCACTCTGACTCTGGTGACATGCTTTATTGGACAGATGTAGTGGATGACAAGATATACAGGGGTTCGATCATCTCTGGAAGTGAGTAAAGCTGCCTATTTGATCTGTCATGTTTGTTATGCCTCACTCCTTAGTTCCCTCGCCTTCTTATGTCCTGGCACAACACCGTCCACTCACACACTGCGCACACAGGTCCGATGTGTGTAGTTGCCACCTCAACCAAGGGGTGCTACATACCCCTCATCAATACCGATGGATGTCCTCACAGATTCTTCACTAGTGTTGCCATTCTTGATCTTGTCATATTTGTAGAGTTTGATTGTGTGATTTCATGTTAATATTTTCACCATCTTAAGTTTTCTTTAATGCTTAAGTGTATAGGACCTACATACAGCGTAGTAAATCATTCAGCCTACTTATAAGATCATGCATGAAATTGAGTATCAATAATGATTAGTGTTAAATTAAGGGTGGGTTTTGTTCTTCACCGGTTACCATCAAAAGATAGATGTTAAAAATGACCTGGAAGCAAGAGTAGTGTGAACTGCATCTTGTGCTGCAGGTAGTTGTATAGTATGGCACATTTGTTCGGCTATCTTTCCAAGGTCGTGATATGTATATAAAAGCATTATTGACTCCTAATTGTGTGTGTCTTTTTTTGTTTTCTTCTTTACATTTAAGGTCTCTCAAGTATCGAAGTAGTTGTGGAAACCGGCCTGGCAACTGCAGAAGGTCTTGCTGTAGACTGGATAGGCGAGAATCTCTACTGGGTGGAAAGCAACCTTGACCAGATTGAAGTGGCTAAACTGAATGGTAGTTTCCGAAGAACCCTGGTTGCAGGAAATATGGAAAGTCCCCGAGCCATTGTGCTTGATCCTAGATATGGGTGAGCTGCTGTCCTTTTGCTAGAGTGAGGCAATATCAACACTGACATGGTTATTGGAGAATACTTATAAGGACGACTTAACGCTCTTCTGACATCTGTGGGCCTTTGCTATTATTGCAGATTAATGTTCTGGACAGACTGGGACAAGGAAGCACCCCGTATTGAGCAGGCCTCCATGAGTGGTGATGGTCGGCGTGTAGTACTGCGCATTGACGAAGTCACCCAGGGTGGAGCATGGCCCAACGGACTCACGCTGGACTTTGTGGCTCTACGTATCTACTGGATCGATGCCCGATCCGACTCTGTGCACACGTCACGCTACGATGGCTCAGACTACCACGAAATCCTGCGAGGCCATGAGACACTCTCGCACCCATTTGCGATTACCTTGTTTGGCAACTATGTTTACTGGACTGACTGGAGGACCAACTCAGTCATCCGGGTGAGGGTCTTTCTTATGCCTTATATCTTTTCTTTTCTGTTTCTACTAAAGTCAAATACTAAGCCATACTGGAAGGAAATACCTTTGTCATGAAAGACGTGTCTGTGCATGAAATTGCAGTTGAAGACAGCAGATTATTCAGGAACATGGGTGTAATATGTCATGAGCAATCAAAGGTAACACCAAAGATTTCAGCACAGTGCCTGTGATCATATTGGTTCAGCTATCACAGTCGCTGAGGAAAACTTTCAAGAATATTATACCATACTTGCATAATCATTAGGATAAGTCAACTGGCATGTAGGCTGTTTTATATATATTACGTTACATACTAGATTGATGTAAGCAATTGCTAGCCTTGTGCCGTATTGTAGTGGCCAGGAAAGCATTCTCTAATTAATTTTAGCACTCTCACTAAGTATTATTCACACACTGAGTGCAATGTGTTCTATGCAGTTAAATTGTAACAGCCCTTTGTACTCTTTTGTGCTACTACTGGACTGTGTGCCGTAGTTTACTGACTTCATAATTCGTGCACCCCATCTGACTGGCTCTTCAAAAGAGTTCCATACTCCTCTCAGAGCGTTTTTGGATGCTGTCACCTCCGAACTCGGAGCACAACTGAGATCTGACCACGCGACTCCTGCATCTTTTGTTCTGGCATGATGTCAGTTGTGGCTATATGCTCAATGGTTCCTCAGTACCCGTGCAATTATTTTGCAACTAACGATGCAGTGACTTGTTTCCTCTTGTGGTTCTTGATCGCCCTGGTGAGCCACTTCATGTTTGCCTTGGATGCACTTTCTCTGGGCCTGTTCAAGAGCAGGCTGTGCATTGTTGTAGTTAGAAGCGTTAGCGCATATCCGAGTTAAGCAAAAGCTTCAGGGCTGTTTGCTAAATTTTTTTTACTCTCACATGTTTCGCCTTGCAGTGCAATAAGTGGAATGGCTCTGATGTTCAGATAGTACAGAAGGCTGCTATACAACCTTTTGATATTCAAGTATTTCACCCGTCGAGGCAACCAAAAGGTATTATTGTTAATCTTGTTCATTTCTTCCTTTTTAATGCATGCAAAAGCATGCCTTCGTGTAAAGGGAAGTGTACTGTGACGGAAAATGGCTCTTTTGTTATTAAATTGCTGTACATTATCACTCATTTTATTGTAATTAGCTATCAGTTGTCCTTTTTAAAAAAGATTCTAGCTTAGGCATTTTGTCAAAGTATAGTAAGCTGCAAAAAGTTTGACAGGAGATTTATTACAAAATGCATTTTTCCTCTGAAGCTCCTGGCATTTGAAAGCTACAGAAATTTGAGCTGTGCTAATAGAACAAATACGTCAAACACACATCATGTAGTTTTCTTCATCATTTGCATAACTGTATTATTAGTTTTGACATTTTACGGAACTCGCTTTGCAAAACTATTTGAATAGCCTTTTCCTAAATCTGTAGAGTGCTGATTCAAATTAAAGTGTATTTTCATGGATACGACTCCTGCTGGCAGTTATGGACAATTTATCGACAAAGAGGAGACATAGTTTTCAAAGTTTAATAACCATAATTGTTGGGGTTTAACGTTTAACACTATTATTATGAGAGACTCTGTCTTGTACAGTCGAAAAAAAAATGGTTTCCAAGGTCCTCTTGCATGTTGGTGATTGTGCACATATGCTTTCAGAAAGCTTTCAATACTGCTCTGTCTTTATTTCTAGGCCTGTGTGACTATTCGAGCATTTCCGGTGTTCAGAGAACTGGTACTGTATTCTGATGAGCTTCACCATGAATTTAATGTTTCCAAAAGTTGGGGGGAATTCGAAACAAACAAATGTAAATATATTTTACTGCGTGTAACTCATTTGGTAAGGGGGTTTCACTGCAGCGTGAGGCCTTTATGTCGCGAAACTGCATATTTAAGAAAAATCTGCATCGAGGTGAAGCTAAACTTTGTAGTGTACTCGTATCTCGAAGGATCATGGCCATTAGCGTGGGTTCGGTCTCAGCGAGCCGCAGGGCACGCGTTAATCGTCGCCATGGTGAGAACACAGTACTGCTCAAGGTCGCAACACCGAAAAAGCAGTACAGCCCGTTGCAAAGGCGCGGCGGGAAAGCAAATGGGCTTATTCACCCCACGGGCGAGAAGTACTACACAGGGGGGTCGCGAGCACGTCTCCGTGGTAAAAGTGATTCACAGAGACACCGGGACAAAGGTCCGGTTGCTCGAGCGAGGGCAAATGCGCCCGCGTTGCCTTCAGAGAGAGACGGGTCGGCGCAGTTGACCACGCACTAGGACACCGTACCGCTCTTCAACCTAGAGTACAGAAGGGGGGCGACATAAGGTAAGTGTTCGCCGCGGGCGCAAGGTGCTGTTGGCGAAGTCTGAATGGGCCCCAGAGGGAGCTGACAGACGGAAAAGAAAAGCGTGCTTACTCCCATGTCGTCCCCGGAGAAGTCTCTCTCACTCCTGATGTGCGCGCGCAAAACGTCACGAAAATACTCCGCGCGCGGTGCCATGGTCGACATTTGCTACCGGGTTAGAGGGGTTGAACGTCACAACTCGCTTCCCCAGCGTGGCAAACAGCGCAGGAGGGGAGTCATGTCGGCACATGAGAACGGCAGAAATAGGCGGGAAAGCCCGCGCAAAGGCAGTGGGCTAGCCTCAATTCTCACAACTTTAAGTTGAGTATATTATCTCCATTTTGATTAATTTTTTTACATTGTAAAGTGTTTTATATGGACCTATATCAGCCAAGTATGACAAATTTTAAAAGATAAATTATATTGCTGCATATAACTTCCATCCTAATATGATTCAGATGCTGGCTGGTATTTAAATTCTCTTCAAAACTATATAGTACTAATTACAGCCCCCTTCAACTTCGGTTCAAACCAAAGATGTCATATTCACACAGGCCTATTCATTTCTATGGCACATGTACAGCGAGCTCCGGTTTTATGCATTTGTCATTGTAACTACAGGTATATGTTATGTGCAGGGTACATGCGTGAAAAAAAGCAATAATCGATTTACTTGCTGGGTTCTTTTCTCTGCGTGAACAGGCAACGGCAAGAACGGCTGTGCCGCAAATAATGGTGGCTGCTCTCATCTCTGCCTCCTGAGCTTCAACAACACTTACAAGTGCAACTGCCCACATCTGATGCGTCTCGGAGACGATGGCAGGACATGCCATAGTGAGTTTCTTTTATTTTTTAGTCCTCTCTCTCTCTCAGGTTTATATGCCACGATTGCCCCTGCATTTGTTGTCTTTCACGTTAGACTCGTTTCGTGCTTCGCACCATTGTATTCATTTAGCTATAGGTGGGTGCTATCTAACGCAAGGTTTTCATCATCTTTCAGGCATGGAGCGTGTCCTGCTTTTTTCGAGGCCCAACGAAATTAGAGGTGTTGACCTCGATATGCCATATTACCATGTCATTCCGCCCTTCAGTTCTCCCAAGGTACCTGCAAAATGTTCATTTTTCTTTGTTGCCGGATTTATGGTGGCATCTTCCTGGCCAACGTACCATTGCCTTGCACAACTTGCATGAGCATGCATGTTGTGTAGTTGTGCCTACGAGCTCAAACAAAATTTTATTTTGTGAGGGGTAGATTAAAATATTACAGCTTTGTAGGTAGATGCATATCTCAATTTCCAGCAGAATTGGGAATGCTTGAATTGAATGGAATTTCTTTAAAAGTAATAATAATCACCTGCTACTGTGCCAAAGTAGCTATGGTATTAGGCTGCTGAGCATACTGCCACAGGTTGATTTGTGGCACCTGCATTCGGATGGGCAGGATGTCAAGTTTAGTAAGCTTTACAAGTGCATGTTGGTGGACTCCAAGTGGTGAAACAAGCTTGAGCAGGCCGCTGTGGCATCCATCATAATGCTGTGCAATTTATAGATGTTAAACTTCATATTTCTTGCTGTGCAGGTTATTCATGCAGTGAAGCTGGATTTTGATTCCAAACGGCGCATGATCTACTGGTCGGACACACACCTAAATGAGATAAAGCGGGCTTCCCTGTTAGGCTCAGCTGTCGAAACTATCATTGACACTGGTAAGTGGGAAGATCTTTGCCAGTTTGTGCTGATGAGCAGAGTTCGATCGATGGCTTTGTGGTGTCCATGCAGTTATTGAAAACCCGTATGGTTTTGCTGTGGATTGGATCTCGAGGAACATGTTCTTTACGTCTTATGGCGAGGCCGGCAAGCACATCTTTGCCTGCAGCCTGGATGGAGAGTATGTGTCGTCAATCATAGATACCAACTTGGACTCGCCAGGCTCTCTGGCTGTTCATCCCACCTTGGGGTGAGAACACATTAATATTTTTTTCTTTTAATGTGTTTTCTTACATATACAGTGACCTCCTCATATACGCCAATAGAGTGTGGGCATCATTGTGGTACTTCAGGCTCTGTGATTTCTTTTCGTTAATAACTACATAATATATCATATTTTCTGACATAATGAACCCACATTTCTTTCATAAAAGTTGATGCCAATTAGGGGGTTGGGTTAATTATGCAACAGAAAAAAAAAAAGTTAAGGGAGTTATAAACAGCAAGAGTTTTGCATGAGGGTAATTAAAAACTCTTTATCCAACTGCTACTGGCTTTCAGTTCAGTGCAGAACTACAGAGCCTCCATAAAGGAAAACTGTCCTTGTTTTAGCCTGCGAAATGTGCGACGTACTTCGTGCAAGCGGAGCATGATTTCGCCCCCGCTTGCGTGCGGCGTCTGCCCAGCTTGTCTTTCGCATGCGCAGCGTGACTGTGCAGATAGCGGGTGTACAGGCCAACGCGCACGGTTTGACACTGAAACTGTCATCCAGCCGCTCAGTTCTCATGCTCCAGCGCACGCTTGACCAACATTAAGATTAAAACTGGCCCTGTTGCTAGCGTACCCGGCCGATCGTTAACAAAAACGCCGCATCGGATGGTGGTGCATGCACGTTGTGGGTGCACGTCACGTCGTCGGTGTGGTGGGAGCGTTGCGCTTTGCTCTTTGCTTTGTTTTCGTGTCGCTGTGCTTGCGTGGCGCTTATAAGCTGAAGGTTTCTTGCGTTCGACAGACGGCGCTGTGCCGCAGAAGGCGCGACTTTTAAATTTCGATTGACGTTGTCCGCGCTCGCGCTGCTCGCAACTGCTTAGCGTGGTTGTTAAACTATGCTTTGAGTTTTATTGCGTCATTATTTTATGGTGTAACGGCATGATTTAACGTTGTTTCGGTGATCAATAGCACTGTCTAGCACTGTCTATCACACCGAAATAGAATGCACAGATACATTAAGAACAGGTCTTTTTTTTTTTTTTTGAGTACCAAAGTGGGGGTTTGGTTCATTATATGAGTGGATTAATTATGCAAGTGAATACGGTAAATTCATTCTTATCTCTGCTTCTTGGCTGTCTCTTAAAAAGATAATTGATAATGTTCTTTTAGGTTGATCATGTGGACTGACCATGGGTCTCCGCACGAAAGAATTCAAGTTGCCAAGATGGATGGGTCAGCACGAAAGACGCTGACATCACGCCTCGATAACCCAAAACTTGAAGGATCCACAAGTTAGTATGGTGTTGGGTCACAATTCTTGGCTTTCCTGGGGGGGGGTTGAGAGAATGCGAATTAAAATTGGAGGTATTTGCCAGCTACATCGCATTCAAGTAAATGGGAGTGAATGCAAAGGAAGCAATTGATAAAGATGATGATCTGAAAGGAAAAGTAGGAACTCATGAAGAAAAACTAAGGACACTCTTAACTCTTATGTGACAGCCAAAGTTGTCCAAGTAAGGAATGCTTAACAGTTGGTCATGCAAGCTATGCATTTGGCCTCTTGAATTCGCATGCGACTTTAAGAGCCTAACGATGAGACCCAGTTCCCCTCGTAATGTAAACTGCACTAATCAGATGAACAAAATTGCCAGTTGACGTCCTGAGAAGCGGAATCGCTCAAAAGGCTCATTTTCTTTGTTAAGCACAATCAACAAAACCAACTGACAATAAAGCTAAGGGGAGCATAGGACAAATTATTTGTGGCTTCTTAACTGTGGTGTTATGATTCTCATTTAAATTGAAAGAAACTGAAGTGGGCGAAAGAATGGCCCTTTGGAAGGGTAATTTTTCATCATCTCTAACTTTTAGAAATTTATCTCATGTTCACTACATTACATTTAAAAACAACAAATAATGTCCCCTATGCTTTCCTAGGCTTTATTGTCTGTTGCCTTTATCAATGATGTCTAACAGTTATATTCTCAGAGTTTTTATTTGATAATATCCTGCCATGTATCTATGGCATTTCATTCGTTCTCGTCTCGAACTTTCGGCTTCTGTGGGTGTGTGAATTGCAGGCTTGACAGTGGACTTTGAGACGAACCACCTGTACTGGGTGAATCGTGACCAAGGCATGGTCCAGCGACTGCTGCTGACCAGCCTAGATCCTGTGGCTGAGACTCTGGATGTGTTGTTGGGTGGCGAGCAGCCGCACGCTCTTGCCATCTACGGTTCACAGCTGCTGCTAGCCACCGACTACGCCATACATGTTGCCTGACAAGAGCAGCCCTAAAAATGCCACTGTCCTGCGCAACAATACAGACACTGTGCTCGCACTTGCCGTCTATGATGCCAGCCAACAAACTGGTGAGTAGCGCTGTTGCCCTCAGTCTCTTTTCGCTAGAATTCCTGTGTCAGTTGCCACTATATCATTGCAGCAGATTGTACAAAAGAGTGGGAATGGATCAAGGGGCACATTTTTTTATGACGCAACCACATAAAGCCATCCTTCAAGAAGGCCACTGGAAAGGCCTAGGGGGTGCTATGCTTAGTTTTTAATTGAAGTACTGCAGTATTTAACTAGGTGTTGCGTACAGTAATGCTCAAGAGAATAATAGGGGGTGTGGCAGCTGCTGTGGTCCCATTGGCAGTACATTACACACGTTGCAAAGATTGTGGGCTTGGTCCCCACCAACAAGTTGTTTTTTCGTCCACCTGCATTTTTCTCTATCTCACAATCACTAGACTTTGACTAAAAGCTAGAAATAGTGCCCTTGATGCTTTCATTGTCTGCACTCTCTGTTGGCTCCATAAGGTGGCAGCCATGGCACTCTAAAATGCTTTTTCTTGAGGCCAGAGCTCACAGTTTGAGTAAGTGAAGTTAGCCAACGTTATGATGTAGTTACAGTATATTGCCATTTAAAAGTCGACTCCCTACTTGCCACCCCTTCTAGGCAAAAAAAAAAAGGTTGACTTTGAACACAGCCTCATGCTGCAGTCATAGCACACCAGTGAGTCTTTTGGGAGAGGGAGTGATGCAAAGAAACATTTATTTGACCATGAAACATCGCTTACAACTTGTCTTCGCTTGAGAGAAGGTTGTAGCAGTCACGATCATTGCCCATCGTGTGAGCCACTGTTGCTGCTCGCCGTTAGAAGAGGTACTGGTGGTACTGAGATGCCGCACGTGAAAAACGCCGCACGGACCATGTCGGTTGCCAGTCCATACCAGGCATCATTAACCCATTGTGCCACTTCACTCAAAGAGCTCGGTTCAAACTTGGTCAGTGGAATGCACATATCCTTTGAGGCAGTACGTGCTTTTGCTTGAATATTATCATAGCAAACACTCAGGCTTTTGCTTCTCTGGTCATGAACCTAATCTCGAACTGCCTCCTAAGTGGCAGGGTATCGTCCCAACTTCAGTCTACGAAGGGAACGGCGTGTTGCAGTGCACGCGAAGATCTTGGTCTCATGTTTTCTTCATTCCCTAACGCGCATTTCCAACACATCGAACTTGTGCACTGCTTCTACGTTGGTTGCCCACTCTGTATAGAAAATCGCTTGCCACTGGAAGCAGTGCTGTACTGCTGCCAGTGTAGTGGTGGCATCTTGACATTCGTTGAACAGCTTTGCAAATCGCGCAAACCACTGTTCACAAGCGAGGCAAAATCCAGAAATGGCAGCCAGGCGTGAGTGCAAAAAGAGGTGAAGACGCTTGTTGGCGCATGCATGGGGCGCATGCTCCCACATGACTAGTCATGTGGTTGAGTTCCTCGCAAAGTGTTGCCAGCCTACATGGTGCTGCCAGCTTTTCCGTGGAACGGCTATGGCTGCCTCGCAGGAAATCTAAGTTCCTAAATTGCTTAGTCAGCAAGTGCTGTTAAAGCACGCTGTTCACTAAAGCAAGAAACACATCAGGTTTTTCACAAACGATAAACATCACATTTTTTTGCATGTGAGAAGTGCATGTAGAGTTTTTCGTGACAGATAAACGTAATTCGCATTGTTGGCGAGCCAAATGCACTTCGCGAGCCAAATGCGCTGTCATACTTATATGCGACGAGTGCCAGTGTTCTTTCCGATCTCACCCGACAGACGCACCGATGCAGTGGCACTACCATTGAAACCGTGATGCCTTCGGCGATGCGTCATGAAAAAATGCTGAATCCCCGATGTGCCTCCTGTAGCCACCATAGCTATACCGTACTTTTGCGATCATCGCAGCAGATCGTAAAAATGTCCGGCTCCGAAAGCGGCGCGCGCGCGTTGAGAGATAGCAGTTCTTACGACTTCGTTGCCTCTGCGGCTGATGTTATTGATGCGTCAAATAGCAGTAAATCTAAGGACCCCTCAGAAAAACCGACTTTATGGTTCCACATTGTGAGGGTACTGACACCCCCTGTAAAGTTGTTTGCGACGCGCGGCGCACGTGTCTCGCGCAAAAGCCGTGTTTAGGAGGTGACGGCTATCGAGCGATAGGTGGCATCGTGTTCGCAAGCGGTGATCACCACTGTCATCATCATGGTATAGCGCCGGCGGCGACAAACCTTAGTAGCGGCGAGCGAGAAATAAGCTCGTCTCTTCTGCACGTGGCGGTTGCCGCAAACGGTTGTCTCTAGCGTGGGTCCCCGGTGCGTGGCGGGGGGGCCCGCGTGGTAAGTCAAGCATTGGTGACGCTGCCTTTTGTGTGCACTTGTGGTTGTTATGTTTCTACGTGCTGAGTAATATTGCTGTAAGGATGTCTTAGTGTGTTGATCACGATTGATGTATCGATTCGGCAGACGATATCGTCGTTCAAAACTAGTTAAATAAATATGGGTTGTTTGAATTGCACCGACCCCATCTGCTGTGTCCGGTCACTCCAAGAGCTTGGTGGATGGAGCTCGCCATTCAAGACCCCACAACGTATAGGTTGACTCTGATTATAGGTCAACCTCCAAACTTCCGAAGGCCATTTTATGAAATAAAAACGTGTAATTATAATCAGCAGTATATGGTATTAATCCTACGCTTTGTAAAGCTGCCTAAAATATTTTGTCACATGTTTGTGGCCATTCAGAATAATTCTTTCTCATTCACATTAATGCTAAATGACCGAAAATCAATGCCAGGCTGATGAAACAATCTAAAAATTGGGACATTAGCACAACATGAACATTGGTCCTTGTCTTTCTTTCCTTTTTTTCGTTCTCTTTTTTTTTCTCGTATTTGCCTCAAGTTTCATGCTTGCTTAATTAGTAATTATACTAGACGACCAAATCACTCATCAGCAAATTCTTCATATGCAAGGCTACCACTACTGGCAGCCTTATGGAAATAGTTAACTCTGTGAGAATGTAGAAAATGTTCTTTCACTCCCTGTTGTATCTGCAAATTGATTCAATCTGTCTGTATCTTTATAAGATGAGTTGCTTTTAACTCTGTTTTGTTTCATATGCAGGTCAAAATCTTTGCAGCAGCAATAATGGAAACTGCTCTCACCTATGTTTACCAACATCACAAACTTCAAGGGTCTGCAAGTGCACAACTGGATTTCTGCCTGATCCAAGCGACGAGACTAAGTGTGTCGGTAAGCATTTCTGAAATTATATTTACTGTGAAATCTCAGTATAACTAACTTCAAGGGGTTGCGGTAATTTGTTTGTTATTTTGAAAGATCAATATAGTGAAAGCCCAAAACTTAACCATAAATACTTATTTTCCACCGACCTGAACGACTTACCTTTACAACAGTAGGTCCTTGAACTTGTTTTTCACGAGAAAAAGTAAATGCACAAGTGAACACCAAAAAATGCACGTTTACTTTAAAAAAAATTGTGATTTTTTTTATGCATGCAGCACAAAATTTGCAGCGCGAAGGCCTCCAACTCATCCACATTCCTGGCGTGCGATTTGGTTCTTTAGGTCACAACAGCCTGCTTTCTAGTTGCTGAAGAATATCCACTTTCTCGCTTAGCGAAAACTGCTTCTGCTTCTTCGTCGCAAGCAGAGATCAACTCATTTGTAGTAGCACCACAGCGCGAACGCGGACTTGCTTTGTGGACGCGGTAAGTAATCACTGAAAATATATGAACGCCACTGACAAACAAGGCCTCCTAAAGCACATGTAGAAGTGACTAAGAAAAAAAACCCGAAGCGCCACGGATGTCATCGCCTCTTCTGAAGAAAAAAAATTGCTAAAAAAGAAAATTCCTCGCATTTCGTTTTCTGCTTCCCCGCTGTCTCAGGTCTTCTGTGCCCATGCTTCCTGCTCCGCAACTCCCACTCTGCCTCGCTGACCTTGCCCTCCCGTGTTGCCCTCGCCTCTGCACTTGTAAACCTGCAGCATGTGCCCACCAAGGCATTTTATTATCTAAGCTAGCTTCCTCAGGTGGGATGGTGCATGCTTGAGGTTACGCTTAAGTAGTATGCTCAGTTACCTATTTACCCACTTAGTATAAAATTAAGGTACCATCTTGTGATTATTTGTGAGATTGTGTGAATATTTGGAATTTGGAATATTTTTTTAATAGGGGGGGGGGAGGTGTTTGCTATTCAATTCGATCTGCACTGCATTTCTATTATTCAAACTATTTGAATTTCCCAAAGACAAATACAGTCAGTGTCCAATTAAAACTGGCCCCTTCAGATTTTAGATACGCTTCACCTCATTACACTCTTGCATTGCAGCAAAGCTGTTTCTAAAACCTCGTTACAGCTGAATTTTTAAAGAAAGAAACGCAGTCAACATCTGATTGAAAGTGGCTCCTTCAGATTTTTGCTATGCTTGGCCTCATTAGATCCTTGAACTGCGGTAAAGCTGCCTTTCAGGCTCCGCTACTGTCGCAAATGTATTGACTTAGGAAAACGCTGGTTTCAACATAGAGATGATAGATGGGGCAGAAGTGGGGGCTCAACTACAGTTGAACCTCGTTATAACGAACTCCGGAAAATTTGCAAAATAGTTCGCTATAGTCCGAATTCGCTATAAAAAACTGCACCAAAAAATCGCCAAACCCTCGTGTGAATAGGCCGGCAGCATGACAGGAATTAACACTTACTTGAACAAAAATACAATTATTGAGGCGTAAAGAACCTGTGAAACGTGGCTTGTTTTTTTTTGTTTTTGGTTGATGGCTTGCCGTATAATGCTTTGCTCTGCCATGTCGAGGCATTCCACAAACGTAAGCCCGGTGCCTTTTATCGTGCTGAAATAGTGCCGCGCCAGAACCAAACCAGCCAAAGCCTCGTTAGAAGTTGGCAGTGGAATGTCTTCGGAAGCAGCATCTTCAACTTCCGCTGCTTGAATCCCGGTTCGCTGGTGTGTCACCTCGGCAGCGATTTCCACGTCAGTCAGTTCGGCAACCGCTTCTGACGCGTCGTCGTCACCAACGAAGTCGTCCAGTCTGAGCGTGTCCGACGCAGCGCCCACAAACCGCAAAAAATTACTCCACTTTTCGTCAAGCTCGACAACCTCTTCAGAGCCTTCAACATCTTCAGTGGGCTCTTCAACTGCCTCAGTGCCAATGGTGAAGCCAGTGTTCTGAAAGCAGTTCCCGATCATCTCTTTCTTCACGCTCTTCCAAGCGGCCTTCAACACCTGTATGGCACCCAACAGGTCAATTTTCAAGTCTTCGTTCATTCGAAGACGAATGAGCAGCCGCTCAATGAGTCTTCGCTTGTGAATCGCTTTGAAGGCGCGGGTGATCCCCTGGTCTAGAAGCTGGAGCTTGTAGGTGGTGTTTGGCGGAAGAAACTTGAGTTCAACATTGCTCAATGGAACATCTGGCGGAGTGTGCCGAGCAGTTGTCGACAAGGAGACACACTTTCCTGCCTTCATCCCCAAGCTGCGTATCCCACTCCTTCAATCATTTCCCAAACAACTCTCGTCTCATCCATGACTTTCGATTGGAAGCATTGGTGACTGGTAGGTCGCGGCAGCGTCTCATACAGTTCGGCGTCTTGAACTTGCCGATCACGAATGGACGAAGTTTTGTCGAACCATCCATGTTTGCGGCAAGTAGGACCGTGATCCGGGCCTTGTTTTGCTTGCCACCATGACATTTCTGCCCGCGGGTGTCCAGAGTTTGGCGCAGCAGCATCTGCCAGAAGCGGCCCGTTTCATCTGCGCTAAAAATATTTTTTGGATGATATCTGGCACGAATTCGAGGCCACTCTTCTTTCATCCACTTGTCCATCGCTGCGGCGTTCGCCGACTCGCTTTCGCCCCTAACAGCTTTTCCGACGATGTCGTACCTGTTCTTAAATCTGTTGCAGCCAACCCGCTCTGGCACTAAAATCTTTGGCATCTAGTATGAAAGCGAAGTCTCTTGCCTTTTGCTGCAGCATTGGCCCCGACACAGGAATATTCATAGCCCTTATGTCGATGAACCATTTATGAAAACATTCTTCGATTGTGTTCAAAGATACCTCGCAGCACTCTGCTTAATGTGCTGCGAGGTATTTCGAGAGCATCAGCAAAGACTGACTTCTTTTCACCTCTTTCGATACGCCGAATAATTTCCGATTTCGTCGCATACGTCAAGGCAGTCCGTTTCTCCCCGTTTTGTGCCATGGCGACTGGTGCATGACACCGCCTAGCACCACGAAAACGTGCAAGCGAAGAAAACACCACACACACCCAACAACAAAGCAACCGTCAGCCCGGAACGGCGGCGTGCAAACTGACGTGTCCATGTCGTCCATCGTCAAAGCCGCTCCCTTCTACCGGCGCGTCAGGTGCATGAGATTTCAGTAAACGGCCGTATTCTTAGAGAGAGAAGCTTGCCAATTTCGGAAGCCATAAAAAAAAATTGTCGTTGGTCGTCTACGCCGCTACGCCGCTAGAGACGCTACAGGCGCATCATATGTAAACGTGGGTCCGCCCGACTGCCGCTGTGCTGCGGAGAAGCCGAATGTGCGCTCCCAAAGCGGTTCGGGAAATTTGGTATAGCCATTGCGCGCTCGAGTTCGTTCGGTATAAAAATGCCAAAATACATGTAATTTTTTATACTTTCTGTCGGTAGTTCGACATAGCCAATAATTCGTTATATCCATGTTCGTTATATCAAGGTTCGACTGTAATGCTGTTCTGGATCTGAAATCTGGGCAGGAAGTCCGAAAAATTGGATGCCGAAGATTTTTAGCATCCAGAATTTCTTGTATTTTTATGCATCGATGGAGAACTCCGAACTTTAAGGGAGCACGTCCTTGTCCGTCGCAGAAGTTAAAAGAGGACGAGAGGCTGAGGAAAGAGCATCATTGCTTTTCACGCGTAAAGTGTTGGCGGCAATACTTTGGTAGCACTTAATCATGTACATAAATACAATTTGGCCTCTGCATTGCCTTAGTCTTGTTAGGATAGCCATGAAATGCCAACGTGCAAGTGCTTTGTCAACGTGGCCAAAAGAACACTTTCATGTTGCCTATCCCATAAAAACATGCCTAAAAGACTCTTCAACCTATTTATCTGCAATTTCACTTCGAAGTCTTCGAAAAATATTCTAGAAATATTCAAGAAATATTTTATTCAATTTGCACTCACACTTTAATACTCAGATTTGCTTCCCACTCAAAATTTCGCTATTCCCACAGCTCAAACATTTTCCTAACCTTCATACTTGAAACAATCTTCCTTATATGTGAAAGAAACATGTGGTATATATTCAGCAAATTCAACAGTACTGTATATATAGATTGTAGTCTTATAATGCAATAGTATTTTTATTTTCATGTGCCATCATTATTTGTTTGTGCCTTAGTGTTTATTGTACATCACATTGATTTTTCACTTTAAGTGCACTGAAAAAGTTTCATTGATAAGAAAGGTCTTAGTGGCTTCTCTTACTGAGCTGATTCGTGTTTTGTTAATCCTTTTTTCTTTCTCAGGTTATGCTGAATTTCTTTTGTACTCCATCAACTATGAGATACGAGGCACATCTTTGGTGTCATCATCAGTACCATCTCAGCGCGTGCTGGCTCCCATCTCCAGGGTCTCTATGGCAACATCTATTGACTTTGTTGATGGTTGGTAGTTATTTTTGCTTCTTGATCTCTTGATGCTGTTAGAGAAAGTGTGAAGTATGCATTGTGGTGTTGACAATGTTGTAACAGTAATAGTTTACTGGCTAACTCAGTCACAAATACTTTAATTTGATGCAAGTGCAGGTGACTTCTGTGGAGCAGTCAATTGCCTAATATTGGAACATATTTGCAGGGGACAGCATGAACACTGATCTTTGCTCTGTTTTCTGTAGACATATAAGGCTATATATGTGTGAGGCTATTCAAACCATAAACCTAGCATACCGCCATAGCTACGGCCTGAGGTTTGTTTGTGGATATTTGAGATATGCTTGTAACAAGAGTAGGCTTTGCTATAGGTGAAGGAGAAGAAAAAAAACATACTTTAAGCAATGATAGTGCAGGCTGTAGAAGTGGAAATTGACAGTTTTGTCATATAATCTGGATCTCCAAAGGCTCTGATAATCAGTTCTGTGTTACGCTTAGTTAACCTGTGTGGTCTCAAGCACTTGTGGAGCTAAGAATGCAGACCACAGTAGTGCAAACAAACATAAGGGCACCTTCTGTGCAATAAGCCATCTCGCTGAATTACACAAGAAATGGAGCATGACTGCTGCAGTACACTACATTTTCAACAGATGAAAACGAATATGGAATGTTATTGAAGCCAAAGTGCTGACATATGAACTTGTGCTTTTCAGGGCAGAAATTTCCCTCCTTAGTTGCAAATTTATGCAAGCTGCAAAGAAAAGCAGTCCGTGTTTTTCTGCCTGTCAGAATCACTTTCAAAATCTTGATTTTAGTCTTGGCTGTTAACAAGCTTCGTATTTGTAAAAGAAAGCGTGTTGTGACATGAGGTAATGCACTGGTTGTAAGAAAAGAGACCCCAGAAGTATGTTGCCTTTCTTCTTTATCTCTAAATGGCATACGTAAGCCTGTTTTTATGCTGCATTTAACTACAGTCTTTATTGTGGTTAAATATGGATGCAGATTGTGACCCTCAGGGCCTTTAAACAGCTATTCTCTTTTCTTGCATCAAATTGATGACAACACTGTTGCATCTTTATGATGAAGTCATATGCAGCTTGTCTGTAGTGTTCATATGGCTTTGTTTTGAATTTTGGTTCATTGTTTGTAATCATTCTTTATCATCATTCTTTATCATTTAGACAATTACTTTTCTTTCAGAATACATTTACTGGGTGGATTCAGAAGGGGGTAGCATCACCCGAATTCACAGAGACATGACTGGACGGGAGACTGTTGTCAGTGGTCTTGATGCCATTGAAGGACTTGCAATTGACTGGGTAGCAGGTAATCCTTCCTGTGCTTTCTGTCTGGTTTATTGGTCCCCCGAAAGTTTGGGGCAGTGATTTGCCCTTCACCGGAAAACTATGACAAATGTCTGAGGTCACACGAACTTCCTTCTTTGTAGGGAACATGTACTGGATTGACCCTTCGTACGATGTGATCGAAGTGTCGCGGCTCAATGGATCCGGCCGCTATGTTCTCCTTTCCGGTAACATGGATAAGCCTCGGGCCATTGTTGTGCATCCGTACAAAGGGTAATTTTTGTTAATGTTCTGTGTAGTGTTTTCCTGGTGAAGCAATTAACTGTATGGAACCTGTGGGCTCTCAGTAATGCAAAAAATTCCAGTGAGGCAGGCGTCCCTTAATTATACCTAGAGGAAACATGGGTAATGAAATTCATAGAGGCATATGTGCCTAGCCATCTCTTGTAAATGTGAAATCATCATTGTTGCACAATACACTGAAATCTCGATACAACGTATCTCAAGAGACTGCTAAAAATAATAATTTGTTATTTTGAAAAGTCGTAGTGAAAGTACTAAAAATTTGCGCAAAAATCGTAAAGTTATGCAGTTATGCAAGGCTCTCGTTAAAGAGAGCCTGGTATTATTGAGTTTCAAGCGCTTCGTATATTTAGCTTCATGTGCATTTTATAAAAGTTTCGAAAATGTACTACAACGTGTAAATGGATGACTGTTTTACAGCAATCGGCATCGTGTTCTCCTTTACTTCCCATTGCTCGAAATTCCCCCTCCTTGCCCTTTCCATGCATCCCTTGTCCTGTGGATGTCACAGTGTGATGCATAAAGTAGTTCTGAAGAAGGATAAATGCTTTTAAAGCAATGCTCATTTTTTGTGATGTAACACGTGAGCCACTTGCCTGTGCTGTGTATACATTTGTGACCGTGTTATGCTCGAATAAGCGCTAAAAAAACAACAAAGATGAAATATTACGGAATCATTGCACATTTGTTTGTGGGAGAGCGTGATCTATTCTAATGCGGGCAGTGTGACTGCTGAAAGACGAACTCTTAAGCTTGCACATCTTTCTTACACAATACCAATTCTTCACATTGGTTCGGGCACGCTGTTTCAATGTTGTTTTTGCTCTTATTACGGTTTTCTTATCACAATAAATGGTATGAATCTTGTAAGTCGTCAGCTAAGCTTACATGTACGCTTCATTGTTGCATTGTGCGCTAGTGTTCGAGCTGTTAATGAAGCATGCACGGGTAATCATCAGCGACTTCATCCAATTGGTCAATCATGTCGCACTTTTCACTCTCCTAGTATTCCTTTTGTGCTGCTTTTGGAGCTCGTCTTGAATGCTCAACCACCAAAAAAAAAATGCTGGAAAACAGTGCAGGTCAAGCTGCTTGACGTAAACAAAGGTGATGGGGCAAAGCCTATCACGGTACACAAGTTCCAGACTATAATGGTGGCGATAGGGCTATTAAACATTTAAATAAGGCGGGCAGATAGAAAAGTATGCTAGTGTTCCGATGATGATGATATTGGCAGCTACAGAGCTGGGCATTGTTTTTACAACTGTGAGTAACTTTTTAAAATTGCCTGTTTGTTATGTTGAAGTGTTGTGAAGATTTAAGGGGGATAAAATTCGATACGTTATTCTGAAACATTCAATACATATTCTGAAATTCCTAGTAGTGAAATATTTTTACATTGAACCAATAAACTTTGGTAGGGGATTCTCGGAAAAAGTCATTAATTTGAAACAATAGTGATACAGAGGTTCGCCATAACTGAGAATTGGCTGTATGTTATAGTAAATGGCCCTAACCAAAACTCCTCTGTTATGATCAGCCATTAACATTGGCACGGAAATATCTTTAGTGAAGTTGGCATGAGATGAGATGACAATTTTTGATGCAAGAGAACTTGCTATCTTCGTACGAATACCTTTGATGATTGGACTTGTTGCTTAAGTGGTTTTTAAATGTTAATGGCACTCATTTACGAGGTCTGCATGAGCTAAGCTAAGCTTCAAATGTGCTTGCTGTCAGCAATTCAACCTTTTTACCTTAATTTGCCTTCGCCTATTTCGCTACCTCACAGGTACATCTTTTGGAGTGATTGGGGCGTACCACCGAAGATAGAACGGGCAGCTCTGGATGGCTCCAACCGCGTCGTCCTTGTCAATGCATCGGTGCAGCTAGTGAACGACCTGGCCATCGACTTTGAAGAAGACAAGCTCTACTGGTGCGACTCACGCACCGACACAATCGAGAAGGGTCAATTTGGACTGGCACAGGGCGTGAGACCGTCTTTCCACCACCCTCTGGAGCAGAGGAGGAAGATGCAGAGGACACACACCGTCCGCTGCAGAACCCTTTTTCGCTTGCTGTTCATGGTACTTTCGTCTACTGGGCCGACACGTAAGTAACGAATGGTGTTAGATACCTTATTTATGTATTGATCAGTAATAACGCTATTCCAAGTTCCAGTTTATTGTTTTAGCAAGGTATTACTTAACAAATACAGTATACAAAAAGTAATCCCACAGTAAAAAAAAAACTGTAGGTGGAGCCTTTGTTATTGATTATGCAATAAAACTAAATATGTGTCGGTTGGAAACAAACATGTACAAAAGTTCAAGTATTCATTACAATTATAAAAAATGTGGTAGCACAATATTTCGTTGCATAACACGAATGAGAAAAAAATGCACAGGAAGGGTAGAGCTCACAAACAAATAATAAAAAGAAATGTTAACAAAAATTATCGGCAGCGTTTACGAAGAAATTATATAAGCTTTTAATGACCATTGGTATGATGACTGTTTGGGTGAAAATTTTAAATGAACTGGTAGATCATTGTGTAGTTTGATGCTGACATAACCAACTGTTAGTTTTCCGTAATCTTCTGGTGACTTTGGATGTAAAATGTTGTCTCGTTAAAGACGAGCCTGGTATTATTGAGTTTCAAGCGCTTCGTATATTTAGCTTCATGTGCATTTTATAAAAGTTTCGAGAATGTACTACAACGTGTAAATGGATGACTGTTTTACAGCAATCGGCATCGTGTTCTCCTTTACTTCCCATTGCTCGAAATTCCCCCTCCTTGCCCTTTGCATGCATCCCTTGTCCTGTGGATGTCACAGTGTGATGCATAAAGTAGTTCTGAAGAAGAAGGATAAATGCTTTTAAAGCAATGCTCATTTTTTGTGATGTAACAAGTTTCAATACATTCGAATCGTTCTACAATGAAACTTACCACGCGAGGTAAATTTTGTTGTAGTGAATGAAACAAAAACAAAAACTTAAATGACCTGAGTTATAGAACAAACTTTTATATCCAAAGTTCTAAATGTGTCGCATGCTTCCTTTCTTCTTCCAGCAGCATCATGATGCCATTCTCACACAAGCATAACGATGCCATGTTGAAAAGCACATCGGAAGAATGGCTTCTGTGATGAACCAAACAGAGCCACAGGAGCACAACACGTACTGCACAGTCGCATTAACATGCTAGCAGCTATCCGCTATCAACAATCTTTCCACATGGCATACAAAGCAAAAAATTACCAATTCAAGGAGGTGCCTTCCCCCAAATCAAGCCCCCTTGACAAAAAATTTAAAAATGCCGAGATGCAGATGTGACATAGTGGACGCGAAGTGGTGACGTGCATTATTCTAGTGGACGCGAAGTGGTGACGTGCATTATTCTGTACTAGTCTTGACATCCACTAGTCGCAGCTGGCTGATTCTGTTAAGGGGGGACCAGGCTTTACGAGACGAAAATCTGCCCAAAAATCAAATTTTTATTCTCGTTATTTTCGCGTTCCTGACATTTTTCTGCACTTTTTTACACAATTTGGTTCCACAATTCTGCATATCTTTTCAGTTATTGCGACTTAAAGATCCGTTTCTGCGACCGTTTTGTTTTTTAACAGGCACAATACTTGATGTTTTCATCGCATTCCGCTTCAGAACGGTACGTTCTATCGGCGCCATTTCGGTCTCGTTCAATAGCTTGGTTTTAAGACAATTTTTTTGTTTGTTTGGCAACCCTGTGCATTTCCAAGAGGTGTGAAAAAAAGTACATTAAAAAAACAAAGCTTTGGCATGTTGCCCTTCGTCAAATGAAGCACGTGATCAGAATTCTGTCATCTGGTTGGCCTAAGTGCCGTGCCGCCATCGTGCGCCGCCATTTTGGCTAAGGCTATGTGTGCCCACAGCCATTGTGCTCGACTCGCCGCTCTGTCCATAGCTCGCTTGATCGGCTTACGAAGTTTACGGTGCGAAAAAGTTTCATACGCGCCACCACTTTGGCCGTAAAAGACGAAAAGGAAAAGTGCGTGCAAAGAATGCAGCATTGTCGCACACAGCCAATCACGAAGCATCGCCGGACCGCGCCACTGGCGCAATAGTCAATCGGCCCCAGTCGCGCAGTCTACAAGCCATGCTTGTAATGCGAGATTAGATTCTGCGCTCGTGACTGAAGAGGAAGCATAGGGTAATATAAAAGGTCAAGAAAGGGACACTTCCATAGGCCTCTGCGGCTGATTTGGGTTCGCAGCGCACCAAGCGGGTGCGGTGAAACTTTGCAGCCTCATAGATGGCAGTCCGCAGAAAAGACTGTCACAAAGGCCATTTTGTAGTGATGATGATTATTATGCTGCCTCCGAGACCACTTCTATGCGCGTGCTCATCTCTGAGGCCATATATATATATGTGTGTGTGTGTGTGTGTGTGTGTGTGTGTGTGTGTGTGTGTGTGTGTGTGTGTGTGTGTGTGTGTGTGTGTGTGTGTGTGTGTGTGTGCGTGTGTGTGTGTGTGTTTTACGGGTAGTTTGCATGCATCGATGAGCTTAGTGTAAGCTTGACCGCTAGGGCGGCAAGCACATGATCTCAATGTGTGTCTATGCACACAATTTAATTAAAACATGAGAATCATTGGAGGAGCGAAAACACTTATTTTATAGTGATATTCTTGGTAAGCACATTCTCACTTTGTTAATGTTTGATAAACACAGGCACAAAGAGAGGCTCACTGCACTGCGAAATGCGAAAATACAGTCTATATCATCATTACAAATTACACACAAGAAATAAACAGATAGGCAACAATATAACAAGAACTGCAGCAGAATAAAAGTGCAATAAACCCACACAACTACACATACAGTGCACAACGCGATACGGCTGTAGTTGCCTCAGCACTTGACTCCTGCATGAACAAGAAAAGAAAAATGTTGGCTACGTTTTCTTTCCCACCTTCACACTAATTTTCTCCTGCACACTTTACATGGCTACTTCGCGAAAAACAGCCACAAGCAGTTGTCGCAGCAAATACAAAGCAATTTAGGTGTCATGCAAGCCGTTAACGAGGCAGGAGGGTTTACTCACACGTCCCAGTATTAGCTAGCAAAAATTTTTCTAGATCCATCCCTTCTCTTATTGCGCTTGTTCGAGCTTTGCAAACGGTACAGATAACGATATTGAGCATAGCTGCACTTTTCACAAAGCTCATGCAGTCAATTCGAATACATGTAGCGGCACAAGGAAAACCTAACAACACGAGCAATGACTCAATTTCTTCAGCCAAAAAGAATTTTCTCACAAACGTGCTGCTACGCATTCATACAGTTTTCTTTCAGTGTGAAGCAATCCATGAAAACAGTACGCGAAGTGAAGAGCACAAAAAAGATCTCTGCGCTGAACAGCACGATGTCATAAACATTAGGTTAAGGCTTCAATGATAAACGCAATATGCACTTAACATAGTATTGATGGCGTTCGTAGCTATCAGCAGCCAAGCTAAGAGGCAGCCGAAACAATCAAAGACCACGACGCACGCCAGGCGTGTTATCGCACATATTTTATGGCATCTCCCTGCTGCTGCCATACTTCTTCATTGCCGCAAATGCTCATGAACACAGAAGCCTGACAATGTTGGCGATCATGTAGGACGCCATGTGCACTTCTCTCGCCTGTGATTCATGCCTGATTTCAGCCCGACGTTATCGCACCGTACAGACGATAAAGACGGATTCAGGCCAGTCACTATCACATACGCAAAAACACGTAGATGTATAATTAACTAGAAAAGGTACTGTAGCAAATAACAAGTACGCGTGTTTTCTTCAAGCAGTAAGTGATGTACTGCCATCTTACGGCTGGGGTAAAGCTGCATAGCTCAGCTGCTTTTTGGCGAGTGACCACTCTTGTCATTTTTATGTTACTTTATGGAGGAAGTGCTGGAGGCGCATGCATGAGAACAAGCAGTGCTTCAACAGCTTGGATCAACCCCAGTGACCGCGCAGAAGATTGAAAACTTCCGCCAACAAAGTGGCCGCGTAAATTCCTTATTGCGTCATAGCGTAGTCTCAGAAGCAACACAATGTACACTAACACGCCGTGACGCGCGCTTGTCACTTTGGCTTCGCTTGGATTAGATTGGAGCTTGTTCGTTGATAGTACGCATGATGCTTAAGAGATGGCGCAAGTCTGTTGTGCGCTATCAGCATGAGTAGTTGGAAGGAGCAGATGACATTTCCGGTGCAATTTTTGGCGGTGCGATAATTACTCGCAGAAAAAAAATCTTATTTTTGTTAGGTAATGCAGGGGGGGGGGGGCGAGAATTATGCTAGAGCAAGAGTTACACGAGTAAATATAATATTTTTCACTCGCATAAATATTTGAGTCTGAAATTTCATAGTTGAATTTCATTGAAGCGTATTGGCAGAAGAAAGTGTTCGTTGTGGTGAGAATACTTATGCATTGGACTGCTGACGGGAAACCCAGAATTTTTTGTTTTGTCGGAAATTTCGTTGAAGCGGTGTTTGTTTTTGCTGGGTTCGGTTGAAGTGACTTGTTCAAGCCTTAGATAGCTGGGCTCGAAAAGAAGCTTCCCGGAGTTCCAGATTTTCGAGCACTACAATACTATTGCCATGTGCCGACGGAGTGGGATTGAGATAAGTGGGATCAAAAGTATGTGTGTGTGTGCGAGCAGTCACTTCATCATGTGTGCTTTGCCCACTTTAATCAGACAGCAATGCTTGTGGAGAACATTTGTTTTGCACAACAACTTTTGATTATTCAATAATTAGGTCACTGAAAGTCCCGCGAACCTTTTTTAAAAAGTAGAGCTGTGCAAAAGAGCTTCTACTCTTGTTCTCTCGCAGCCATCGTGAGGACGGGTCAATTTTCCGTGTCAAAAAGCATGACCCAGGCCTCGAGGAAATGCTGGTGAACCACTTGACAGATTCGATCAAGGATCTGCAGGTTTTCCATACACGACCGAAACAGAGTGAGTTGCATGCCTTGTCTCAAGCTGCCCTGTTTGCTGTTCCCTGGTGAAGTAAACAGATTAAATACAGAAGGGTTGCTGTTTGAGCGAGTTTGTGTTTTATAAAAGCAGCATGTATTAGAGGGACACATATACACACATGCATATCTCACTAATACATGGTGCAGTTATGGCATATTAAGTTTTCCTTGTGGGTACTTGTACCACTTGCTAATGCTGTCTTCAAATGAGTGCTCCTGAACTTCGACAGCGCATTTTCATATCGTACAATTTTTCGGCTTTTATTTTGGTGATCTAGTAGATGGCTTGTGTGGCATGTTATACCCTTGAAGCATATATACATATCCATATAATGGATAACCAGCCTAAAGATGAAAAAAAACAACCCTTGAGAATACATTGAATAATGACCATTTTATGTGATTGTCCGCAAGCTACTGCTCAGTGTACAATGATTGTAGCAAACAAGAAAAATAAAAAGCTTTAGGTTCTAGAAGTGGTGCCAACTTGTGATAGATGCGTATGCTCACTGAAACGAGAAGTGGGCACTTAGGTCAGCCATTGCTGTCGGCTTTGTTGCAGAGACGAACAACCCGTGCAGTGTGGGCAATGGAGGTTGTCCAGGAGCTATGCCTGTACAAGGGAGATGATGGCCACACCTGTGCCTGCTCCCATGGCCGAGTGGCTCCTGATGGACGAACTTGCCAAGGTTGTTTCACCCAGTTACATTTCTGTGCAGTGACTCTGGTCCTTGATTTTATAGTCTGCAGCGCAGGCTGTGGTCTGATTTAACGTCATGAGTCTGCTTTTGTGAAGTTGATATATTTATCAATAAGAAATCGTTAATAAAATGAAAAAATTTTCATGCACGCATTCGTAGCACAGAGTTACATTGAAGTGGGTTCCCCAAAAGGAGAAAGCTTTTTAGTTAATGGAAAATTTGCTTTAGATGAGCTCGAAACTTTAGTTACCTAAGAAGCTCTCTTTCACAGAAATCTATGTGGATTTACTTTGTTAGGGCAGTGTTTCCCCTTCCCCACTCTTTCTCTAATTCATAGACTTCTGTTGAACTGAATTATTGTCAGAGTTAAATTGCATGTTAAGCTCGTTCTTAACGTGATAAATTTTATCAACGTAGTTTACACAAAAATGCGATAGATGTTTTAAAGTGATGTCAAATTTGTAATGTCACTCTTATATGAAAAAAAAAAAACAAGTTTACTTGCATTTTTTTTCAGTCCGTCATTAACATTTCCACATAAAACAAATTGTAATTGTACCTTATCTGGGAGACGTACTCTGATTTCTTTTAGGCTCGACTTTTCTTAGTGACATCATATGTCGAGTGCTTTGCTGTAGTCGTGAACTTGTTCTTTCTTTGCAAAGTCTTTCTGTGTTGTCGTGACAGCCGACCTTTCATTTTCCTCTATTATTCTCGCCAAGCTTCGCTGCCACAAGTATTTTCTAGTTTTTATGTCTTTATACTCTTAAATTTGGCATTCTTAGCTTGTTTAAGCTTTGCACATTAGCTTTGAACAAAGCTATTTTCGTCTAACATCATTGGCTGTGAAAAAATGTGGTAATTTAGAGATGTTCTAGAACTTTAGCCTAACATATGTCAATTTAGCTGTGATCCACATTTTAACGTGATAGCGTTAAAGAGCTGGTTGCACAGAAATTCCGGTGTCGGCGTTTGCTTCGGTGGTTGTGAGTGAAAAATTATCGTCTCAGTGCGTGACTAAAAAGTCAAAAAGATGCTAGTAAAACAAATAATGAAAAGTTCTGGGTACGAGTGAGGATCGAACTCGAGTCGTTTGCGTGGCAAGGTGTTCTATCACAGTGTCACGAGTCTGGTTAGAAATACAGTGAAAATAACTTTCTCTGCTTGGAAATGCTGTGAAAGCATGCTTACATACATGCATGCTCTACAGACACACATGTCCTGTGTACATTCTTCGCAATACAACATCTAATATTGCAGTGATAGTGCGTAGTACAAGCGTAGATTGCGATTGGGTGTCAGAACATGCGATTATCATGAAGCATGGTTTAAAGCGGTTCACGGACTACCAAAGTCACACATGTTACTATGACTTTTCTCCTAAGGCCACGTAGCTGGGTGCATAGCAAGTTAGAAAAGATTTCACGCGCATAATTGCCCATGATTTAAAGCATGCTACCCATTACGCAGAATGCAGCCGTATGCGAAAGCTTTACTGACACGCGCCTCTTTGAACTCATTACGCACTAGGGGCGGGATATCGCTATCGGGTTCAACTCTTAAAGGCGAAGCTTAAGGATTCACCAATTTTTATATAATATTTAGGGACTGTGGAAAGTATACATTTGTGCATGCTTTTGGAATTTGTTCTAAAAAGTTTTGATAAGTCTCATACATGTTAAGTACTTTATGGGTATGTACAAGTACATGCAAAGATAAAAGAGTGTCAAATTATGGTCTGATTTAGGATAGATGTCCACACAACTTAATTAAGTGTGTAAAAATAGTGCCAAATCAAGTCGCCAATGTCTTGCTTCACATTTGTTCTCAACATTGCAATGGGGTCCATGATTATTAGCAAGCACCAACTAGCTAGCCCAAGAACAAGGCTTTCTGTGATAGTGCATTTTGATACTGTGAAGTGTGACTGTCAGATACTACATAATGCAGTAAAACCTCATTAATTCGAACTCAGTTATTTTGAAATCCCACTTAATTGGAAGGATTTCTGCAGTCCCGTATTTTGCAATGTAAGTTTGAGTGGATAATTTGAAGTGGCAGCTGGCAACAGTCTGGTTAATTCGAAAACTTTGGGTGCCATGTGCCAGTTCCAGATCACGATTTCGCTGCGAATCCGTGAATGACGGCTATCAATTGCCACAAGTCAATGCAACGAATCGATACTAATGAGTGGCAGCGGAAGCACCCCAGCTTCGCAACTTCCAGTGCAAAAAAAAAAAAAAAGGAAGAATAAAAACGGTCTCGTGGTCAATCAAAACGTGCATCTGTGGAAAACGAGCTGTGCTTCACTGCAACACAACAGTGACACGCGGGCAGCTTATCGCACGTTTCTCGCAACGTCAGCGGGATTCTTTCTGTGGTTATAAAGAAATTATAAAGGACAGTTTAGTGTAAATTGCAATGTATGCGAACCTCCGATTGTTGGTTGCTCCAGGGATTCGCGTCTTTGCACTGTTGGCAGAGTTTTTGCCAGCAACACCTACTTCGAAAACTAAGTTTGAAAGTTTCAAAGATCGTTTTTTCCACCCAAAACACATTGTAAGCTTCGTCATACTGGCCAATATTAAATTCATAGTTATAATAGAAAGAATGTGCGAATGGTCACATCATGACGTGCTGACGGAGCGAGGAGCAGGCGCACATTTTCGTCGATCATGACCACATTTTTTTTTTGTTTTTTTTTTTTTCGGTGGCAGCAGTGAGGCCCACCGTTCCTCTATGTTCGCGGCAAAATAAAGACCAGGTATTGCCGGAAAACGTGACCTTTGGAGCCGCAAGCTAGCCGGCACAGCAAACGATGAGCACTGATATTTTTTGAATAGTTTTCTAAGTTTCTTGCATCCCACTTCTTGTGTATTCTTTTAATTTGAAAACCGGCTTAGTTCGAAGCTTTCTCATGGCCCCAGTGACTTTGAATTATTCAGGTTTTACTGTAGATCATTTTTCCAATTACAGCTTCGTAAATTAAATTTCTTGGAACTTTAAAGTTTTGAGCTACAACACACCTTTGGTGCACGATTATATTTAATCAATAAAAACAAATATTTGCAGGTATTTATGTCTTCAATTGTACAGACTTATTTAGCGAGCACATGTTTTTTATATTATAGGACACTTTGTGACCAAAAAAAAAGTTCACAGCCTAGTGGTTTTTTGCAGAAGCTTCTTTGAGCTTTTCATATTACTGTGGATAGTTTTGACCTGTGCTTTGTTTTTTTGCTCTACCCGTGCAGATTACGAAGGCTTTGTCATGTTCTCGCGGGTGCGCACTATAGACAGCATTCACATGATGGACGAGACAAATCTGAATGCACCATTTCCAAGCATCTCCAGTTCAGAGTATATGCGCAACATCATCGGTCTTGCATTTGACTACTCTGAGCGCCGCATCTTCTACTCAGACATCCAGCGTGGCAGCATCAACAGTGTTCACTTCAATGGCTCTGGGCACACCGTTCTCGTTCAGAGTAAGCAGACTTCACCTGGTTCATTGCCACTTATGAATTCGCAATGCCTGCATATTGTTTCCTTTCATTCTTAGGGTCGCTTCAAGCATTTTTCAAACTAACCTCCTGAATGACAGCGAGCAAGTTCGCAGATACTACGTATGGGCCATTCCTGTATAATACAGAGTTACAAGCATATATTTTATTAATTTGTATGCTTTTTAATCTGCCCTTTTCCCACAACCCCTCCCCCCCCCAATAGCCATTCCAGTCGTAAAAACAGGGAAGCTTTTCTTTAAAAAATTTTGTTACTTCTTTAACATGCACAAATGTGAGCAATTTGACTGCAAGTATGAAGTCCAGTTTCCAGCTGCAGCTACTCCAAGCTTGTTGGTTTGATCATCATGTGTGAAAATATCCATGCAGCTTACCCACTAAAAACATATATTTTTTTCTATTGAAACACACCAGTTTTGGCACAGTTATCAAGTTTTAATTGCTATTTGAACAGATAATGTTGGTGCACCTCGTCGTATTGTTCGGGAGGAGTACAAGATAGATAAAATAAACTCTGAATGGTTAAGAACAGTGCACACCTCCGTTTGCAAAAGTTACTCGACATTTTCATGCATAATCTTGTGTGTTGTAGTTGCTCTGAAAAGTGAGCACCTGTGAATAAGTCATGCTCACGTTACATAGAAGGGTTCGTGGGAAATAGACAGTGCACTGTTTTTCATTTTATTTTTTTTTCTTTGTCCAAGTGTTATTAGGGCCTGCTTCATATTCCAGAAATTCATATCTTTGTAGACACTGTATATATTTAATGAATGGTCGTTACTCTCATCTTTGTCTTGCTTTTCTGTCTCCATATAAAGTTGGAGTAAGACATGTTTGCAGGTGATTGTTAGAATTGTTTAGACATTGCTATAGTTACATGTGTTAGCATTACATTATGACGAAATTTAGGTTATAAGCTTAGCACTGTTTAGTACCTCACTGTAAATGCATAAACTGGCAAACACCTATCATGAAATATAATTCTTTCTGAAGCTCTGCCCAAAGTTAGAGATGAAATCTCAGCCATTATGGCCAGATTTCAAACAAACGAAAATTTTAGTGGCCCATGTACTTAGATTTAGGTGCACATTGAAAAACACCAGATTGTCAAAATTTCCGGAGCACTCTACTAAGGCACCCATCATAATCATATCGTAGTTTCGGGATGCAGAACCCCAACAATTATTATTATGTTGCAGCTCTGCTCTGTGTACAACCTTTATTGAGTTGCAAATGCTTTGCGCGGGTACGTTGCTTTTTCAGAGCAAGGCTCGGTCGAAGGCCTTGCATACGAGCCTGTGAACAATGAACTCTACTGGACCAGCCACAGGGACGCCTCTGTCGGCCGAGTCAGCCTGTCCGACCCAACCGCCCTTCCTGAAAAGATTGTCAAGCTGGGAACTGAAGACAAGCCTCGAGGCATTGTCGTCAGCAGCTGCATCAAGTGAGCAGCTATCTTATGCCAGTCATGTCAGATACCGGTAGCCTACTTCTGCATTCAAACAATTTTTCTTCCTTCAGCTTTTCGTTTTCGATAGCGAACAGAAAGCATTTGCAGTTTCTTTGTATGTAATATTTTTTGTTGACATATTCGATTAAAAAGAGTGCTGCTTTCAGATACAGTGACTTGGCAGCTTTATCAAAACTGTCATGCTGCTATTAGCTGTCATTAAAGCAGCAGCCTCTAGCTTGCACGCAGTTTATGCCTACACTCACTATGATTTGACCACATGAAGAGCCTTCACTATACCACAGGATTGCAGTTTACATTTTTTTAAGTTCAAAAATAATCCCAATTTTATTATTATTATTCTGGGTAAACTGATGGAAGCCTTTTATATCGCTGCAAGAGGTAAAACTTGTGTTAGTGATACGTCAATATCATTATTTGATAGTGAGCAAGATTTTTTGCGTGGCCTGCTGTAAGATGTTTGGTTTATCATTATTAGAATAGCTATAGCGGCATCATATGCCCTCAACTTCCCTTCTTTGCCATATGCAAACGTGCATGTCATTAGCAGTGCAAATGAGTTAATTGTGATACTCTCGAAGGTGCAATTTGAACTGCAGTTGTCACTAATTTGAAAAAAAAAAAAAAATTGAGACCTAATTCTCTTATTCTTGTCCAGAGCTGGCTATGTGACTTAAAATGTCACTGTCTTTGTTACGCAGGCGGGTATTCTGGACTAATTGGAACAGCCACCACCCAAGCATCCAAAAGTCGTACCTCAATGGCTACGAGCTGGAATCGATCATCACTACCGACATTCGCATGCCCAACGGCATTGCCATTGATCACCAGCTGCAAAAGCTGTACTGGTCTGACGCACGTCTTGACAAAATCGAACGCTGTGACTTCAATGGCGGGGATCGTCACGTAAGTGTGCTTCCAAAAGAAAGCAAACCGTCTTTGAACAAAGTCCACGTAGAGGAGTCACTTGATGGGTCGTGCAGAATGTCACTTTCAGTGCATCACATATAGCAATTATTGGTTAAATGATCGATGTAATTTGCTAAACGGATTCTGACTCCTACTGACCCGAGAAAATTTCACCATACTTTGCAAAGTGTCGAGTGGTGCCGGAGTGTTGGAGGCAGTGTTAAATGAGCAGTGACGTGATAGCAAGGAGGTGATAGAAGCGCACTGTACATGGGGCCACAGTCTTCTTTATTGAGTGTAAGAAGGAAGCGCAGTACAACGCTCACCCTCACTTTGATGGGGTACGTGAGACAGCCATAAACCAACAATACGTCGGAGCTAAAGGGTACCGTTCATTGCCAGGCGTGTGATATGTACAGTCCTGGTCAAAAGTTCTCAGGTCACGCTTCCCTAGATATACATGGGATAGTGGCCTGGGAACTTTTGACACCCCCCTTTGTACCTGCCTCATGTCATCTCTTCTTGCAGGATTTCTCTGTTGGCAGTCTGTTAGTGTAGCTTAGTGTTTGACTGTTTGCCTAAGAAAAGTGCAATGTTGCTCTCTCATATTTTATTATAATCTGGTAATGTTCTGGATTATGTTAGTAAACTTTTGCTCTAATTTGTGTGATATAGTCAAACAAACATGTATATTATTAAATATTTTTTATATTAAACTTTTTTTTTCCTATCTTCACGCAATGTATATAATACACTTGATAAAGAGTATACTGTGATATAGCAAAGATACTCTTGTGTAAGGCTTCATTGAAATTAAAGTTCAACTGGAATCCCCTCTATAACCAATATTTCGTTACATCCGAGTTCATTATATTCGAGGTTTGAGTTCAGTCACTGCATGTCATGATCATCTTTGGCAGTGCTTCAGAATAGACTTGTACGAATAGTGAATTTTAGGCTCGTAGCGAATTTGAAGCGGATAGGCATTTCGGTTGAATAATTTCAAATCGAATTTGAATGGTATGTATATTGCATATTATTAGAAAATGGGCATATTTGTCCTGACCAAACTAACCTGCACAATACTTTTAAAAAATTTAAGCAAGGCCTGTGCAAAAGCCTTTTTCTTTCTTTTTTTCATTGGAGAAACTGGAAATAACTTTGAATACTAGTAGGATTCGGTAGAATGCAAATGATAGCCTGTAAAACATGTTATCTTTTTTAATTTACTATACTTAGAGCATACAAGTCAGTATAACAAACTGTTAAACTTGAAAAGTGAATTAATGTGAGGATAATATTTTTATTTAACCTTGAAGTGGGGCTACCGCGGATTTTTTTAGATATGTGTTTTCACGGCTTATCACCACTTCATTGCAATAAAACCACCTTTACAAGGTACCACATGCGGATTATTACGCATCTATTAGTTCATTTTGAATATTTTGAAATTTTCAATAATTTAAATTTTATTCAGAGTGAATTCGAATGCTGCATTATACGTTGGAATATTCAAGGCATTCGAATATTTGCAGAAACCTACTTAAAAGGAGGATGTTGTTTCAAGTCAAAAGGTGGCACTGCACTCATTTCATTAGAGTGAACAAAGAACTACAAGTTGAGGGTTGTTTGAAAGTACAGAAGAGAGGTCTTCAAGCACTTGACACTCGCAGTGCCCTGATACCTGAAGTGCCCCGGTAGTTCTTAATTATATTAAAAATTGAAAAGTTGAAAACTCCCGGTATGCTTCGTAGATTACTCGGGCCGAGTGGTTCGTTTTTGATGCTCACTGCCTGTGCATTGTGTGCGCAGGTGTTGCTAAGCGAGCACCCGCAGCATCCTTTCGACTTGGCCGTATACGGGGACTTTGTGTTCTGGACTGACTGGGTGGCGCACGCCGTGCTGCGTGCCAACAAGCACACAGGTGCTGACGTCGTTGTGCTGCGCAAAAATGTCGTGCGACCAATGGGCATCATTGCTGTGGCCAATGACACCAACGACTGTGAGTCATTCTCCCCTTAGGCTAGGCAGTTTCCTTAATTTTTTTCCCCAAACTTTTCAACCCATGCAGCTGACACAAGTATTCTTGCTTATAACCCACCTGTCTTTTTGTATTGGTTTGTGTTTCTAGCCCATGTGCCACATTCGAATGTCCTTCCAAAGTTCATAAAGTACACTGCATTTGTGAGTTGTGGATGCCCAATGGGGCTAAGTATTGAGCAAATGAATAATTAAAGTGTTGAAAAATTGCATTGAGAATTTATGTAGTGACCATTATGTACACTGTAGTGTAGTTAGAGTGAACTCTGTTGAAACTAAATGGTCCTTAATTTGTGCTTATTCACAAGTGTTGTTTAGAGGTGCTTTTTAAACACTTTATTTTTGTATTGTTGTAACTGAAGTACAATTTTGTTGATCTAAAGTAGCCTGATAGGGGATTATTGCACTTTTAGGGCTTTGAATCTATTTTTCATTAAGAACTCTAGTGGCATATATATATCTAGTTTCGGCATTCTTGTGTAATGTGTTTTTCTGGTGTTGCCTTTTATCTTTAAAAGCGGTGGTAATTTTGATAGTCGAGCATCCATTGAGCAAGCATGAAAAAATGTTGTCCTGTCCTGACACTTAGTACGCCTAGAAAAAGCCATAGTTGAAAAAATTAGTTTAGAGCCTTCCGCAGTGGCATTTACTGCCATAGACTCTGCAGTTGAGTGAGATACAAAATATTTACAATAAAACTATTAAGTGTCTGTCTTTTTTGCTTGCAATATTTTTGTGTACTATGTGTGTTTCACTTGTAGCAGTTGCATACCAAGTTCTTTTTTCAACTGTTCAGGTAATATTTAGCAGTTGTTCTTGGATACATGGTATAATGCGTAGTATATCTGATTTGTCCATGTCAAGGCACACTGAGCCCCTGTTCTACACTGAACGGTGGCTGCGAAGATCAGTGTGTGGTTGCTACAAATGGAACCATCTACTGCCAGTGCTTCCCTGGAAGAACTCTGATGTCAGATGGGAGGCGATGTGCCGGTAAGAAATCCTCAAGTTTATGATGTAATCCTTACATTATCAACATAGATTTTCTCTTCCTGTTGCTGGAATGGCAAGAGGTTGTTCAGAGAGCTTTCTTTGCGGTTAGCAATGAGAACTTCTTACTCATAAAGTTGATGCTCTTACGGCAGCAAAAGTAGGACCTGTGTTATCACTGGAGTTTCCACTTTAACGTAGCTCTAAGTCATTTTGAAGCTGTAGTTCATCATCATCATCGGCCTAACTACGCCCACAGCAGGGCAAAGGCCTCTCCCACGATCCGGCGAACAACCCAACTTTGTGCTTGCTGCTGCCACGTTACACCTTCAAACTTTTTAATCTCATTGGCTGACCTAACTTTCTGTCTCCCCCACGTGCATTTTCCTTCTCTGGGAATCCAGTCAGTTACCCTTAATGACCAGCGGTTATCCTGCCTACATGCTACGTGCCCAGCCTATGTACATATCCTTACCTTAACATTACCTTAACATAACTCTGGAATGTGGGTTCAGAGGTAGGTCTAACACACTAGCAAATTCTGTCTGAAAGAAAAGTTTAGAAAAATCATCAAACTAGAATTGTAGGAGTGCTCAAGGTGGTCCGTGTTTGCCTTTATCTTTGTTGCTATATTTGTGGCATTCACTCGGACATTTTGCTTTACAGTCAAGATTGCCAACTGTACCAGTGTAGAATTCCAGTGCGGTGATGGGGCTTGCATTCCATTTGAGCTTGCCTGTGATGGTGTGCAGGCTTGTCCCGATGGCTCTGACGAAAATGTCATTGACTGTGGTAAGTGTTTGTTCACCAAAGCTTTGCATACTCTATGGTAACTCTGTGTGTGTGGTTAATATTAAGCACCAGCAAAGCTTTTGTGGGAGTGACAGCATATTTTTGTTTTTGTTTGATTGCTCTTATGAAAAATGTAATATTCATTCAGGTGTGTGTTGGGCAGTATAAGTATTAAAACTTAAATCCAGAGTTTAATTTCTATGTTCATCCTAATTGCTGCTATTGTCCTGTACATCCTGTACATCTAAACACTATGCACTTGGCAGTATAGTATATGTTGACTTTCTTTAATCACTAAACAGCATCTGTGTAAACACTAGAGGTGGGTTCCTTTCTTTCTTTGCCAGATATAATAACTATTGCTTTATCCTTCAGTTGAAGTCATTTATATACACCCAAACCTCATTATAACAAGGTTGCATCTTACAAGAAAAATAAGTTTGTTATATCCAGAAATATATTATAAAGGTTATTCCTAACACTGTATCTATAGCAATACTATTTTTCGTCTACTTTGTTATAACCAATATTTTGTTATATACGTGTTCGCTATGCCGACGAATATGTGTACATACACACACACATGCACATATACATAGACACACACACATATACATATGTATATATATATATATGGTAACTTAATTACGAAATTATGGCATGCTTGCACCTCTACTTTTTACTAATCTTCACTCACTGAATGCTTTTGCCTGCAGCCATGTTGACGTGCCCCGAAGGTTTCTACAGATGCCACAACGGGCGTTGTGTGTCCAAGAACCGTGTTTGTGATGGCTTGGATGCATGTGGCGATTACAGTGATGAGCTGAACTGTACTTGCAAAGGTGACCAGTTCAAGTGCGCTCGGGGCCCCTGCATTCCATCTAACTTCGTCTGCGACTTCGAGCCAGAATGCCCCGACGCCAGTGATGAAATCAACTGCCGTAAGTTCCATTGTTATATCACGTATCTAACTTTACATCTTGTATTTAATGTCCTTCAAAGCAGTTTTTTTGGAGAAACATTGCCACTGAGAAGCTACTATTCTATCCTCTTTGTTTCAGTATTAGTTGTTGTTGACCTTCTTTGTTTACTTCTATATGAACCAGAAAAGTGTGCACTGGTATTATTTAATAGTAGCATGATTGCACTCGTTGGCATTGAATCAATGAAAATAGTATTAAAAATGTGTTAATTACCTGTGTGCACATTGATGTTCAGAAACATTAATAGCCAGTTCGTGTTCAGTGAGAATTATTTGTTATAGTTCTTTATTTATTTATTTATTTATTTATTTTATTTACAGATACTGCTGTCTCATGTTTGAGACATTGCAGGTGTGGTTACAATAAACGAACAAAAACAGCACAAATAAAAAAAACATAAAATTGCATAATTAGACACCTGTTCAACAAACAATAAATGATCAAACAAAAGGAACAACAGCAAAATTAAGAGCATCAATTTACATAATTGGACACTTGTTCAACAAACAGCGAATGCGGTAGTCGTTTCAAAGTAGTGTCCATATTATTCCAAGTGTCAACTGTGCACGGAAAAAAAGAGTATTTATAACAATCAATAAAACATCTGAATGACACAATGCATGTTAATGCCCTTTTGTGCAAGTTGTTGTTTATAGAGCTTCTATAGAAAGGAACAAAACTAACGTTACAGCAGCCATCCCTAGGATATCACCTGCCATCGGGGCCTAGCAGGTTAGGTGTTGCACTGTTCAGTTTTAGGCTGCAGATTCGATTTCTGGTCGTAGCAGCCCCATTTTGATGGAATAAATATGCAACAACACTTGTGCACTTTGATTTATACGCATGTTAAAGAAGTCCATGTGGTCGAAATTTATCCAGAGTCCCTCGTTACAGCATGTCTCACAGGCATATCGGAGTTTTGACAGATACCCAGCAATTGTTAATATTAATAATCGCAGAATATTTAATTGGCTTCCTGTTCTCAAGAGCTCTGGATAGCGGAAAAAGTGTCATACTTACTCTCCAGAGCTTTTTTAGTGCCAGTAGTTATGGGCACTTAGGGATGTGGCTATGAATCAGCAACTTTTAGGCTCTTAGTGGCTTTGTTTCTTTTGACTGAGTCTCTATAGCCACAGCCAAATGAAACGCACTACTTTTTGTCCTGTGATAACTTGAGAGCATGACGTCGTACTTGTAATTGCCCCGTTGTGAAATATTGTGTAGGTCTCATCATAAGCGTTCTAGCAGAGACCATCCTGATGCTGCGTGGGCTAACAAATGCAAGAAAAAAAATAATGTGTTTTAGTTACACCTAGCTTATTCATATTTTGGATGCCAATGACAGTAAATTATCTCTTTACTGCAAAGCATCCGCACATACACTCATACTTTGATATAACGAACCTAGATATAGCAAATTATTGGTTATAACGAAAAAAGTGAAGAATAGCTTTGTCATAGATACAGTGTTAAGAATGTACGTTTATAACGAATTTTTGGATATAACGAAGTATTTTTGTGGAAGATGTGACTTTGTTATAATCAGGTTTGAGTGTGCTCAAATCGCATTTTATCAGTACTACTTGATCTGTGATAGTTATGAAATAATTATGAGACAAAACACAAAGAACCGAATGCATACATGCCTTTTTTTTTCCCCTATTTGCTCTGCCTGGTGAAATGTAAGTAGTTCCTGTTTACTTGCAGCTAAGCCTGACTGCACGAGACACCCGATGACCTTGCACCCGAATTTGCTTCTGGTGAACTGTGAGAGGACAACTGCGTGCATTCACTTGGGCTGGATATGTGATGGCCAGAACGACTGTTGGGACTTCTCAGATGAAGAGAACTGTCAAACTAGTAAGGCACATCGATTCGCATTTACTTTAAAAGGGCCCTGCAACACTTTTTTAAGTAACCAAAGAATGAATAGCTTCATCAAAATGTCTTTTGCCTCAGGAATTGACTGTCACTGAAATCTTTGGTATTCGTGGAGTACGAACAGAGTTACGGGAGCCCACCAGTTCTGGTAATAATAGCGTTAAATATCATAGTCATATTTGCTGTGATTATCATGAATGGCCGAAGAGCTCACAGACCAAATTTGCCCTAATGTCACAAATTAATATAAAAATGTCTGTATTTGTGGTAGCATGTCGAATTTGGGCAACAGCTGTAGGCAGCCATTGCAGATTCGTGCTGCAGGCACTTGAAGCTGCCATTTATTTCTGATAATGCACAACCAAAAAGATGCTCGTTTTGTACTTACCTTTTCATTCTAAGCTCATTTGAGGAACCAATATTTGGACACAGCTGGCATGTTGTCTCCTCTTTCTCTTCTCTCTCTCTCTCTGTCTACAATTAATTTGAGTTCGTCTCAAAAAGAAGTGAGCTGCAATGGTAATGTTTACATAGTAATCATGCTGCTGATGATGATACCTTGCGAAAATATATACTGCGCTTAATTTTTGGTGATCAATCTAAAGACTTTTTTTTAATAAGACAACCGGTTGTTCTGCACTCGCAGCCACACCGCAGGTGTCCTGTCCAGCCATGTCCTTCCGCTGCCTGAATGGCTTGTGCATTCCGGATTCCTGGCGTTGTGATCGGGACATGGATTGCGAGGATGGCCACAATGGTTCACTAAGCTCGGACGAGAAGGGCTGTGGTAAGCAACCCATGATTTGCCTAAAGTTTTCTGCATCACATAAAGAGATTTCTCTGTGCATATCTGCTGATATCTACTCCACTGGATACTGCACAAAATAGTACACGTCTTTCCATGTGTGATATTGTGCTTGCTATCACATCACTGCTTTATGTTTATATTATTGCAGTTATAATGTTCGTGTATTGGTGATGATGTTTTTAATGTAAATTTGCCACATAAATTTAGGTTAATGAGTGGTGACAATTTGTAAAATCGAAAGCTTGTCATGACCTTTTACAGAAGACGCGTTTGGGATGTGCACACCTCCGTCTTGTGTAAACACTGCACGACATTGTGTGTTGGCTTGCTGGGGGCATTGTGTTGGATGGATAAGTGTTGCATGTCTATTGTATTGGAAATCTCATTTACTGCTATGTGTGAGAGTCATTGCACATGCTCTAATAAATGATGTGTAAGGATAGCACTGCAGGACAAGTGCTATAGGTTCATTGGCACAAACTATCTGATTCTTTATTAAAAGCAGCAGCTCGTAATTGTAAGCGAACCCACAGGTATCTTTTGTTATCAGTTTTTAAGTTAGGAATTGCTGTGGTTGAAATTCTATTAATACAGATTCAGAACGCACAATGTTGAACTTTCATTTCAGAATACAAATGTGCAAGGGACCAGTTTCAGTGTACAGATGGCGAATGCATAAGCCTTCTGAACCGCTGTGATGGCCAACCTGACTGCTCGGACGGCTCTGATGAACCACCAGCATGTCGTGAGTGCTTCACAACTTTTGCAATTGTCGTGTAAGAGTCGGAAAGGCTTTCACTGTAAGGCAAGGCCTTCTGTATTAGAACTCAGTTATTTCAAAATTCTGCTTAATTGAAGCATTTCTGCAGTCCTGTATTTTCTGGTGTAAATTTCACTGCATAATTTGAATCGACTGCCTCTGCCGGCCCCCTTGACCTGAAAAGTTTGGATGCGAAATGGTATTTCTGGATCTCGATTTCATCGCTAATTCCTGGGAACCATGGCCCTACAGAGCAACAAGGCAATGTCTGCAGTGATGTTCATAGTTGATAGGTCAAGTGCGTCAGCCTCTTTGCTGTCAGTACAAAAAAGAAAAGCCTTTGTGCATGGTATACCTCACAGACCTCTAAAGTGCACACCTGGGGAAGAGAAGGCGTGCTTCGTTGAGATTACTTACATTTCAAAGGAAAAAAATTGGCACCATCATGAAATTTTCAAGCAAGCGCCCCGCCGCGGTGGTCTAGTGGCTAAGGTACTCGGTTGCTGACCCGCAGGTCGTGGGTTCGATTCCCGGCTGCGGCGGCTGCATTTCCGATGGAGGCGGAAATGTTGTAGGCCCGTGTACTCAGATTTGGGTGCACGTTAAAGAACCCCAGGTGGTCAAAATTTCCGGAGCCCTCCACTACGGCGTCTCTCATAATCAAATGGTGGTTTTGGGACGTTAAACCCCACAAATCAATCAAATTTTCAAGCAAGCGTTGATTCACTCTGATTTTAGGATAAAATTGTATAACCTTCTAGGCGTGCCACCATCGTTGCTGCCACATTCATTTGGAACTCTTGATAATCTTGATGCCAACCTAATTCCTCTCTGATTCTAGGTATGCGCCAGTGTGGCGACAGCGAGTTCAAGTGCAATAGCACAGGCCAGTGCATCCCCAACGCCTGGAAGTGTGATGGCGCTGGTGACTGCCTGGACAACTCTGACGAGGACCCAAGTCTCAACTGCAGTAAGTTCAGTTGTACAAGGTAGTTTAACTGCACAGTCTACTTTCTAGATATAGCCATTGTGTCCTCATGGCACTCCACTTTTTTTTTCTATGTTGTTTGATGTGTTGCTTCCTTTGTATACACATGCACGAATCATTTGTGTGCACGCACACATCTGGACTGTATGTGCTTTAATTTTCAACATTATTGTGATTGCTTTTCGCACAGCTCTTCGACAGTGCAAGGCTAATGAGTTCAAGTGCCTCAACCAAGTCTGCATATTGGATAGCTTCTACTGCGATGGAGATCATGACTGTGAGGATGGCTCGGATGAACCAGACACCTGTGGTATGCCTCACTTTACTTAAAAATGTCCACTCTGTATAGTGAAATTCTTGACAAATGCAATCAGCGGACAAAAATAACCTTAAAGGAGCCCTGCAGCACTTTTTGAGCATGATCAGAAAACGCTGCCGATCGGTAGTAGAGGCTCCCGACAACACGCGAGCCAAATATTATAGCGCAGCACGCGGCTTATAATTCACTACAAATAATCAATTCATCTAAAAATAGGTTTCTCTTCTCTCGACAAATCACAGAAAATAAGCCCAGTAAGCCCATACATCAGCCATTGGCTGATTTGAACATGGTGCGCTCGGTTGTTACAGAGGTCGCTGCAAGAAGCCGTCACTTGCCCATGCGTGCGCGCGGGATCGCACTGAAAAGTAGCGTATTCAAAGAAAAAAAATGCTCTAGGTCACAAGGCACGTGTGACGTTTTTTGTTTGCCCCTCCCATCCCTCCTTTCTCAGCTTCCAGCGCTTTCGTTTGGACGAGAGAAGAGAGAATGTGATTGCAGCGTGTGATAAATCTTTGTAACTCCGCTCGTACTGGACGGATTCTTAAATTTTTTGCGGCGTTCAGTTGGGGAGGTAATACGCTTTTCCAATGAATTAATTCCATGGTTACTCAAAAAAGTGTTTCAGGGCCCCTTTAAGAACATTGCAGATGTGAACCTTCTCGCTTTTCTTGTGTGTGGTTTAATTATCTTTGCATACTGTGTGTAGAATATTGGCAGGCTTGTAGAGACGAGGCTTTCAGGGATGCAGTAGGGTTTGCTTTAACACGAGAACAACTGAGGTTGTTTGATGCTTATCAACTTTCACACTAGTAGATGTGCTGCCTTTATGAGTGGATCTCGGCTACACCGTATATGCAACATGATTGACATGTTAATCAAAGGATGTGTCTGCACAACAATTGAGCGCATGCTCTTTAACATGGGGCCAGATCTCTTCTGCAGCAATGCCGTAAGGTGGGAGGGGGTAAGACTTAACAAATAAAAAAAAAAACTATTATTCTCTTTTGTCTATGGTCATAGATATACTTGTGTAAATGAACTTTTAGAATTGCATAACATATGCTTGAAATGCACAATGAAAAGCACTGTGCCATAGTGCAAACAACGTTGTTTTTTTATAAGGAGCTGCAATGAACAGCTTTACGCTTTCTTTTTTTTACTATGCATTCTTTGTTGTTTCAGAGAAACACCGTTGTCGGGAGAACCAATTTGCATGCAATAATGGGCGCTGCATTTCCAACCACGCGACCTGCAATGGCTGGGATGATTGCCGGGATGGGTCCGATGAGAAACCAGACTTGTGTCGTAAGTACCCCGCCTCTGCTTTTCATACTTATTGCCTGGGGATTCCTCTATAAAATTTTTAAGTAGATAGACAGTAGAAGACAGTTTGTGAAAAAATTATCAGCACAGCTGCCATGGACTCTATTTTACTTGAACGAGTGTTAAAGGCAAATACATTACAATTTACATCAGAGCGATGAATCAATGTTTGGTAATGTCTAAAACATCAATATTATCAACAGCAGATCTCTGCTAATCGTGAAATTAAAGGACCACTGACAGCGATAGTCTTGCTTTTTTGCAGTAATTAGTAGCTTCGCATCTGGTAATGACGAAATTGAATTGTAAATGCTCTAATGCATTGTATAATTAATGCTAGTTTCATTATTTTGGTACAATTTTGCATCAGTTTGAAATGCTCATCTAAATACCATAAGAAACTAGAGCCCCTCAGCAGGGTAGCACCTGAGACTACGTGTCCTCAAGTTTCGGCGATGCTTAATGCACGGTTTTGAAGTAGGGGGACCCACGTGTTGTAAAATAAAACAATGTGGGTGCTTTGAGCGTGTCCCTCTCAGAAAAAGGAAAAGCATTCCTGATATAAGCAGCCGCAACTACCTTGAGAGCAGCCTGACAACAGAGCAAGAGGGGTGATGATTAATATGCCTCGCCTGGTGCCAGTCGGTGTACTGTACGTGCCGTGCAAATGTTCGTTGACATTGACAATACCTTGCTTAACTTGTGTGTGCCCTGAAAATATTCTCTGGCATCGACAATACCTTGCTTGACTTCTGCAACATCACGCGGGGTCCGCGTCAAACAACAAAAATGTTGATTGGACCTGAATACTCAAACGAGCATGTACCCTAACTTTAAAACCAAATTGAAATATCTAATGGGCAATGCTCGTCGCTTATAATGGGTAAGGAGTGGCACTGCACGCAGAACTACCAAACAACACGAGCAACTCGAGTTTCCAAATTTGGTGTCAATGATCCTTTAAGGTAAATGTACGACACCACATGCGCCACGCGTGGGACACTATAAAATAATCCTGACTACGTCAGAGCGTCTGACTACAATTAATCATTGGTAATCAAATCAGCTGCAGTAAAAAAAGAACTTTCCGCTCAGTACAACATCTAATAAAATACTGCTTGTCCGTTTCTGTTTGATTCATTGTAAAAAAAAAAAAAAAAAACATCTGGCATCACTATTGGAAATAGCATGAGTGGTTCAAAAGTTTTGTTTTTGCCTGGTTTAGCTAGATAGGTGGTGCCGTCTAATGGGGCCCATTTGAGCCAAGCAAGCAGAAAAGTTTTCAATGGCCCTTGCTGATGTGGTCACTGCTACCAGTGTCAGCGGTTGCGCAGTAAAGGCGGGCAACGTTGGGCACGGCAACAGTGTTGTGAGAAAGACCGCTTTCAGGCGGGAGATTTGAAGTGTGCTAACACCACGCGGATCTCTGATATGTGGTTCTTATTTGAAGACAAGCATTTCCTTGGCACAAAAGTGGCAGGTTTCTGGACCGCTATTTCCAGCAATAATCACTGACTTAATATTTGCTTTTAGTGTGCCAGGGACACTAAAGGCAAATACTAAGTCGACGTTGATTGCTGAAATAGCAGTCCAGGAACCCTGCAGTGCTACTCTCGTGGTACAATATTTACGAAGGTTCTAATGGCTTTGCCTGGTACAAATATCCATGCTCGGTTCACAAGCATTTCTTGCCGGGATAGCTGAGGAGTTGCCCATTTTTGTCACTGTGGTGAACTTGGGCAAGGGATGACTTACCGGCACTATTGAATTGTACTATTAAAGGCTCTCGCTTTTATTGCGTCTTTCAATACAGACAAGCAAACCGCCAAGAATTCCTCATGTCCCGATGGCAACTTTTTGTGTGCAAACAAGAACTGCGTCAATGACAGTCTCCTATTGCAATGGGGAGAATGACTGTGGTGACTTCTCTGACGAAGACCAGTGCAGTGAGTATGGCTGTCGCTCTTTTAGACACTTAGCGTTGAAGCGAATTCGGGCCATGTGGCGTAAGCTGCTGTTGTTGCACAGGCAGTGTTCCATGTAACTTTTACAATTTATAACAATGCCTGAATTGCAGCGTCGATTACTTCAGTGAAGAGTTTTTAAGGGGGGACGCGGCCTTTGAAAACCGAAAAATCGCGAAAAAGTCGATTTTTGGCAAACCACATATTCGGGCAGTATGTGTCATAAACTACCTTTTCTGTAAATATCAACGTATAATTCGTCGCGAAACCATTTGAAATAAAGTTTAGAACATGCCGCGGCGGCCCTCGAGCGGCGCGCGAGCGCTCAAAATACCCCAACTTGGCGTGATCGCAGTTTCTCGACCGCTCGACAGAGCGCCGCCATTTTGGTGTTGTTTTGTTTGTGAATTCTTGCTCTTTCTTTCCCCGCCACCTGCGTCGCCGGCGGCAGCGCAGGAGAAGAGCAAGCCGCTCATGATTGGAGGGCTCGCGAGAGCTTTCAAGTTTCCCGCGGCTGAGGCGCGCAGCTGGGATTGGGCGAAGCGCGCGCTCCCCAAGGATGCGGGGGAGCCCGCGACTGCCATTGGCTGCTGCGCACGATGACGTAGCGCTCTTGCGCATAATGCGGCCGATGCGGCCGCTCGTCTGCTGCTCCTCCGTCCGGCGTCTTTGTGTTCCGCTCGCTTCCGTGTATCGTTGCAGCCGTTCGCATACTCTCCACGTTTCAACTGTCTTTGAAACGATTTTCAACCGTCTTTACGAGACGATTTTCAACCGTCTATACGAGACCGTTGTTGTGTTCGCTCATGATGCGCCCAACGAAAAAGAAGACGCTACAATCGTTCGGTGCAAGGAAGCGAGCTATGAAGCTTGTCCGCGCGGCGAGGCTCTCCGCTCGCACGTGCGCCGACGGTGATCGCGCCGACGGTACCTGTGGGGCAGCTTCTGCTTCATCTACGCAAGAGAGTGGTCGCATCGACGCGCCTAGCAACGAGACTCCTGCTCCGCCGGTGCAAGAATTTGTCGTTACAAGTGCGCCTGGTGTCTCGTGCTCATCGACAGTGGCTTCCGCATCTTCTCTTTCATCGGCCTCGAGTGCGATCGCGTCGTCAACTGTGCATTTGCGAACAAGTTTCCTGACGTGCGAGGAGAAAGAGGCGGCGGATCAACAACGCGCTGCTGTGCAAAGAGAACTTGGCGCTATGCCAGCGACGGAGCGGAAATTTCAGGCAATGGAGCGCGATCATGAAGCTGCCACCGCTACAAGTGAAGGCGAAAAATTTTTCCTTGTGCAAATGGATGCCCTAGACGGCCTGCTATCTCGAACCCCGTGCCACCGGTGCACCGCGATTGGGATGAAGGTACGAGGAGGCACCCAACTTGGACTTGCTGCAAAGCTTGAGCTAGTATGCTTGCATTGTGGAGTAGTTTCAAGCTCATGGAGTTCATCTCGTCAGGATGACACAAAGGCCTTTGATGTGAATGTAAGAGCCATTATGGCAACAAAACAAATAGGCAAGGGACAAACAGCTCTCAACGACTTTTGGGCAGCGATGAACGTGTCCCATCGTGGCCTCCATCACAAGACCTTTCAGAAGCACCTGAAGAAATTCAGGGAACCGCAGACACAATGCATAGAAAATTTCTATGCAGAATCTGCTTCTGCTGTAAAAGCCACTTACAAAGAAATGGATCAATATTTCACCAGGGATATAACAGTTTGTTATGATGGAACATGGCACAAGCGTGGGCACACATCCTATATTGGAGTCGGGGCAATTATCGAATACCATACGGGCCTTATCTTGGACGCCGTTGTTCTGTCTAATCAGTGCCTTGGTTGCCAAGTAGGGCCAAAGCCTGGAGACGCAGACTATGCATGCTGGCTGGAGAATCATGTGTGCCAGAAAAACACGGACTCTAAATCAGAGAGAATGGAGGTTGAGGCAGCTATCATCCTCTTTTCACGCTCACTGTCGAAGCACAACCTCCATTACACAACGCTCATGTCTGATGGAGATAGTGCCACCTTCTCTGCCCTTGTACAAGAAAATGTTTATGGACTGGTCTCCATTTCAAAAGAGGAATGCCTGAACCACGTTCAGAAGAGGATGGGGACTGCACTTCGCAACCTTGTGCAGAAAAGTGACAAGGCTTTAGGAGGGAAGGGCAGGCTGACAAAGGCCCTCATCGACAAGTTGACAGATTATTATGGCTAGGCCCTACGGAACAATTCCGATGATGGGGCTGCAATGCGGCGGGCAGTGATGGCATCGTACCACCATGTGACGTCGACGGATGAGGAGCCGCACCACGACTTGTGCCCAGAGGGTGCAGACTCCTGGTGTCGTCACAATGCCAGCAAGATTACCGGTGTTCCACCTCCGAAGCATTCGTACAAGCTGCCACGCTATGTTGCAGATGCACTTCTACCCATTTATGAGAGGCTCTCACAGGCTTCTCTTCTGCAACGCTGCCTGGGAGCAAAGACGCAGAATGCATCAGAGTCCTTTCACTCTGTGCTGTGGTCCCTCATGCCCAAAGAGCAGCATGCGTCACTGATTGCTGTGGAGACAGCACTGCATGATGCAGTGCTAAGATACAATGCTGGCTGTTACAGGGCCACCCAAGAGCTAGCTTCATCAGTGGGGCTAACACCTGGCCACCTGGCCATTCAACGGGCAGCCGAGAAAGATTCTCTGCGCTTGAAAAAGGCTAAGAAGCGATCCCTAGAGAATATGGAAAGGCGGCAAAGAAAGAGAGTGCCAAAGGACACCTTCAGTTACGCTGCAGGTTCATTTTAGAACTGCCTATGTGCTCAAAACTTTCAAACGTGGTTTTCTCAAAATGACAATTTTGGCTAGTGAGGCTGCTTATTCCAGCCATATCTCTGGAACCACTCATTGGATTTCCATAAGTCTTTTTTTATTATGTACATGAATAAATTTCTGAGGGAGTGACAAGCCCATTTTTTCAATATATTGTGTGTGTTATTTATTATATTTATTCAAAATTTGATTGATAATATCCTAATCACGAACACAAAGTTTGATGGTCTGCTAAAGCTTTTCAGCAAGGAAATTCAAAAAAAGGGCTCTGTTACCCCCTGGAGTATTAATCTGGGAATCATCATAGTTAATTTCACAGTTCCAGCACCTTTTGAAAGTTCTCCAGGCCTGGAATAAGAGAACCATGTGCACTACCCTGATATTCTGCTATAACTTGAAAACCAGTGAACATAACTTGATGAAATTTTGTAGTTCTTCTAATGCTTTTGCTATAAGTCTATCCTGAACATTTCATTAAGATATCTCAATAAACAAAAAAGTTGGTATCCGATGGTAGCCTCCCCCCTTAAGCTATCGTACCAGTTAAGACAGCTTCCCAACACTCTTGTGTTAAAAAGCTTATTTGTAACTGTAACTGCACCTTACAAATGTTTCCTCAAGATATTTCTAGCTGCGTTGCTCTTCAAGGTTGGATAGCCAAGAACTTCGAACAAACTGAAAGCCTTATTTCAATAGTGTGCCTTCAAGATGCCTTGGATATGTAGCAGACTAACCAAAGGTTTAGTATTTGTTAATATTTATCAGAATTCAAAGCTTTTTAAATATGAAATCGGTGCAAGTCAGAGATACATAATGAAAACTTGTTATAGTTTTCAAGTTCAAATAGTTGAAGTCACAAGCATGAGGAGCTGATTGTTACCATAGGTAGGTTGGCAGTTCATCAGTCATGGTGTTTAATGTATCACTAGTCTCATTGTTAGTTAAAAATGTGTTGGAAGCCTTTTACCCGAGAGAAGTTTCTGTGGAGCGTTGCAACGTTTTAGTAGCAAAGAATTTTTGAAAAATGAGTAATGGCGAAACCTTCACTCTTTTCAGATGTCAATGAATGCGAGTTGTCGACGCACGCTTGCTCACAGATTTGTGAGGACCGCCCGATAGGCTACAAGTGCGGCTGTCATCCTGGCTTTGAGCCTAAATATGACGGCCACATCTGCGAAGGTCAGTTTCATGAGTCTGGATGTGTTTGTTTGAACAATGTGTGAGCACTTCCACTATCACTGTGGAAAACTTAATGTATTCGTTGTGCTGGGAAAATTAGAAGGTTTCCATTGAACGTGGCTGCACCTTACTTTTTGTCGAGTAAGACACTACTCTAATAGTTCTAAATAATGTTGAATCTTGGTAGCAGAAAGAATACTGATGTAACAAATTATTGGGTAAATAAACTGTAAAAATATACTAAGGTGTTTCTTCTTGATTCGGCATGTAAGAAATATATGATTGAAATGAATGTGGGGATACAGTGAAGGTGTCCAGGTCATGTACAGCTCATCATCACAAGGTTGGGGTATGTTGGGATCTTTATTATAGACAAGTATGCAGCAAAATGGCTTTTCAGGAATGCCTATGAGGGCAACACCTCATGGAAAATTTCTTGTTAAACAGAGGCTCTGTAAATGTCGTGTTTTAAACTTCAAAAAAAGGAGCCTGACAAAAACACTTCATTTAGTGGGTTTAAATGAAGAAAGGCTTAGCTTGCTATTGGTATAGACAACTTGTTTGCCACCTGTCTTAGCACAGAATTGTATTGTCATTGCCTACCGATGTCTTGCACCATTTGTCTTTTGCAGATGTGGACGAATGCACCACGAAGTATCCTTGCACCCACCACTGTCGCAACACATATGGGTCGTTTGCCTGCACATGTGCGGATGGCTATTTTTCCATTGATGCAGGCCGCACCTGCAAGGCAAACTCCTGTAAGTATGTTACTTGCACATTGCTAGGCACTTTGCTCTTGCGATAATTTGTGTGCCTTGCTTTGCGTCCCAGACAGCTTACACTTTGAAGTAGGAATGCTTTGTTACCTCCCCGCCGCGGTGGTTTAGTAGGCTAAGGTACTCGGCTGCTAACCCGCAAGTTGCAGGATCGAATCCTAGCTGCAGTGGCTGCATTTTCGATGAAGGTGAAAATGCTGTAGGCCCATGTGCTCAGATTTAGGTGCACATAACCCCAGATGGTCAAAATCTCTGGAGCCCCCCTCTACTACGACGTCTCTCATAATCGTATGGTGGTTTTGGGACGTTGGACCCCACAAGTCAACCAATAAATCTACGCTTTGTTACCAAGTGGTTTCTCGAAAATGTATCATTAATTGGAATTTCACGGGATGAGAAAAAGTTATCCAAGTGTCAGATTATCGAGTGGACAAAAGGGCAAGCAGACGTTTTAACAATATGAACAGCTTGTGGAAATGATACAGCACTTCCATGCTGTTCAAGGTACCCACATTTACCCACATTTCTCACGAGTTATCGAAGAGCCTCGTGCTTGCAAAGTGACAACTGAGTGGCCTGTCTGGATTTGTTCAGTCGTGCTGATTGCACCGAACATGTTCCTTTGTGCTTTTATTTATTTATTAATAGGATTGGAACTTGGAAGGGCTGTGTGGTGGTTGTTTGCTGTGTGACACTGTGTTAAGCACCTTTTGAGCATACGCTTTAGCAGCATTTTCATTTTGGTCATGTAAATAATGTGCAAGAGCTTTACAGTGAAAGCTCTTATGAGATCACAGCAATGGTCGTTTTGGGTGCGGTAGTTGTTTGTTACCGCCATACGTGTTCATAACCACTATTGCATAAATAAAGAAATAATTAAAAAATACCCGGAGAGGAGGAGATTTGAACCTGGACTCTCTGCAGGGCAATCCAGTGCTCTACCACAGAGCCACACCAATGCTTGAAAATGTTTTGTAAACAAAATTTATGCACGTTTCATGTCAAGGAAGGAGCCACGATAACGTATATTGGAGGGTTTTAGAAGAGTAAAATAAGAACCAGGCATCACGTGATGAGAATTGCATGGCGACTGGGTTGTTGAATACTTCCAACCCATTACAAGAGGCTCAGCCATAATTCTTTATCGTCTTGAGCCACAGCATCAACAAAGTACTTGTGAATTCTTACAGATGTGTAGTGGGTACCATACTCCTTTAAAGAGCGAGTAATGGCGTAGTGGTTGCATCCCTACTTCACCAAAATTAAGATTTATGGCCATGCAAGTGTACCTGTAGTAGTTTCCCCAGAGTGTTTGGAAAAGGCTATTGATAGGCTGCTCTTCCAGCTTTCTGTGTGACTGTGCTGTGCGGTCTGCGCAGACCTGGCATTTTTCCTATGTATTGGGTCTTGGTAATAACATGTCAGCCACTAAATGATCAGAACAACTGGTTTTGAGGCCATAACTATTTGTGGCATCTGAACATTGTATAGGTACTTGCACAGCAAATGAAAGGGGGGGGGGGGGGGGCTTTCTAATTGTTTTATTTCTTTCTTTTCACACTTAGTCAGTGGTCCGTGCGCCACTTTACTCTCCTTGGCTCTGGAATTGGCCTTTTGTGACTGGTGGGTGTTACTGCATGAGCGGAAATGCACAAAAGGAATGGTTGTGCCGTATCGCTTCCGAATCAAGCTGTTGCCTCTAAGCTCTCTATATTTGATCAAAATCAGGTGAAATGTCACGATAGGTGAATGGTTGTTCATTAGGCCCTGTTATTGCTCATCGTGGTATGTAGACAACAAACTGTTTTTTGGCAGGGCTTGCTGAAATTTTTCAAAGACCAACTTGTTTTCCAGTGTACGGTGAGTAAATACGACGTATTGTTTTTTTTTTTCCTTTTCTTGCAGCTGTGCGAGCGCATTTGCTGTTGTCAAATCGTTATTACATACGGCAAATTGACTTGCACAAAATCAGTTCAGAGATACTAGCCCAGAATCTCACCAACTCTGTGGCTCTGGACTTTGATTCGGTCGAAGACTGCATCTACTGGTCGGAAGTGACAGCTGTGGGAAGCTCCATCAAGCGTATGTGCCTCAAAGGGAGGCAGCAGCATGAGGTAAGGACAATGATGTGCATCGGTGAGTGCTTTGTTGCTGCAATTCTCTAGTTGACTACATTGGAGAATTACATACTTGCTTGATTTATACTATTAACCTCATTCGAAAATGGGAGCTTACCCAAGCTAGTTTCAAGATCAATAATGACATTTTAAAAAATGAGGTATGAAGAAATGTTTTCTTTGTGTGTGCGAAATGTGTCGTTATGAATGTCCTTAGCAGGGGTCACAAACTAACCTTGCTGGCAGGCCACAGTATTAAAACTAATCTCACAAAATAACCAGGCAGTCATATGTGAACCGGGTCACCAACAAGAAGTATATAGGCGGCATGCGGCCTGTCACCTGCATGTTTGAGGTTCCTGGTCTATAGCCTTCTAACAAACTAGTGCTGACTAGAGGATCTTGAGACTTGTGTGCAAAATGTATTCAATGCAATACTTACCACGGAAAAAAGCAACGGGTGTTTTGACTGTGTTACATAATGATAGCTGCAGTCACAGTATGAGCTTAGACTTACTACTTGAGTACTCAAGTGCGTTATATAATTAAGAAAGTCTGAGTGAAAGTGCCCCCTTCTACCCTTAGGTGCTTCAGGGCATGACAAGCACACTTCACTGTGTTGGGTTGTGGTGCACCTTAAAGCAGAAGTGTGATGCAAGGAAGCTAACTCTAGGCATCCAATCTTCGGTCATGCACGAAAGCCTGCTTTGTGACATACGTACCTCAGACATTTCAACCGTGTCTGATGTTGTGATCTAAAAACTCCACCTGTGTTATAGGATACACTGAGTTTATGCTGCCGTTGTTCAGTAGCCTTCCACATTTCTTTATAAATGCCTGTGGTGACCTGCTTTTTAACATTTGCAAGGACTACATTTTCATTTTAGGGGGCAAGGATTAGACTACTCCTTTTATACAAACACTCCAATAGTGCACGTAATCCACGTGAGCCAAGATGGTGTTTCATTCATTGTGCTTTGACAGCATTTCAAAACATGTTTCAGTGTGGCTAGCGTGAACTCCACACAGCTTATGTGATATGGAGGGCTTGAAGCTTGAACTGATAAGCCCTTTTATGCTGCTATTGTTAAAGGCACCTAGCCATATTTCATTGCGTCTGTGGCATGCACAAGTTATGTCTATCAAAAAATCTTTTGTTTGTCAGGATAGCAACATGCAATTCGCTTTGGAAGATAGTTCAGCTAAAGTAGAAGTTTCCTGAAAATTAACATGCTTTAAGAAAGTTGACTGTGGCCGCTATTTTTATTTTAGGTGCTGCACTCCACCACAGTACAGAATCCAGATGGCTTAGCTGTGGATTGGATTGGTAGGAACCTCTATTGGTGTGACAAAGGCAAAGACACAATTGAAGTGTCTCACTTGGATGGAAAGTTCCGCAAGGTACTCATTAGAACTGGTCTCGAAGAACCTCGTGCCATAGTTGTGGATCCTGTTGATGGGTAAGCCCACCTTTTTTCTTTTTCTAATCTCGCAGTGTCAAAACCCCCTGCTTTGTTTTGTACTGCTATGTTGCAACATACTGCTGTATTTAGTTTCGTTCTTGAAAATCGGCACATTTTTTGTGTTATGTCTTGTTCACTGTACTTTTCATATCTCTCTTTCTTTTCATAGTGAACGACTACAGAGGTACCTGTTAGTACTTCTGTAGAGTTCTCACCATTTGCTTATTTCAGTGGTCACCATGGTTTCTACATGTTGTTTCTATACGAATCCGAACTTCATTTATGGCTAAAAAAGATTATAGGGGCAGCAGGTATAGTTAAATTGTGGCGTGACATCTTAAGTGACCTGTGACTCAGGGTACCACTGAGGAAGGATTTACAAATATGGAGGAAGCTGCTAATACCTTGTTTGTCACGCTTTTGGTTACAAGTAACAGCCTCCGTGGTGACACGGGCCTATGTTTATTTGTTCTATTTTGTCTTTTTTTAGCTACATGTACTGGACAGATTGGGGTGAGCACCCATACATTGGAAAAGCAGAGATGGATGGCTCAAATGTGCAAGTTCTGGTGAACGAGTCTTCAGAGTCTATGGGCTGGCCCAACGCACTCACCTTGGATTTGATCACTCGCCAGTTGTTTTGGGCTGATGCCAAACACGACTACATTGCAACGGCCAATTTAGATGGAGGCAACATTCGCATCCTTGCTAGAAATGGTTTGTACAATGGTCACATACTGTGTTTGTATTTTGTCACATCATGCTTAGAAGTTATCCACTAGTTAAACAGTGTGATCTGCTTCTTCGTAACAGACACATTTTTTATAGTGTGCAGGAAATTCTAGTACATAAAGCTAACCTACCTATGTGCTATGAAGCTTGCGTGATCAAAATGCAGAGACGACACTTGCCTCACATTTTGCAGGTGTGCAATCCAGTGTTCTCTCCCATGTGTAGGTTGCTATATACGTAGATAGCTAGCCTTAAGGCTTGGTTCTTACCGCCACTTGTCTAAACTTATTTTCACTACAAGAAGATCTCTGTACTGTCTTAAATGTAACTTATAAATGATATGAAATGACCTTTTCATTACAAACTGTCAGCTGCTTCTTATGTTGCAGCGTTGTTGTGAAGCGCTAGCACTGTTATTGTCTGCCTTATATATAATTGATGCATGCTGAACTCCGCACAATATTCAGTATGTCAGATAGGCTTCCATAACATTCTCAATGCCGCATTTATGAAACACTTGTGTGAAACCTTTTTTGTAATTTTGTAATGAAGGTAGAGGAACGTCATGTGAGAAACAATTGAGATTGACTTTGTGAAGTAGTTGCTATATTACCGAGCCAAGAATCATTTCTGTGTTGTAGAAGCCTTGGCTACACTTGCTGAAAGCAGTCAATGGCAAGTCTTGTGACACCCTACAGTGCACCTCAGGGAGCACTCTTGCAGTCGCCAACAGCAGTGTTGTGCATGCATTAATGGTCTTTGTGCATCTGGTGCGCTGACTGTTTCGTTGCTCTTCAGGGCCCACATCCCCATTGCACCATGTGTTTGCTATGACGCTGTTTGAAGACAAGCTCTACTGGACTGACTGGGAAAGCAAGGCAGTGCTGTACTGCAACAAGAACAACTGCACCAACATCACCACACTTGTCCGCACTGCCATTCGACCTATGGACATTCAGGTGCAACACCCCTGAGGACAGAGGCCAAGTGAGTTCATCAATGTTCACTGAATGCAATCTTCATCTTAGACCTTCTGGCATTGGTTCAACCTGTCAGTGCTGGCCTTTTTTCGTTTTAGAGTTGAAATACCGACAGAAATGGGTCTTATTTGAAAACAAACACAGTGGCTCTTTTTTTTTTTTTTTTTTTCGCTTATGTAAAAAGGAAGCGTCAGCATTCTGACAAAATGTGATTGTTGTATGCTCTAGCTCCCAGGGGGTACAGCATAAGTGGACAGTGAATACGCTAGACTCTCGTTGGACTGGAATAAGGAATTGTCTAAACTACATTTATTACTGGACTATTGCTTGAGTATGGTTTAATTGTATTCTGCTGTAATAGATAGACCTATAAGCATGAGAGATGGCAGGAATGCTGGAAAGTGCTGACCATGCTCTGCAGCATGAATATTCGAACTAGAATACAGTTAAACCTGGAAATAACTGAAATTGATAAATTCCTGGAAAAATTCGTTATAAAGAGGATTTCGTTATATGTCGGTACGAAAATTTGAAAAATAAATGCGCAAATGAAACAAAAAGTGGACTGAAGGCAGAGCTAACCCAACACACTTATTTTACAGTAAAAGGCTGCGTTATTATTGCGGTATTGATTATATGGATATTCGCGGCGGGTATTCGCCGTCATGTTCCGTAACAAGTCCAAATTGATAATACATATGCCCCCGCGCATTGTAACTTTCACACGCGGGCGAAAGCGCGCAATGCTGCTGAAGCAGAGATCAAATGAGTCGGCCCATCCCTATCGCTTGAAAAGGGCATAACATCTCCCGTGTGTTGTTAGAACTGCCGTCGAATGCTCGAACAGAAGGTAAAGCACCCGCCCTGAACAAGCATGAAACAACGCAGGAAGAGGGGGAGGGGATCGTTTGAGTACAGTAGCAATAATCAACTTGGATTTTAAGGGCAGTCGTGACCGCTGGCGCGCTTGCCATCTCGTATTAGAACGGGTCCAACGCGAAGAGACTGTGTGAAAAGAGCACTTCTCCCTGGAGTGGCCGTATGCTCACACCAGCGGTTTTTTTTTTTTTTTTTGTAGGAGTTGTGCGATATCGGATCGAAAAAAGTTGGCTATCAGCCTTACTTCTTATAACATTACAATTTTTTGCTATCACGATAATTGTATTGCATTGAATGCGCCGCCGCGTTTTCAGAACTAATTGGCTAATTGCGAAAGCTACCAGCCTGCGAACTCGCGGCGCAGCGCAAAACGGAAGCGCGTGACGAGTCGGCCTCCGAAAATCTGTCATCATCGTGGTCAAGGAGAGTTTCCATCAGTGCCTAATCTGACATCCCCTCGATGGTGAGGACACGGTTGTTCGAAATGAATAAAAGTCACAGTTTTGCCGCAAGGAACGAAGCAATCAATGCGATAACGGCAACTTGGAATGTAACGATTTGAACGGCAAGCAGATTAAAACATGCAGCGCACTGCTCACGCACAAATGACGCATGAAAACACCATAAACAGGTCGACAGCAAACTAACAATGTTTACTGCTCAACTCTTAACGCGCCTTTTCAATAAAAACAAGGCACAAAACGTAATGAGTGCGAACTAACAAGTGCCTCAGTTGTTACGTTGCTGTCTTTTTTCAAACGGCACCTGTTCAGCGAGCAAAGTGATCTTTGTGCACCTGGCAACTAAACGCAATCGTTCCCGTCAAAGTCGAAGGACGCGCGATTCTCCCCACCGAAGAATAAGCGCCCGCGCACACGCTCTAAACCCCCCCCCCCCCCCCCCCCCCCTCCGCCTCCCATTTGTGGGGCTAAGTACCTGTGGGAGATCAGTGCGCGTCGGCCCACAGTGGCGAGCTTGGCGCCTAGATGGGTGGCTTTTTTTTTTCTTGAGTTTTCATATATATAGATACATCTACATATATAATGAATGACGGCGGTGGCAGAAAACCAATCGAGACTGTCCATACACCCAATTGCTATCGCAATAAAAAAAAAAGAAAGCAAAGCTGAACCTCGTCGAGGGCCACACCAGGCACGCGCTGTGAAACTATGCGCGCGCACGGCGTCTGAAATGAAGAGCGACGACACGGACACAGACACATATACGGCAGAAAACTATTTTGTAAAGGGCCCTCTATATACAGCCCGGCCCCACATATGTGACGCTAACTAAAAGCGTGGCACTGCCAACGCGCAAAAGTAGTTTTTTTTTTTTCTGAGTGGGGGGGGGGGGGGGGTACGTTCGGCAGTGAAAACGGTGGCGACACAGGCTTTTGGGGTGCAGGCCCGCCTGCCCACCTCATACTGACGCTGCCCGCGTGCCTGCCACCCCCGCTTCGCGTTTGGTCGGTTTGGCGTTTTGTCGGTGGTGGGGCAGCCGCAAAAGATGCATGCTCATATCAAAATGACAAAATGCAGAGCGAAATTTCTAGATTTTCCGTGGGGCAAATTCGTTATATCGAGGTTGTCTCCCGCTGCTGCTTTGTTACATAGAGGTCCCAAATACATGTGCTTCTATGGAGCGACGGCGGGGAATAGAAAAACTTCGTTATATCGAAGAATTCGTTATATGGAGGTTAGTTATAAGCAAATTTGACTGTAGTATCTTAGCAGAAAATTTTGTGGGCTGTAGAATCTGAAGGAGAGAAAAAACTTGGCTTCTAGGGATATACGCTAGATGGCAAAGCCACTTCAGAGCTTGCCAACTTTCACATTACTGTGTACAATGAAGTAAAAAGAATGGAGGATGCATATGTATGTTGGTGACACAGGGTTAACAGTCTTTTTGTTTCTGCATGTGATAACAGCTCTGTGTCATTTTACAGCGATTTATCAATTCATTCCCCAGCTTTCTGATTTCAAGACCGCTTTTTTACCATCTGACAACATTTAGAAGCATTGGTGAATTATCCTTCCACCTGTTCGTTTTATCATGGTTCTGTCAGGCACAAGTGAGCAATATCCAAACAGGAAAATGAAACCAGAGATCTTTGTCCGTACACAGGTTACATTCTAGTGTGCTTGACTGGAGCTGTAAAGCCTGATACATAACTCGCCTCCTTCCAAGTGTCTTTGCGCTAACTTAGTACATGCATTTTGTCAACCAACGACCATTTATAAAATGTTGCACTGGCAAATAAAATCTTTTTAATGACACACAGCTTCACACAGTGCATTTCATTAAGTGTAGTGTTTCTGGTCAAATCACTCTAATTTTGTATAGCAGGTGACCCTCATTAGTTATTGTGTACTATATTTTAATGATGATTAGCTGCACGATAAGCCCAGAAAGAAGTTTAATGCATCCGTTCAAGTTGTTCGTGAGCTTTCGAAGACTTCATAATGGCAGTGTTGCTCTGTGTTGCATACAGCCACATAGGATTTCAGCAGATAGCAGGAGAAAAAGCGGTGATAATTCAACTGGACGATATCGCTTTTGCAAAATTGAATTCTGTGCTAACAGCTTTATTTTGTACTGATGTTAAGTAGTTAGGTGGTCAAATTGGCACATTATTGAAGAAAGTAAGCAATGCAAACGACAAAAGACAGTGAGAGAAGAATACACATAAAACTCTTGCTGTGTCGCCTTTCTCTGCCTATTATCATCCAGGCTGTTCAGTTTTGTAATTCCTTTATAAGTACTATTTGTGTTTACCACAATATTCCGAGCAAGCATCCCCCTATGGTCAAGGAGAATTTGACGAGATTTGGTGGGGGCGGGGGGCTCCTGCTTGGTAATGGATCAAAATTTAAGATGGCGGCAAAAGAGCCACCAAGAATAAAGAGTGCAACCTTGTGCTTCTAATAAAATTCTCTATCCAATGAGCATGCATTCACTGTTTTCATTTGCCCTTGTTGGGTGAATGAAACAGTGAAAATGGCAAGAAAGAAGAGGCCGCATATTTGATATCTTCCGAAAAAGGGAGGGGGCACTTTGCTCTGATTGGGGTGCTTGCTTGAGACTCTACAGCAGTTGCATTCATTGATATTTTCAGTATGCAGCCATACTTGGGTTTTATGGACAGATTTTTATTTTTGATATTATAACCAGCTGTTTATTGCTTTTACTTATTTTTTTATTGCGCATTGGAAATACACTGTGGCAAAACTTGTAACACATTTCTACTGTTGTCATCACTGTGTCACAGTTGTCTTTTTACAAACGCTCTGACTTGGCACGCACACCTCGCTTTTTGCACCTGCAGTGCCGGACAACCCCTGCCAAGATAATGGTGGCTGTGCGACGCTGTGCTTACTCAAAGCTGGGGGCAAGTCTACGTGCGCGTGCCCCGAAAATTACGTCTTGCAAGGGGACTCTGTATCTTGCGAGAACAACTGCACCAGGTGAGAGAGGCCTGCGCAATCTTGTAAACCTCAAGCGGCCAAGGGAGGGGAAACATTCGGGGACATTTGCAGTAATAGCTGTGCCACGTGAACACTGTGTTTAAGCCACTTTTGCAGCAAAAATTATAACAAGTCATCATAGCAGAGCCTTGCTGCTATTGTTGGTAACAAGAACACTTGTATGTCTGAGTAGCAAACTTTGTATGTTCAAGTCACGAAGACAACAATGTAATCAAGCATAATTTCATAGCAACAAGCCATCGAGTCAAAGTATAGTGCTAAATCTAGGTGAAGGGCTGCAACCACTTTTAACTGTACTATAAAAGTTGGTTTGGTGATCCCTTGTATTTGTGTCATGCGCGCTATCTTGTCTGATTAGAGACATTTTTCCGCAGGAATCACTCAGTTTGCTTGGAATAGATGAGGAGTTGAGATAAAGCATGCTAGACATGCTACACTGGCTAAGAGTCAAGTGTAGCAGCAGGCGTATTTTGTGTGTATGGTGAAAGGCCTGTTCAAGCGCAACTATCGACAGTGATATTAAGTAGCTTGTTTCTCCACAGGATCACAGTAAGAGAATTTCTCTGGCGATGGTTATTATGGTGTGCACGTAATGGGCAGCTGACTATGCGATCCTGAAGATTTTGTGCTGTGTGTATTTTACGGCGGAACGGTATGTGAGGAAAGTTGGGAGTCAAGAGAGGAACCTCTGCTACCTCATTATTCAAAACTAATAACTAATATCTAATCTTTTATATAGTCACTGAAGTTGGGTCATGACCATTCACTTCAATACTTTCCAGCTCTAAGCCCTTATAAGTGAATATTAACATTTTCACATAAACTGGTCAAGTCAAGAAGTGGAAATAAATGTTTTGTTTGTTTTCTCATCTTAAGCTTTTATTCGAGTGTGCTGTGATAATGGATCTCTGTTCTTTTTGTTTTTACAGTTCACAGTTTGTATGTGAGAAGACGTACAAGTGCATTCCCTCCTTGTGGCGTTGTGACACCCAGGATGATTGCGGTGATGGCTCTGACGAGCCGCCCAGTTGTCCACCATTTTTGTGCAGCCCTGGCCAGTTCCAGTGCGCCGATGAACAGTGTATCCAGCCTAGCCAGTTGTGTGACGGCAAGCCGCAGTGCACAGGTGGCGACGATGAACACGACTGTGGTATGTGTGGTCTTGCGTTCCCGTAAAAAAATACTCAGCAGGGCAGTTTTGTTGTGTGCAAAGAAACCCTTTAGCTTTATTTTGCCTTACAGCTTGACTGTGCAGAATTCATTTGTTCCACTTCAGAGAAATTGTTCGTTGTAAACCTTTGAGTGAGCTGTTTTGAACAGCAGAGCTGGAAATGCTGCATGAAGGGATGCAGACAAGTTCCACTGTTTGAAGTAGTTTTGGCGATGGGCCAACTAGCTTATTTGAACTCGCTTCTGAGTAAGTTGTCATATTCAAGACAAAACAACAGCATACCTTTTATCTGTGTATTAAGTGTACTCTGAATTAACCATCGCAAAAATTGTGAGTGCATCCTTGGAAAAGTGGGTCGATGAAGTGTCTGATGAGCTGCAGAAATCTTTATGAGTTGAAATTTATCGAGGACAAACATTTAAAAGGTACTGCTTAAAATCAGTGTGGTGTCAAAATATAAATGACAACTGTAGAGGTTCCTTCACTGACAGCATTTTTCTTTCTGCGTACAATAGCCTTGTACTGGTTTCATCCTTTGTGATTGCTGCAGGTTATTGGGAAAGTAGCCTGCACAAGGTTTGTGCTTTCACAATCACTGTGGGAACCAATTCAGCCAGAATTATGGCCAAGGAAATGCAAGTACCATGCAATGTCATGATGAAATTATGTTAGGAAAATGCACCACATTGATAGAATCAGTTCATGGACAACACACGTTAGCCAAGTGCTATCACTTTCTCCTCTTGGCCTACAGTCTCTATGCAGTGGTTTCCTGTGCAATCACAGATGAGCAAAAACAAAACATATGCTGTTCTTATACTTATCATTATGCGTAACATTGGCACTTTCTTTTTTCCTTCATATTGGCAGCTACGCATTCACACCATGGTATTATTGTAAAAATGGTAGTGTGCTAGCACACCACCACACTGTCTATGTCTTACATTCAGTAAGCATGATGGCACTTACAGCATTTCACAGTTTATAAACTGGCCGCTACAGAACAACCTGTTCTATTGTTTCACTTCGTTAAATATAAATGAATATGCTTTCCCACCACTGTACGCACTGTTGTTGTGTAGCGCCGTCTAAAAAAAATATTGCTTATTTAGCGTCAATTCATCGGTCAGTATCTCTGTAGTTTATTGCAAAGTTCTGCTGGTAGAGGTTATTTTCGAGCGCTCAATGTGCATTTTTTTTTAGGAATATACAATATTCAATTGTACTGGCAGAGTATTGCTGATCTCACAGGGACATGAATTCAATGGTGGTATGTATAGCTTACTGCAGAGACTAATTCACGCTCGTTCTCTTGCAGACAAGTACACCTGCTTGCCAAGCCAGTTTAAGTGTCCTGGCAATGGGACATCGCAGGCATACTGCATATCAGTGGCGTCACGTTGTGATGGGCCACATCGACTGTGCCATGGGTGGCGAGGATGAACTCAACTGCCGTAAGAAATTGTTGTCTACTCATTCGTTGTCCTTATGTTTTACCATAAGACCAGGACCTGAAACTGTTGATGGAATTTTTCTAGTTTCTCTCCCTGGCTTGCGGTGATTTCATAAGGTAGTGCTGTCTGACTAAAACTAGTCACTGACGAGGTTTATCATAGTCAACAGTAAAAGTTTGGCAAGGCACTGCAGTGCCTGTCAGTGACCAACACGGGCCCTCTTGCAGTCGAAGCACACGTCATTGTCTTCCTCTTCCACATACCACCGAAAACACTGACAGTGTCCACTTGAGGGGTTGGTAAACGTTTATTCATTAAAAAATGTGTGGGTAAATAAATTAGTTTGTTATAAGAAATTCAAAACTTGACTGGACAGTCCTTTTTCTAAAAGAGCCTTTCTCAAATAAGCAATTACACAGAAGAATTTGTCTTATTAGATAATGGTGTTGCTGCTGTTGTGATTTGCAAGTGAAATGCGACAAAATCACTGCCCATAATTTTCTCCACTACTTGAGCAGCCATTGTTCTGCAGATATGCATTAAAATTCAAAAAAACAATCCACTTGCCCAATCGTCTGCTGTCTCTTTGATGCGAGTGTTGTCTAGTTCTTTGTCTCATTCACATTAAACCTACTGCACACGCTATGTTTTTGTTAAGGAAGTCTGAATCTTCATACCTTAGCTGATGATCAGCAGGGCGTTATGTAACAAAGCATCGCAGTGGCTACAGGTGACCTTGTGGGAGAGTGCATCAAATTAATTTTGTTGATCTGAACTTTTTTAGTACCTAAATCTAAGTACATAAGCATTTTCTTATTTTGTTATTGACCTCTCAATCCAGCACCTTAGGAAATCAGACAGATGACTCTGTGCTTAATAGCCAGAAATCAGAATGAAGTCACCACGAAAAACCTTCTGCCTTTATTAAATACTATACGATGATTCTCACATGCTTTTACCCCTTAAAAAAAGTGCACTAGGTTGCTGTTTCATTGAAGCACTGCTTGCAGCTCCGAAGACTTGTCCAGCGAATCAGTTTAAATGCAACAACAGCCGTTGCATTCCTGATGTGTGGACTTGTGATGGAGACAATGACTGCTTTGATGGATCAGACGAACCACCTAACTGTGGTAAGTACCTCTGCATTTTTTCATTACATTTGTACGCAGTCTCAATGCTGTGACGTTGGTCAATGCACAGAGATGCACTGCATTCATTCAGCATTGCATGTCCACGCGACACAGATAAGCGAGTACTGCGGGAAAGCTGCCACAGCAGACCGTTACACCTCTCAGTTGGGCATTGCTTGCACATTTTTTTGTTTAAATGTGATCTAGAAGCACATTTGGCTACTGAAATCACTATATCAACCCTGCATGCAGTTAATAGAACATATGTTTGGTAACTAGTGCAATTTTCTTTGCTTTCAGCCGACAGAGAATGCCCTCCAAATTCATTCCGTTGTTCATCCGGGCGCTGCATTCCTTTGGCATGGCGCTGTGATGGTGACTACGACTGCTCGGGTCGGGAGGACGAAGGCTCTTCGTGCGATGAGGAAGCCATGAGCTGCCACCCATCTTATTTCCGTTGCAACAATGGCCGATGCCTGCCTGGCCATTGGCAGTGCGACTTTGACGACGACTGTGGGGATGGTTCAGATGAGAAGGACTGCGGTGAGTACGCACAGCTCACTGGGGCTCACAGATTGGCTGTCATTCTTAACTTATGTGAGATATGTGGGAAGAAAACCTCGACATCACTGATCCAGCCTTAACTGTCAACGCATTTTTTTTTGTTTTTGTATTGTTATGATGCTCCAACTGTTCCCAATAGGTAAAAAAAAATTCATCTGGGGTTCGTAATACACAGACACAGACACAAAAACTATACTTAATGTATAGTTTTTGTGATAAACCTTTGGTCTCACAGTGTTCTAAAAACCATGGCATCTTCTTGATTAGAAAATGGTTGCTTTTGTGCCATCTCGTAAGGACTTGCAAAAAATTGCAATTGGTGTTTTTCTTTCTATGAATGACAGAACGCCGTACTTGCTTGAACAACGAGTTTCAGTGTGCGAATGGGAGGTGCATCAAGGCTTCCATGCATTGCAACGGAGAGTTCAACTGTGAGGATCGCAGTGATGAGGCCAACTGCAGTATGTATTCCCTTTACTTGGTCCTCTCTTTCTTCACTTTTTCTTAGCGGCCTAGGCATTGGGTTTGTTATTACCCTTTCATTGTGGCAATAAAGGAATTGGCATTCTCTTTGATGATTATGTCATACAGAGTGTGAAATTGTGAAGGAATGTATGCTTGGGCGGGATTCTCTTTGATATCACTGAGTTATGAATGTAATGTGCTCAGTAATAACATGTTTGCCATTTATAATCTTTATCATGCAGTATGCAAAAGCTTGGCAAAGATGTGTAAAATGAAAGAAATTCGGGCTGCCTTACCACTCTCCTTGTTTGTTTCCAGATTCGACATGCCGTTCCAATGAGTTCTACTGCAAAGTTGTGGGCCACTGCATCCACAAAGAGTGGCGATGTGATGGCGATGTAGATTGTGCTGATGGTTCGGATGAAGAAGGTTGCAGTGAGTATTGTTTCTCTTTGCTTTCTTGCTTTATTGCATACTGAGGTGTCATGCTAGACACAACAGCATAACATAGAACAGATACATAATTAGTGACACCACTTTGCTGACCTGGTACTCTTTAGTCTTTACATAGCAAATGTTCACCCTGTCACCGACTGTTTCCTATAGCTGCACTCTTTGCAACAATTTTCAGTTCTGCTGAGCTGAATTTTCAGTAAGTTTATTGGATATGCACAGTCTATTTGTAGCAAGGAAGATACTAACGGGGGACGTGTTGAGCAACACGTCGTACAACATGCTATCCTCTAAACCAGTTTGACATTCTAAACAGGGTGTTGTGGCTGTTAGCTTTTTTTTGAGTGAAACCAAGGTCTGTTGCATTTCTTGTACAACATTATATGATTGGTGCTGGCATACTTGGAAAATTCACAAGCTTTATCCAGATGAACACTTTCCTTTATCCCTACGTCATTCATACAGCATTTATCGTATCATTGGTAAATAGTAAATACTCCATGCTTTCATGTCAGCTTATAGAAGACCTGTTCAGTTTAGGAAGGTGTTTTAATGTGCTAAAATATGAACTGAGCATAATATATAGTATTCCATTTGGTGACACTATTCGAATGCAAGGTTATGCTCACTATATTGTAAATTATGTAACACCACATGTTACAGGTCTTTCTTTTGAGGCATAACAGATGTATCATCATTGAATGAGCCCTGCAACACTTTTCCAAGTAACCATGGAATGGCCTCACAAATCAAGCCGTGCAAAGCTTTTTAAAATTCGTCCAGTACGAGAGGAGATAGTTGCAGATAACTGTCTCATGCTGTCCTTTGCTCGTCGGGCAAAAGTGCTGGAAGCTAAGCAGGGAGGAATGGCATGGGGAAAGGAGGTACATCACATCTGCCCGTGACCTTTAACACTTTTTATTTATTTTTTTTATTCAAATGCACAGCTTTTGAGTGTGATTGAGCACTCGCACAGACGCATGGCAGCCTCTTACGGCGGATACAGTTACTCTCGATCGCGTCGTACTCAAATAAGCCAATAGCGTGATACCTCTACCTGTGACGCAGTGATTCATGAGTGTACAGCATCATTTGGTGAGAGGAGAAAGTGATCTTTAGCTGACTTAGATTTTATTGTAAATTCCAGGCCTTGTGTGGTGGTATAATATTTGGCTCGAATATTCTCGGAAGCCTCAATTAACGATTGGCAGTGTTTTCTGACTATGCTCAAAAAGTGTTGCAGGGCCCTTTTAAAGATCCTCGTTTTTCTCTCTCCCCTCTTCCCTTTTTCAGATATTGCTTGTAAAGCAGGAGAGTTCCAATGCCAGAATGGGGCTTGCATTACTAGTGCATTCCAGTGTGATAATGAAGATGATTGTGGAGACGGCTCTGATGAAGACCACCACAATTGCTGTAAGCGTATTTCTTTGGAGAACTTGTCTTATCTTGCTTTGTTCATATTTTAGCGAAAAGAAATTGTAGTTGTCACATCAAATATTATCTAACTTATCTAGATGGCATGAGTATTTATAGGTTTTCTTCACATTTGCTTCTTATGTAGCGTAGGGATGATGCTTCACATGGTGTGTGTGGCCCTTAACAATGAAGCTGCAACCACCACGAAATTGTCAATTTTTTTTTCCATGTGTGTAGAATAGGTACTGAAAACACAGAACATACATAATGTGAGGCACAACAAAGGGTCAAGACAAAATTAATTGAAACACATGCACACTTGTGCAGTGTGGTAGCAATACAGTGCATACTGCCTTGTTGACAACAAATGCAACATATGAATATGAAGCTAGCTTATATTAGCCCAGTAGGTAGTTATTAGCATTTGAGTTTCTGGTATGGTGCTCTGGTCAGCTGGATTTTTATCTGGTTGAAGAGCTATGGGATATCGAGTAACATGATGGACACCGAAGTCTGTGGTGCCGGCAAGCCAAATTAATAATTTTGAGGGTACTTGTTATTGTTGTGTATCAGTCGCTAACAAGTGTGTTCTCTTTATAGTATGAACAAAAAAAAAAGTCAGTGGAAAGTATATTGCCTCTTTGGTAGAAGGAAACACCATTCTGAATTTTCAGTACTGCTGCACCTCTTTTTGATAGACACTGGTGTAATAGAAATATGAGTATAAGAGGTGCCAATGTTCCTACATCAAAATACAGGATTATAAGTAAATGAAATGCTAGTACCTTGCTTAAAGAATAACCAATGTGAAAGAAAGGCAAGAGTTGCTTCCTAGTGAGTGTCTCTTTTGAACGGGTTCAGTAGCACTAATACGTCCCAGGGCAGTCAGTAGACAGGGTAGTGCAACCTATAAATGTTTCGAGTGGCATATTTTCTTCTTGGATGCACTTCTGTAAAACTTATAGCAAAGCCATTGATTGTTTCAAAATTTTTCTCTCGTCTTGTGACCCCTGCAGTGCATTTCGCATGCCCTCCCGGAAAATTCAAGTGCAAGAACAGTCTATGTGTACCGGGCTCAAGCGTGTGCGACGGAAAGGATGACTGCGGGGATAATTCCGATGAGGACTCCCCTCAGTGTGAGCCTCTGCTTGTGTTGCTTTTGCATGGGCTTGATGAGTCTGTTAACTGTTTTAAACAGAGGATGGTGCTTGTTGAGAAAACAGCTGTGGCAGTGATTTTCGAAGTGTCTCACAGCAGGTGGGTAGCTAATTCATAGCACAGCTTAACAGAAACCTGCGATGTCCTGCTTTTCCAAATGGTTTTCCTTTCTAATACAATGAATCTGCATAATCAGCATATGACCTTCTTCATGGCTACCAGAAAGCATTGCTTGAGGAAGTTTTAAAAAGAAGGCTACAGCACATACATACATACATACAGCATGGTCTTATGAAATTGTGTCACTAACATAAGGCACCAGAATTTTACATGTTAAGTAGTTCTGTCTGTTGAGTACCGTATTTACTCGATTCTAGCGCGCATTTGATTGTAACACGCACCCGATTTCCACGACGAAAGAAAAAACGTAAGACATCGATTGCAACGCGCACCCATTTTTCTCGCTGGCCCGCACGATCACAACACTCGAAAAAACGACTCCTTTCGGGAGCGTCTTCCATTTAAATATGAAGTACGGGCGAAGCTTGTGCCCATCTGATGTGTAACAGAGCGTTGCCGTCACTGTAGTTTTACCGTGGACCGATGTCAGCACGGGAACTTGCTTCGCCCCTTCTTCTCGACGGTTGTGGTGCCAGGCATGTCGAAGTAAAGAGGCGTCTGATCGACATTCCCGATTTACCCAAGCAGGTAGTCGTTGTTGTGCCGCAAGTTTAAGACGAACCTCTGAAAACTGTGAAGCTTTTCATTGTACTCTTCCGCAAAACTTTTCGCATATGCGCGTTCCCCTTCGGAGGGAAAAGCCTTTCCTCTTCATAAGTTAGTTAGCCAGCACCTGCTCGCTTTGAACTGGCTCCGCGTTAGCCCTTTTTCTAAGGCTAACTGCATAGCCCGCACTTAGAGCAGTTCTGTCGTCATGGGCCGCTCGCTGCTCAAGCACATACTCGCCGAGCAGCTCTTCAATTTGCGGAAACCGACCCTGCTGTGGTTCACTGAAGCCTTTGCGTGAAGCTTTGCTGTCGACAATCTTCTGCTTTGTTTCCGCCAGTCCCGCACGCACGTTTCCGGAACTCCGAACGACCGCGATGCGGCCCGATTTCCGTCCGTTTCTGCACACTGCGATGACTTTTCTTTTAAAAGCGGCATCGTGGTGCACTCGACTTTTTGGAGTTGGCCCTTCCACGCCGTAAATGCTAATGCACTACAAGATGACGAACTCTTTCAGCACACGTACGAAGTGTCGCACATGGAAAACACATAGGCAGAAATGGCCGACGAGCCATACCGACGCACGTAGGCCATTTTGGAAACGCCGATGGCAATAGATTGACTGTATTAATTTTTTTTTTTTTTTCGTACTCGATTCTAACGCGTATGCGATTTATGAACTCGCTTAACCGGAAAAAAGGTGCGCGTTAGATTCGAGTAATTACGATATATATACATAATGCTATATTTCATTCACTGTTCAATATTAACTTGTCATGTATTTGCAATTTCAAAAAAAATGCAAGATTAGACTAAAGAGGGCTTGGAACGTTTTATGTTTAAACATATGTGTAGTGTGCCTGGTTAAACTGAAGGGCATTTCTCCACAAATATTTTTTAACATTTTTTTTTTTCCATATGTGCTTTGCATGAACGAAGTTTTTCGCAGCCGAGTGCTGTGCGCCATTCTGACATCACCACTCGTCCTTCCTTTTGCCATTCAAGCGGCTTGAATTACCTGCTTCTGTGCCCATGTAGAACAGTCTTTGCTGTGCTTCACACATCATTAGCTGAGCCTTTGTACTGGTGGTACCTTGAGGTCACTTGGTATGGACAGCCCTTTATTGCACCTGTTGTTTACATTGATAAAATGTGTTCAACTAAGTTTTAGATGCAAAGCAGCTCTATGACAAGCCTGTGTAACATTGTCTCTCTGTACAAACGCGCCGTGCGCCACAGGTGTTGCGCAGTGCAAGTAGGTCACGCCGCTGCTGCACGTTGACGTCATGCCCCCTTCGCAGTGCACGCTGACATCACTCTCTCTTGCCTGCCGCCTTGTCCATTTGCCCGCAACACCTGCCGAGACCGCCGAGACTGCCGCTCTCTACACCGCCGACTCCTCAGTTCACGCGCAATAAACCTGACGCACACGTAACGTAGGCGTTGAAACATGTCTGTACGTGTCACCTATAAAACCTGTGCCAGCCATCGCTTCAAACGAATTTTCCAGCGCTCACTGCAGCACCCGCATTAGCGTCATTTAACCCACGACGCCACCTGTGGACAGCGCTGCTGCTTCGCATCCCATCGGGTTCCCTTCGGTAAAATGGTGTTAATTTTTAATAATTACAATCCTCAAATTTTCTCTCAGTCTTGAGACACCAGCAGACAGTTTCTAGTTTTGCCACAACTTTTTTCTAACCTGCTCCTTGTATGCTTGCTTCTGTTGAAATTTTGCATTCAGAGAATGGGTTAGCAGGAGACTGTATCCTCAGATATACCTGTATGATTTTGTAAAAGTGCAGTTTACCTTCACCATTCTAAGTTGACTGGAAACTGAATGCTACGTACTCACATTCTCTAGGTCATCATTGCAAGCCGCACGAGTTCAAGTGCAAGAGCCAAAGATGCATAGCGATCAGTTTATTCTGCAATGGCATTGACGACTGTGGTGATAGCACTGATGAAGAAGACTGCGGTAAGAACTCCAATGTGTCCCATACTATCTGCTTTTGTGCTGCCCTTCAAAACTGAGTTTCTTTAGTGGGGCGCTAAAGTGAAACACTTGAGTCGGTTCAGGTAGCCTAGCTATTTATTCTCAGAGAACCCTATTGTTATTAATTTTTCAATTATAGTTCTACTGTAAAGGACGAAGGGAAGGTATATTTTTAGTTTTGCTCTGATTGCCCCAGCACCTCAGTGTTAGCGTCGATAGAATGTCAACACTGACATTGCGAAAGAACATTGATAAAATATCAACGTTTTTCATCGAATTCTACAGCATTCACTCAATGAAATTTTCTGGAACATGTCATGTGTGGTCTCTGGCGCCCTCAAATTGCAATGCAAATGATCTTGATTGATAAAAATTGTGTACATATAGCGAATACTGTTAAAGTTTACTGTGTCATGGTGAGTCCAGCCATGGTAGATCAGTGGTCATGGTGCTCAACTGCTCACCCAAAGGTCACCAGCTCACTCCCGGCTAAGGCAGTCGCATTTCAGTGGAGGCAAAATTGTGGAGATCCGTCTACTGTGCGATGTCAGTGCGTATTACACAACACCAGATGGTCCGAAATTTCCCAAGCCCTCCACTATAGCATCCCTTATAATTATATTGTGATTGTGGAATGTAAAACCTCGTTTATTATTATTATTTTGTTTAAGTCATGGTGAGCTGAGGAGGGAACTTTAGGGGCTGTGTCACCACCTGTACTTTCTTTTTTCATATTTTATATTTTATGGTGTTTCAGGCATTTTCTCACTATTAAAGTGGCACATTATTGGTGCCATAGAAGGGTAATTTACCAGCACAAAAAAAAAGAATGATTTATTTTTTTCTTTTTGTGTCCCTTAATTACGATAGCATTACAATGCTCCAAAGATCTGTTTGGTAGTGTAGTGATGCTGCCACCACCGCGCACCCCCGCGGTCATAAAAACACTGAGACACCTCTACAGGCAAACCCAGACCATTTCTAACCAACCTTTTTCGTAAGAAAATATTCGACGCCTATCACAGCCTTTCTCCCCCGGAATTCGCGCTTCCCAAAAGCTTGTTTATTCACGCTTTGTCTGGCCCGGCATGAACGCCAACATCAGGGATTGGGTTCGTGAGTGTGCATCGTGTCAGTGCAGCGAAGTTCAGTACCCCGTTCCTCCATCAAAGCCCTTCTTGCAACTTGACAAACGTTTCGCCGTTGTGCATATTGACATCATTGGCCCGTTACCCCCATGTCAAGGCTATCGCTACCTTCTGACATGTGTAGATCGTTTCACCCGCTGGTCCAAAGCAGCTCCTACGCCCGACATGTCTGCATCTACCGTCGCAGCAGCTTTTGTTTCTACCTGGATATCCCGATTTGGCCGTCCGACAACGGCTGTATCGGACTGGGTTTGCCAGTTCGAATCTTCCCTCTTTTTGGAGCCCCTGAAACTTCTTGGTATTTCACGCCTGCGCACACCGTCATACCATCTGCAAACAAACGGCCTCGTCGAGAGATTCCACCGGCACCTCAAAGCAGCACTTACAGCACACGGTTGCCCCGACAAGTGGGTTGACCGCCTCCCGCTCACGCTACTCAGAATTCGATCTTCTTCAAGAAGGACCTTTCCTGCTCCACTTCTGAGCTTGTTTATGGCACTTTGCTTCGCCTACCTGCCGATTTCTTCGAAGAATGTGGCAGTGCCGCCCACTTAACAGTAACAGAGTACGTCGACCAGCTGCACGACGTCTTTCGACACATTCGTTCGCAGCCTACACGCAGCCAGCCACGTGCAGCATACATCCCTCAGGACCTAAAAACAGCGACACACGTGTTTGTGCGGTACGGCTCTGTGTGCGCCTCGCTTCAACCACACTACCTCGGCCCCTTTCGTGTGTTAGAGCACTGGCCTGCTAACTTCGTCGTTGACATCAATAGAACACGCGATACAATTGTGCTCGAGCGGCTCAAGCCAGCGTTCAGTGAAGCACTCGATCTTAATTGCCTCGCCGCGCCTCGCTCCGCTGGACACGAGGGCCCTTCCTCGCCAATATTCCTACCATCATCACCACTGCGCCATGTTCACTGGGATGACACTTCAACTGGGTATCGTTCGTCGCACCAGCTTCCTCTCTAAGGGAGAAGCAACGCGGCCGCCATTGCGCACCACCACGGTCATAAAAACCTGCGGAGCAGCGTTCCAAGCAACATGCTGCTCTCCTCTCTGTTTCTCCTTCGTCTCTTTCACTCTTGCCACTTCCTGGTGCACTGCGTGCACCTGCTCTTTTTTTCGACTCTCTGGTGGACAGAATAAAGTAGACGTTGTTACTGAAAAGACGTGTTCGTTTCGTACAACCTGGCTCTACAGTAGCTTGCACCTTCCTTTCTTTAGTGTATTTGCCAGAAAGTATTCGCTACCCATTGTAGAAGTTTAGCGAGTGAGGTGTCACGCTGTTAAGCTCGATGCATGTAGGTTCGATTCCTGGCTGCGGTGGCTGCATTTCAGTGATTGCCAAATGCAAGGACGCATTTGTACTTAGCTTTAAGCCCATGTATAAGGAGAGGAAGGGCAAAAAGGGTGTTTGAATTTGACCCGGAGTCACCCACTATCCACTGCAGTAACCTCTCAGTAAATGAAAATTTGCTTAATGGAACTGCTGCTTAAATGGAACAAGTAGTTCTGACTAGATTAGTTTCGTGCTTCTATTCTACACTCTCGTTCATCTCTCAGTAAATAGAACCTATTTTCCTGGTCCCTTTAGGTTCTACTTAATGAGATTGTGCTGTATACCCAACCCCATAATTATATTGTGCTTTTGGCATGTAAAGCTTCTCCAATTAGCGTAGCGTTCGCTGTAATATATGCTTTAAGTCAGCATATTGTGGGCATTCTGTATGAGCAAGACTTCTTTTATTTTCAAATTCTGGGGAGAAAAAAAGCATGTATATATTTTGTACTGCTGCTTTTTTCTAGACACGGGACCCTGCCGATTTGGCACCTGTTCACAGACGTGCAACATCAAGAAGAATTCCACCCACAGCTGCAGCTGTGCTCACGGTTTCGTTAAAGATCACCGACGCAACAATTCCTGCGTGGCACAAGGTAAGTTCGGTATTGACTCTTTGCTCACCTCCCTGTCATTCGGTTTTTCTGCTTCTCCTTGGACAGCAGAACGTATTGTTAGAAAAGAGATGCACAAAGCGTGAAGAGATGGTAGCCCTGATGGAGAGAAGCAAGAAGACTCATTAGCTATGTCTAGTCCAGTGGCACTCGGTTAACTTGGTTGATTCATTCTACTTGGTTAAAATAGTCAAAGGGGGAAGGGAAACTCTCAATTTAGATTTTCACTCAAAGTGTGGCATGCTGGCAGTGATGGTTAAATTTAGCCTTTTTGTTTGCACAGTTGTTTCGAACTTCAAATAAAAGGAATGGCCGCGTGTCAGTTCACCACGAGCACTTGGCAACCTCTGTTCAATATTACGTTATTGTGCACCGCTTGAGGGACAAAGACTTAGGAACTACACAAACATCAGCTGCATAATATATTCAAGCTGTTCGGGCTGCATAAAATGGAGAATATATGATTAAACAAACGAGGTGCTGCACAAAGGAAACACTGACACATTTCACTTCCTTGTCCGCATTTCCTTTCCTTTGAGCAGCATCTTATTTAGTCACGTACCACCGACTCGCCCAGCAACGTGCATTATTGGAAAATATATGAACAGGAGAAACTAAGTGTACAGTTTGCAGTTACCAATGTTTGCGTATATTCTCTGGCCATCTTCACACGATCTGAATCTATTAGGACCTCGAATCACTTTCTATGCTGTCATCGTTGTATAGGGGGACGCAAAAGTAACTGTGAAATGTAAAAAGCCTACCTTTTCACGTTGATGGGGCACCACAGATTTGCTTGCAAACAAAGTGGGGAACCCGGGAATTTGGTTAGTGCAAATCAAAAGACGCATACACCTTATTGAATTATGGGATAGCTTCAGCGTGCACAGAACAAAGACAAAAAAAAGTGTGCGAACACTGTTTGTCTACTTCCTTTTTGTCTTTGTTCTGTGCGCGCTACAATAATTTCATGATGAATTCCTACCAGCTCGTCTAGTTTTTATTAGTATTGCCATTAAATGCCTGATAAGGAATCACATTGGTGTTTTTTTTTTCTCAGCTTCTTTGCACTTCAGAATGGTTTTGCATTTATGGTTGCTAGAACAACTCAACATTCAACAAGTTGCTACGAGTCCAGGTAGGCATTACAGTATCTATGCTGAGCAGAAACTAACATTCTGATAACACTGCAAACAGGATTAAATAGAGTCTTCTTGTTTCAGCGTCGATATGCCCTGCGAGTTGTCTCAACTAACAGAAAGCACTTATCGGTTGTTCAGGAGACAAAGCCTTCCTACTGGTGGCAAGTGAAAATGAGCTCCGCCACGTAGACCCCTACAAGTCGTCGCACCAAGACGGTCAAGGCATGCTGGGCAACCTGGACCCTTCGAATCGGATTCACGCCGTTGACCTGTTCTACAATGACTCTCAGACGCTGGTGTTCTGGGCCAGCTTGCACATGGGTGCTATTTACCGCAGGCGCCTTTCACCACTGCCCCGAAGAAAAGATAATGTCCGACGCAAGCGACAAGCAGCTGGTGATGCAGCTGTACTGGTAAGCCTGCGTCTTTGCTGTCACGTATCTAGTAGTAGCAACTCACCATGTTCGATTGGGTTGCGATGCTAACTACAAGAGGGGGTGGGTGGAATGGCTGGCCACAGTGTCTGCATTTTGATGCAAACGAAAAGCAAAAACTCTTGAAATAACCCAAGTGTTTCCGTAGAACTGATTTTAGTATTGTGTGTGCCCACACGTTTTGAGTTGTCGATCACTTCGCTTTCGCACTGCCGATTGCTGTATTCCCGGTTAGCTCATTTGGTAGAGTGACCATCCTGGAAAGCCCTGATGCCAAGTTCGATCCCTTGACCAGGGTGAATTTTTCATCAACCATGGAGATTCCTTTTTGAGAAAACCACATGGATTTCCTTGTGGCTTCATGCTACTAATGAGCCATTGTTAATATTACTTTCTAAGCCTTTCCTCCACCTTGCAGTATTCCACAGAACCAATTTGTTGTAAGCTTAATTATTATCATTCCAGAACCCTCTACCATGCTGTGCTTCATTATCATATCTTGGTTTACACAACACTAGAGTAACACTTTGCATGATCGAACTTGTCTACAGATAAAGAAGTCAGTGTGAGGGATCCGTGTCTTGCTTCAGTTGTATCCAGTGCAGATCGGAACAATGCCATCACAAGTGTGCTGCTGCCTGCCTACATTCACTATGCGGTCAAGTAGATATTCAATTGGCAAGCATCACACTCCATTTTTTTATAGAAGGAACAAATTTTTCCTAGCCTATTACATGCATGCTCAGGTGCTCATGATGTAAAACTCTAATTACTGCGGCCAGACAATGTGCTTGTCGCACTGAATCAGCACAACTCTGCCACTGAAATTCCTGCCAGGATTGGAGTTTAAGAGCTTGGGATATGTGAATCAGGCAGTTAGGCAGCGATTGTGCTTTATCATGAAATAAACATTGCTTGATGCCTCATGCATTTAAAAAGTTGAAATGTTTGTTTGTTCCTCTCGTGAGCCATTTGATGCAATGCCATCCTAATGATGTTTATTTGTTTGCTCACTTATTACTTAGTTGGGCAACCTGACTGAGCCAAGAGGGCTGGCTGTGGATTGGGTCGGCCAGATGCTATACTGGGTGGATGCAGGAGAACACAGCATCTCTGTTGCCTCCCTGGATGGCCATCTGCGACGAACTCTCATCTCTGAGAACTTAGACCAGCCCAATGACATTGCAGTGGATCCCCACTCTGGGTGCGCACACTGTCATGGTCTTGTATAAAGCACTATCTATCTGGCTGCCTGATAGGTTATGCATAGTTTATGCAAAAATTTGTTTGCCAATTGGTAGATCTGCTTGTTTGATAAGTATGCGGTGTCTGTGATGCACAAGAGTATCTTACTGCTTCATGCTGGTGCACGTCCACAGTGCTGCGTTGATAATTTTCCTAAGCACTCTATGCTTAAGAATGTGAATGAATGCTTGCTGTAGCATACCGTAATTACTCGAATCTAACGCGCACCTTTTTTCCGGTTAAGCTAGTTCATAAATCGCATGCGCGTTAGAATCGAGTACGAACAAAAAATTTACGGTCAATCTATTGCCATCGGCAAATCCAAAATGGCCGCCCCCTACGTGCGTCGGCATGGCGCGTCGGCCATTTCTGCCTATGTGTTTCCCATGTGCGGCACTTCGTACGTGTGCTGAGGAGTTCGTCATCTAGTAGTGCATGAGCATCGACGGCGTGGAAGGGCCGACTCCAAAAACTCGAGTGCACCACGATGCCGCTTTTAAAAGAAAAGTCATCGCGTGTGCAGAAAAGGGCGGAAATCGGGCCGCATCGCGGTCGTTCGGAGTTCCCCAAACGTGCGTGCGGAACCGGCGGAAACAAAAGCAGATTGTCGACAGCAAAGCTTCACGCAAAGGCTTCAGTGGACCACAGCAGGATCGGTTTCAGCAAATTAAAGAGCTGCTCGGCGAGTATGTGCTTGAGCAGCGAGCGGCACAGCGGCCCGTGACGACAGAACTGCTCCAAGTGCGGGCTATGCAAATAGTCTTAGAAAAAGGTCTAATGCGGAGCCAGTTTAAAGCGAGCAGGTGCTGGCTAACTAACTTTATGAAGAGAAAAGGCTTTTCCCTCTGAAGGGGAACATGCATATGCGAAAAGTTTTGCGGAGGAGTACGATAAAAAGCTTCACAGTTTTCAGAGGTTTGTCCTACACGTGCGGCGCAACAACGGCTACCTGCTTGGGCAAATCGGGAATGCCGATCAGACGCCTCTTTACTTCGACATGCCTGGCACCACAACTGTCGAGAAGAAGGGGGCGAAGCAAGTTCGCGTGCTGACATTGGTCCATGGTAAAACTACAATGACGGCAATGCTCTGTTACACGTCAGATGGGCACAAGCTTCGCCCGTACCTCATATTTAAATGGATGACGCTCCCGAAAGGAGTCGTTTTTTCGAGGGGTGTGATCGTGCGGGCCAGCGAGAAAAATAGGTGCGCGTTGCAATCGATGTCTTACGTTTTTTTGTTTTTTGTTTTCGCGGTGGCAATCTGGTGCACGTTACAATCGAGGGCGCGGTAGAATCGAGTAAATACGGTATGTATCTGTGCCCTCTCATACTGGCTTTCGCTCGCTCATTGTCTTATTTCAGTGCATGCATGTCTACATTGATAAACCATTAAAGTTTGTACTATTCCTTTAGAATTATAATACATATATTTTAGAAGTGTGCAACAATAAACAAGAAGCAACCGTTTTCTTTATCTTCTACATCTTCCTGTTTGTGTTCCTATTTTTCAAAATGTATGTCATTCATTAAATTACATTTAATTTTGCAGGTACCTGTTCTGGACGGAGACAGGCTCCAAGCCTAGAATTGGCCGTGCAAACTTGGATGGCTCCAATCCCCGCACTTTGGTAGATGCACGTGTAATCTGGCCCACTGGCATTGCCGTGGACCACGCAGCAGGCCGTATATACTGGGCTGACCGCAAAGCATCCCTTGTGGAGACGACCAACCTCGACGGCAAATTGCGTCACATTGTTTACAACAGGACAGCTCATAATAGTGCACATGCACATGGTAACACTCCTTTCTTTTTTTTTTTCCTTAAAATTTTTTGCCTTTGTTCTGTACTAAATGATAAAGTTGAGCTTGTTCATAGGGCTAACTACCGTACACCTCTCATTAACGCCCAGTATTTTAGAGAAAGCTTTCGTGCAAGTAATGGGGCACTAGCTGTTGGCATAGCCCTTGCATAGGTGCAGTGAAATTCTATCACTTGGGAAATGCCATTACCTCTTGTAATGGCGGCAGAATTTTTCCACCAATACACGGAGAGAGAGACAAAATTTTGTTTTCGAAAATATTCGTGGTGATACCCTTTATTGAACTGCAGCACTTGAACTTTATTGAAGCAAAAAGAAGAAAGAAACAAACCTTTTTTTTTCCTCACTTCAAGGAGCATGTCGTGTTTGCATGTCGTGCAATGACAGAAAGGGACATTCTGTCACTTCATAAAGTGCCACCTCCACCCAATACTAGCTTTAAGCGCTCTAACTGCCTTTTAAAAAAATCGTAGAACCCTTAAGCTTTGCCTTTAAGAGTCGAATGCGATAGCGATGTCTGCACACATGTGCACACGTACACAGTTGCCTCCCCACTCGCTGGCCTGCCCTCTCGGTGGAGACGTAAACTGTGCTACAAGGAAAGCCAAAGTGTAAATGCCCCCCGGTTCTATCTTCATTTGCATCTACACTTAAATCTCGATATAACAATCCCCAATATAATGAATTATTGGTTATAACAAAGTAGCCCCGCCACGGTGGCCTAGCGGCTAAGGTTGAGTGTTTTGGAAAGAAAGTGTTTTGGAAAGATTTCAGATGGAGGTGGAAATGTTGTAGGCCCGTGTGCTCAGATTTGGGTGCACGTTAAAGGACCCCAGGTGGTCGAAATTTCCGGAGCCTTCCACTACGGCGTCTCTCATAATCATATGGTGGTTTTGGGACGTTAAACCCCACATATCAATCAATTATAACAAAGTATATGAAGAATAGTCTTGCAATTAATATAGTGCTAAAAATATACCTGTGTAACAAGTTTTTGGACATAAACTTTCTTTTTGTGCTAGGTGTGACTTTGTTATAAAAAGGTTGAACTATACCTCAAGTTATTGCTGACAGCAAACACCGCTTTTTATCTCACAACCAATGACAGCACTGCCGACACCAACACCGGAATTTATGCGAAGCAATGAGCTCTTCAACGCTACTGTGTGAATAGCGTAGTCGATACTCCCTGCCTTTCTTTGTTATTTACTGCAGAAATGAGTCTTCTGCCTCCAGGAACTTGCTGTGCTTGCCTCGAAAAGCACACATCTGTGCTTTTTTTGTTTGTTTTTTTGCCTCACTGTTGTTGCATACACTTTTCGTTGATCTGGGAACTTCCTACCAGCCAGTTGAGTGTTTTAGAGAGAAAGCTTTAGAACGCTCGCACTGCAAAATGGGTAACACTGCTAATCTCCTCAAAAATTAAGGGTGCAGCTAATAGGCAGGTAATTTTTAAACATACTGTCGAACCTCTTTACAAGAGACACTGATGCAAGAGACACCAGTGCGCCTAAGTGAAATAAGGGTTGATAAGAAAATGCATACAAGGTACCCTGCTAATAAGAGACATCTAATATAAAAGACTATAATTGCTGCCCGAAGCATGCCACTTATAAGGAGTTCTATCATATTTTGGGGGAGCTTTCTTAGCAATCAGGGTGCAGCTTTTACATGAGTGTGGCCATTGCACGAGTGCATTTAATAAGGAAACTGGCAGGTAAACTTAGCAGACTTCTGCTTAATGTTCACCTTTGCATTTGGTAAGGACATGGAATTCACACTGGTCAGGCAGGGAAAGGCCACCAACTTTTTTGCCATGTAAAGCACTATTGCTGTATCTAGAATACTGCCTAGAATTGGAATTGCTTTTTACTGTGCAGAGGAAAGCCCCTACCGGGTGGACGTCTTTGAGGACAGCCTCTACATCAGCACCTTCCCAAGCAACGCCATACTGCGTGTCAGCAAGTTTGGAGGAGGCAAAATTACTTACCTGATTCGAGGCCTGCATAGGGCCACTGACGTGGTAATTGTTCAGGAGCACAAGCAGGGTGCACCAAGTGAGTTCTCAATCATTGATATTTGGCTTGTTACCGTATGTACGTGAGCCCTAGCCTGTTTCTACTGAACTGGTGGTGAAAGAAAAGGAGTGCCCTCATGTGAAAGATAGCAAAAATAATTTACAGAAAGCTCGAGACTAGCACCACCGGGCTTGACCCACATCAACACTTGTCTTCATTATTAATTCCTAGTTGCTTCTTGCTTGCCAGCGCTCACCTTTCCTTTTTATTTTGCTCCAGGAATGTTATAACCTGCGGGTGAAAGTAGCTATCGTGTCAGAGAGAATAGTGTCATCTGGCTTGTGATGGCTTGCAATGATGATTCATGATATTCGGAATGTGTCTTGTTGACATCGCCATTCTTTTTTGTGTTCTTTATTTGTCTTGCACTGCTGGGCATTCAGCAGTCACTGCTGTGACACATGACTTCACGCACTGTTTATTTGGAAGTATCAACTACTTCTTATGTTTTCAAACACATTGTTTTTTTATATTGTGCCATCAAAACCAGTTTGAGCTTCCAGTGCTTATCAACTGCTAGCGTTGCTCACATTTACATACTCTGGAGCATTTTATAGTTTCAAAAACACATCATTCCTGGGCTAGTTGATGCATATGCATAAATATTTTTTCAAACTGTGGCTCCGCAATCTACGAGCAACGGAAGAAGCAGGTGTGTATGGTCCTGTTGCTCGTTTCGTCCCTCGTACTATTTTGCTGCATGGCACTCTCAGTAAATAAGTTGTTTTATAGGTTCAAAAATGAATTTTTGAGCACAGATATTTATGCTGTTTCTCAATTGTCCACTCGCCAACCACCTCCAGACTAATGACAAGCTGTTACCAACAGACCAGTCATGTTGCACGGTTTAACGATCCCCTGGCACTCTTTGGCCAAATCTCGCCATTGTACTAGGCATTGCACGTTATCACAGATGACTCTTCAGAGTCATCACACATGATAATACATGCACATCATTACACATGACTTGTCACACATGGCTGCTGGTAGTGGCACCACAAAATTGTGCTGGCAACACACCACATTGACAGCTAGCTTGATGTCCTCATGAACATTTTGGCGTTTGAGGTCACCGTTTAATCCTCCAAGGTCTAGAAACCATAGACGTCGAGTTAGTTGGTAGGTATGACTTTTGAATGCAAATGCAAGTGCTTCTTGAGATATAGCCAGCTCATGTTGTAATAAGTAGAGATTCATCACAAAAAGTAATGTGTGCCCACTCGTTCGCTGCTTGTAGTGAACAACCCCTGCAGCAAGAACCCGTGTGGCTCTGGTGCCCTATGCGTGCTTCGCAACTCCAAGGACTTCAGTTGCCTCTGTCCAGATGGCATGGTGGAGACCAGGACTGTGGATCGCACAACAGCTTGTACCATTGTGGCCCCTACGCCTCCTTCACCTGATGGTGAGTTCACCTGGAGGGATTAGAGCAGCTAATAAGGTGCCAGAATTAGTCTTCACAAAAGATATTAGTAGGCGTGGGCGAACATTAGGAATAATAAATTTGAAGTTTGCAATGATTCTATGGTAATAATGATCTGGTTGAATAATTTAGAATAGTTTGAATAGTATATATCCTATATGGAAAATTTTAAAAGTGTGCTTTCTTTTTTTCATGACCCAACTAACATGCACAATAACTTCAACTATTAGCGTGAGGTGTGAGCGAATGCCACTTTTTTGGTTTGAAGTGAAGTAGAAGGAAAATTGAATAGTGGGGGTAGTTGAAAAGTAATACAGTGCAAGTCATAAGTGGTAAAACACGGTTATGTTTCAAACTTTGAAAAGTAAATAATCAATGGTGCAGGTAATAGGTACTTAATTTTGAAGTGTAGCTTCACGGCAGTGGGAATTTCCCTTGGACCTTCGATGGATGGTTCCACGGCATGGCACCTCAATAGTGGCGGAACAGTCTTGATGGGGGGGGGGGGGGGGTTGCAGTTTGAAGAGCACTCAGGATCACGTGCATCAATGATTCAAAGCTGAATTACTTGAACCTGTTCACTGGGCAGCCAGGACAAACCTCGAAGCACACTTTATTAAGGACACAGTTTTCTTATGTAAAGAATGATACGGGATACGAGACCAGGCTACGTTTCTTTGTACTCGGCACAGGACCACACTAAGCACGTTCGGAACACGTTCCTGTCCATGTGGCTCATTTGCGTCGTTTGTCGGGTTATGGCCCTGTGTAACAGCATGTTATTGATACTAAGGACCAGACTCAGCATTGAAGTGTGCGAGACAGGCTAGCCTCGGTACAGTCATCAAATAGTAGTTGACAACGCACAGCAAATGGAAGAAGAGACAAGTGTAGTATGGGTTTTGTATACACCACAGCAGGCATTCAAAACGTTGGTCAGGTTGTTAAGTAGGTAAATTTCGATTCAGATTAATTAAGTATTCGAAATGTGTGCTGCTTTCAAACATCCTCTTCTGTATGTTGCGAGTAACACCACCTCTCAACTGAGTAAATGTGCTCTCCCGTCATTCTTTCACATACTGTGTTGCTTTGCCAGCAAAGTCACATTTAACTAGGGGCGTGTGAATATTTAAAATTTCAAATCTTTTTTTTTTTAAATATTGTTTGATATTTGATTTGTTTCACACTGAAATTTCGCTATTTGAATTATTAGACTTTCCTAAAGACAAAAACAGTCAACCCAAGATTAGCAGTAGCCCCTTCAAGTTTTTTTTTATATGCTTTCTCCCATTGCATGCTCGTATTGCGGAAAAGCTGCCTTTCAAGCTTTGTTACTTTTTTAAATGTATTGACTCAAGAAAACGCTGGTTTCAACATGGATATGATAGATGTGGCAAAAATGTGGGCCCAATTAATTCTGTTTTGGAACTGCAAAAGTTAGGCAACAAGTTTGAAAAAAAAAAACATGTTGTAAATTTATAGCATTCAAAATTTCAGAAGTTTTTGTATATTGATGTCTACATGGTAGATTTGGAACTCTAAACTCGAACGAAGAACACCCTTGTCCGCCATGTCAGTAGAAGTCGAAAGAGGAAGAGAGGCTGATGAAGTAGCATCTTTGCCTTTCATGTCTAAGGTGTTGTCAACACCACTTTGGTTGCACCAAACCTTGTACTACATAAATACAATTTGCCCTCTGCATAGCCTCATTCTTGATGAGACAACTATAGAATGCAACTTGTCGGCAATCTAGTTGACACACTTTCATGTTTTCATCTCATATGAATATGCTAAGAAATTCTCTTCAATATTTGTCAGCAATTTCGGTTCGAAGTATTGGAAAAACGTATTGAAAGTTTTGAAAAATATTTTAAAATATTCTATTCGATTCATATTAGAATTTGCTTTGCACCCAAAATTTGGCTATTCACTCAGCTCTATTTTTAACTATGAAACACAAGCAAATAAATTTCTGTCATGTGCTGCCACGATTCACACAGCTAATGTGTCAACCATCTGTGCATTTCCTCTGTTGTGACAGCCAAGTGTGAGCTGAACTGCCTTAGTGGAGGAACCTGTGTTCTCGGCAACAATCATCAGCCCTTCTGCAGGCAAGTTGTTCATTCTGCTTAGCTTTATGGTATCGCTCCTGCTGTCTTTTTTTCACTTGGTCATGCAAAGTAAAGCTTGCATCACCTCACATCTTTAGTGATTGTTCCAGCATACCCACACAAGCAGAAATCAGTCTCATATTCCCCGAAAAAAACATCATAGTTGCCCTGATAGCTGTTCATGCATCACTCATATTCCCAAATTCCAACTGTGAGTAAGAAGTGAAAATTTAAAAGCACTTTGCATGCATGTGTGTGTGTTCTATGTGCAGATGTTTTTGTTACAAATGTACTGTTGGTTTGCATTAAATCGATTCTTACTGTGCCTGTACTTTTCACGCACCTCTCTTTGTTTTCAGCACCTCTTTTGGCCTTCTTTTCCTTTCATCTTGTCCTAGCATAGAGTGGCATGTGAGAGCAGTTTAAGACAAGCCCCTCATATCTCTTCTTGCTTTTTGATATTTATTTTTTTGTACCCTGAAGGCAGAGGTATCTTGCACTGTTAGGCCTTAATAAAGTTATGTAGTGTTAAGCACTTGATGCTCACTGGCCTTATTGGCCAACCTTTCTGAGGCCAGTAGGGTACTCTGCTAAGTACTATATCTGTTCAAGATTGCGAGTCTCCTCAATATATACTGGTACTATACTTCCACGTATTGGTGTTCACCCAGAAGTTTCATTTCCCTAATGGGGGCCACTATTTGCTCTCTTTGATAGGTGTCCTGTGGGTTATACAGGAAAAAGATGTGAGCGGTATGTGTGTTCCCAGTACTGCAAAAACAAAGGCCTATGTAACGTCATCACAAGCCAGGAGATGTACTGCATGTAAGCAACTCTCCTCTCAACCACTCTTCTCCACCCTGTATTATTTTTCTCTTCTGCTATCACTGAATGCATGTTTTATCCTGGTAAATACAATAAGAAAATTACATTTAAAAATGGAAAACTTTTCTTTTTAAGGAACTGACGCTGTATGCCTTGTCTTGATGTCAGAGATAGCGTAGCGATATACTAGTTGCTTTTGTTCTCACAATAGCTGTTGTAACCACTTTTTTGTTTCTAGTTGTCCTCCACAGTGGACTGGCAAGAGATGTGAGACACCTCTCAACATATGCGAACTCTGCATGAGAGATGGATCATGTACCAATGGATTTGCAGACGTCAGATGCAAGCATTGTATCTTGAGGTGGGTTTCTGTGCTCCTGGCAAGCCTTCACTACCAAAACAGCTGCAAGCTATGTCTTATAGGATTTTTTTCTTTTGTGAAGGTGTATCTGTTTTTGCTTGTGGCAATTAGCTGTCTTTAGAATACATTCTTATTTTCAAATCCCCTCTTTGTGTCTCCAAGAAACCTGGTCTTAGAATATTTTACTTGCTGTATTGTAAGTTATAGTGAGTGTTTGCACTGGTTTTCTGTAACCAGGTGTGTCAGACGTCTAATCTGGTTAAAAGCAAATGCTAAGTAAATACCACATGCACAACGAACATTCTCTTGTGGTTGCCTTTTGACATTTGTGGTGTTCCCTTAGGTTGAAACTTTCAGTCTAGCATGAGAACAAGCATTTATAGCAGGTTACTTGTCGTAGTGTCAGTGGTGTTCAAACACCACAGTGCATATATACCTGTGTTTGTTACCCGCAGGGCACCTGGCAGTGATAGTTGTACAGCAAACCCTCTTGTATGCATATTATTTTCGCAGCACAGCTTAAAGCATTTGTTGCAAACGAGAGTTTACACGCATGCAGATGCACCCAAGAGGACCCTTGCCGCTCTCAGGGAGAAGAAGACCACTGTGTGCATGGGGTGTGCCGTGTCAATGAGACCGGTGTACGCCAATGCATATGCGACAGCAGTTACACTGGTGAACGCTGCGACAGGCTCACACCACTGTGTGATTCGTACTGCAGAAATGGGGGTAAGTCGGTCATGTATAACGTCATAACCATTTGTAGCAGTAAATATTTAGTAACACAGACTAATGTGGCACACTGAGGCAGCATCGATGCTGTGCCATTTCACGATGTTCTCAATTGTACGAAACGAACCGTATTGTCGCCGACTTGACGTTAATAGCAGTTGTTCATTGCTACTGCTTTGTAAGCACCATCTTGCTGCCTACATGTAGACTGAAACCTCAACATAACGAACACGGATACGTATAAAGAAATATCAGCAATAACGAAGTAAATTGGAAATAGTCTTGCAAATGATACAGTGTTACGAATAACTTTTATATTGAATTTTTGTATATAGCGAAGTTACTTTCTGGTAAGGCGCAACTGTTATAGTGAGGTCTGAGTGTACTTGACACACTATTTCCATGATATGTATGAGTAAAATTGGTAAACCTTTAAGGTACTATTGATAATGTACTTCGATACAAAAACTTCAAATGCATGAGCTAGAAATACAAGGTTCTTCACTAACTTTTAGGATCATATTATAGTTGACTTAGTAGCCAGTAAGCTTGGTTTGTAGAAGGTGCGCAGTTCGTGAACAGTGCGCATAAACAGTGCGCAGTTCATGCATAGTGCGCAGTTCATAAACTTAGAACTGAAGGTTACTGCTGTAGCAATAGAAGGATAAAGTTAGGCACAATACTTTTTCTGCTCTTTTGGGTAACACTTCCAATTGTTTTTTTGTTTTTTTTTTTTTTTGCTTATTCCAAGCATAAAATTATAGCATGTGGCATACCTCCAAGAAGTTTGCAAAATAAGGTAATCATAAAAAATGTTACTGTAAATTGTTAGAAGAACATAAATAATGACATGTAACTATGCAACTGAATTTATTCCACTGCTTATGCCATCTTGAAAGCATCTTGATATCAAATTTAGATGACAATAAATTTTAATGCTACAGTAGGTAAATCAGCACAGGCTAGTCAAAAGTTTGCCTAATCATACAGTGGACTTGTCCTGTAACACACGGTAAGAATATTAGACAGCTTGTTCACGAAGCAGGCCCTTTTTTATGGCATGGGTGAATATTCGACCACTTGGACATTAATTTAAATTTTTCAAGATTTGGAGGTATTTGAAATGAACAAATCGATGTAGCTTCGATCATACATAGCCTCCCTGTAAAGATGGTTTCATTGCAGCCTGAGGGCATTATGCTCTGAAACCTGTTAACAGGAAATCTGCACTGCCGTGAAGCCATGCTTCGAAGTCGAATGATGTACAGCGGCATCCGTTCTTATAGTGAACACGGCTCAGCGTTGCTGCATTCCGCGGAACCTTATTTCATCCAGCGCGCCCGCACATTGAAGCAAAATGGTACAGGCACACGCAAGCACATGCTTCATTCTGTGCTACAGTTGAGCACGAGCGGCTCCAAGAAAGTGGCGGCCACTGCAGAGCGGCGTGCCCCAGCGCTAGCAGGTGATGCGAAGTACCACCTGTGGTTCCATGTGCACATGCGCTGCAAAGCTTCAGTGCAGGGCCACACCAGGTGCACTGGCACATTGTAGAGCGCTACTGTTCACCCTGAGAGTGGACATCACTGTACATATTACAGTCGAATCTCGATAATTTGGACTCGAAGAGGCCCGAAAATTTGTTCGAATTAAAAGAAGTTTCAATTAATGGAAGCTAAATAAACGGAGGGCTCTCCATGCAGTGGCGCATGTGCATTGAGCTAACACACGAGGAGGAAGTTTCAGAAGGCTTACATTCTTAAATTACATTCGCAATTACATTAAATTACATTCGCAATGCCTATTTCTAATTACTAAATATATTATGAAAGTTAGTTGACTGGAATGTTCATTTTTCTTTATGATAGTAGTATATACTGTGTAAACTGGTCGATTTGAAAATGATTTGACCAAATCAGTCTTTATTTTAAGCAAACAAACTGCGCTAGGACAGGAGATGGCACAGACATGTCGCTGACTAATGGGTTACAGCCATATTTTATTGTGTTTGCATGCCAGTATAGACAGGAAAGAAGAAAAAAAGAACAGTCAGTATACCAACCAGCCCATTTCAAGGCTAATGCAGCAGTTCACTCTTCATATTGAACCTAAAATTTAATGTTCGCCCGTTCCTACTGCTTGTCCATTCAGGAACTTGCCTGGGGCGAAAGAAGCTTCCGTGCACATGCCCACCTGGTCTTCTCGGCAGTGACTGCTCCCCAGGTGGCTCAAGCTGTGGCTGCCTGCACGGTGCCACCTGCATCACCACTAAACACGAAGGAAGGGCTGGCACAGCGCTGCGTCTGCCCAGCGGGATTCACAGGCGAGCGCTGCGAGAGTCGTCTCGCCGACATCTGCCTCGATTTCCCCTGCCTCCATGGTGGCATCTGCTACACCTCAGTGGGTCAACCCATCTGCAAGTGAGCTTCGAGATGCTCTGCCTTTTGTCGTTTTTTTTTTCAGTCGTGCAGAAATGAAATTGAGCTTACCCAGAGTAAATAGCTTTTTGTTAATTTCCCCTGCACTTAACTCTTGAATCAATTTATACCGTTTTACAAATTTTTCCTCTTGTCAACATCATCTCCATCATTCCCACAAAAAGTGTAGCCTTAATGCACATACAGTCGAACCCCGCTACAACGAAACTCACGCGCCTCGCCGCGGTCGTCTAGTGACTAAGGTACCCGGCTGCTGACCCACAGGTCGCGGGATCGAATCTGGGCTTAGCGACTGCATTTCCGATAGAGGTGGAAACGCTGTAGGCCTGTGTGCTCAGATTTGTGTGCACGTTAAAGAACCCCACGTGGTCGAAATTTCTGGAGCCCTCCACTACCGCGTCTCTCATAATCATATGGTGGTTTTGGGACGTTAAACCCTACATATCAATCAATCAATAAATCAATCAATTATTAACAAAACTCACGGGGTGCGGAAAATATTCCGTTGATGCGAAAATTTCGTTGTAGTAAAATAAAAAAAATATAGCTGATCTGAGCTAGCAAAACAAAGGAATGTTCATTCTAAAAATTAAGAAAAGTGTCTGCTGCTTCCTATTCTTTTCCAGCAGCGTCACAACGCGATTCACAGTCATGCATAGCGAGGCCATGGTGAAAAGCACACTGAAACAACGCCTAAATATGCCTTCGTGAATGAACCAAACAGTTGCATTATCACGTTAACACCAGCAGCTGTCCGCCATCAAAAGTATCCAACAACGCCGAGATGGAGGTAGGGTATCATGGAGCGGCGACCTTTGCATTATTCTATGCCATTCTTACTATTCATTACTCGCAGCTAGCTGATTTTGTTGATAATGCAGACGAACAGCCGCTCTGATTAGTTATCACACTGGCCAAGCAGGAATAAAATGATAAGCATTGGAATCGGAAAAAGACATCGTTCCGCAGTTGCACCCAGCAGCTCCGTGAAGGAAACCATGAACTGATCAACTGAGCTTCAGCTTCTGATCGTCTGCGGCTCAAAAGCAAGCCAGTGGAAAAAGCAGGGTAGTCTCATTGCCATCGCTATCAAGCAATGACGGAACCTATGCTTGCTGAACAGCGGCTGTTTCTGGCGGTACCAACGCGTGTTTTAGATTTCGGCGATATATTTTCAGGTTCTGAAAATGCACCAAATTTTGAAGATTGAGTTCACTGTATAGCAATAAATATCTGAGCCTGGAATTGCATCGTGAAATTTCATTGAAGTGGGACAGCAGAAGAAAAAGTGTTCGTTGTGGTGACCATTTATGCATTTACTGCTACAGACTGCTGACGGGGAGCCGTGAATCATTCGTTGTAGCAGAAATTTTGTTGAAGCAGGCGTTCGTTGTAGCGGGGTTCGACTGTATGAACTTTGGTGTAATTGGACATATAAGTGATCTATAACTAATCATACAAACAATCTATAATAACTTAATATAGGCAATAAACAGTCTGTGCATTAGAAGGTAGGAGTGGATGTACAGGGGCTGTTTCATACTTTGTGGCAATCTCGAAGTGCCTGGCATCACGATGCGACTAGCGCTGCAATCGCGCGTCGTCTGCTAAGGCAGGACGCATGCCGCATTGTCGGCCAGTGCAGGGATGTCGTTGTTAATGCGGGAACTGGGCCGATACTCTGCAATAATCATTTTCAGAAAAATCTGCACCGCAACATGCGATGCGAAGAAACAAAGAATGACAAACTCATGCACGCTTTTTTTCTTTGTGCCCTGTCTTGCTACACAGTTTTTTCAGATGTTCCCGTACCAAGTTGCCCAACTTTCAATGCTTGCCTGCACAAAACATTGTGCAATGCCTACCTCTCAGTCTTTATTCGAAGTAATGGGGCACTAGAAACAGTATTTGTCAACATACCTTGTTTTCTCTTTCAAAACATCGTGGCATTGTGTGCATTTGTGAATGTTTCTTCATGGTATGCACGCGCCCAGTAAGGAAGACACGATAATGAGCATGCACCGTGTGTGATCTCTGTTTGACTTTAAATAAAACAAAGCACTCAATGGTGACTGCTGAGCAGCTGAGCGAGTTTAACACAACAAAACAAATGGTAATGAATTCAGGAATGATTTAGGATAGAAAAACCACTTGTTCAGTGCTTATTCTCGACAATATTTGATCACAACAGGGAGGACTCGCTCCCTGAGCGCCGAAATGCCCTCGTGACTCTTCCAAGTTCATGACACCAGCAGTAGCGATGATGGCACTCATTCTAGACAGTAGTGAATGCATGGTGTCTGCGATGTGTTGCACCGCAGCATGTCCCATTCGTTGACGATGGGGGCGTGGCATCACTACATCCAGATTGAGCTGAGTAAAATGGGCTTATCTGTCGTACGTTTTTTCATTTTTTTCTTGTCTGAAAAGCGCAGTACTGTGTTGTTTGCTTGGTTCACCATGTCCCGTATACAAGAAAAAGAGCAACTTAAGATTATTGAACTCGGTTGTAAAAACGACATTACATTTCGGAGCCAGGCTAGGTGAGTCTTGTGGTAATGAAATGTCGTAAGGAGACACGTTCAGGCTTTGTCTTTATCTAAAACATTCCTGAATTTGTTCCCATTTGTTTTATCGTGCTAAGCTAGTGCATGCAGTACGACTCTCGCTGTTAAGGCTTTTTTTTTTTATCAAAAGTCAAATCAAGACAATCACAGATTCCATGCTAATTGTTGTGTCTTCCTCATTCAAGTGTACTGCAGTGCACACACAGTGAAGAAATATTCATGAACGCTCACAGCACTATGATTTTTCGAGAGAGCAAACAAGGGACACTGTCAAAGTCTGCTTGTAGCACCCCATTATCACAAATACAGGGTGAGAGGTTGGTGTTACACAATGTTTACTGCAGATTATCGGCCTAGTTCATGCACTAACAATGGTATCCGTACGCTGGCCAGCAATGGGGCAAGAAAGAGCCGCGGTTCAAAACTACACTCCCGAATCATCTGCGCACGCGCAAGCTGCTGACTGCGCGTGGTTTCTGCGCTGGCCGCATCACAATGTCACGCTCTTCGAGATTTACCCTAAGTGCGAAACAGCCTGTACCTTTTCTTCCAGTGTCAAATGTTAAGTTGCCTTTAAACACAAAGCAAATCTCCGGGAGTAATGGTGAAATGTGCAAATAGTATTAAAATATGAAAAGGGAAGTAACTAACATAACATTAATTTCTAATTGTAGAGTGTTAGCTACTAGTTAGTACCTTGAGAAAAGATCATCAATAATTACTGCAATAGTACCTCTAAGGCAGTGGTTCAAGTCGTTGCACGTAGAAGGAACTGCAATTAGGCAGAGGAAACTGGTACAAGTTTTTCCTCTCTGAAGATGTGCTTTTGGTAACCTAAAATATGCATTGTGCAGGTGTCCCCAGGGCTGGGGTGGCCTGCACTGCGACCAAAGCAGCAGCTGCAGAGGCTTTTGCTTCAACCATGGCACATGCTTGCTTTCATCTCAGAACGATGCAATGCCATCGTGTCTGTGTGCTCGAGGATTCACTGGCCCACGCTGCCAGGACAGGGTTGACCAGATTGCTTACAGCGACCACGGCACCTCGTCCTCTGACAACTTGCCCAATAGTGAGTTGTGCCTTGTAACGTAAATATTTTGTGCGAATTTTAGAAATTGTCTGAGCATTGTGATCTGTGAATTTAGGCCAGCATGGTTTGAATATCCTCGTTGTTGCTTGTTAGGAAACAAGTTTTGTGCAAAGGTTGCATTTTGGTGCCTACACTACAGAGTGATTTCTGGTTATTTCTGATGTGGTTTTGGCACTCCTGTTGTGTCTGAAAACTTAGAGCTCAAGTTAACAGTTCAGTCAAGCGAATACAGTAGAATAGAATCTCGATTATACGAATTCAAAAGGAGCATGCAAAATATTCGTATCATCTCAAATTCGTATGAATCAAAAACAAGGTAGAGCTGATCATGAGGATGAACAAGAACTTTGTTGGGGTGTACTTTTTGCTGAAAAAAGGTCCATAATTTTTTTCTTTCCTGCCTTCACCGTCTCTCAAAAAAGTGCCGCAGTTTCCTCACTCATGCTGCAGGCGCTATATCATACTTGGCATCAGAGGGAGCGAAAGCGGCAAATCTAATTGGAAATTTACTCGCTTCGCCACTTTAGTGGCTGGAACACCTCGCCGCGATGTCGACACGAAAAAAATAAGTCCTGCAGAATTCAAGTGAAAACATCAGAGTGGCCGGAAAATCATGTATGCACCCTTCCACAGACAAGCCGCGTTGCGCCGCTTGCGTGCAGCAGTCAATCGCATGTTCGTGTCATCCGTGCGTACTTCTAGGAACGCAAGATACAGACTATCTTTTCTACAGTGATTTCTTATGTGGACAGCGAGGCAGCAGCTGTATTTTGTCGTTAATCTTGTTATTGACAGTTTGTTTTGATGCTTCGGTGGTAGCTTGCTGCAATGTTGGTTACTTGCTACAATTTCAGTATGATGCGAGTGATAACCTGTAAGATACGCAACATTTTAAAATTTATATCGGAGCATACAAGCTGTCATAAGCTCTTAACCTTAAAAAATGATGAATCGATTTGAGGGTAATATATTCTCTTAAATAAGCCCTGCAACACAGTTTCAAGTAGCCATAGAGTGAATTCACTAATGATGCTTATTGCCTCCCGAATTCACCACCGCAGAAATGTTTAGAATCCCTCCAGTACGAGCAGAGTTGCAAAGATTTGTTGCACGCTGAAATTGCATTCTCTCATCTTTCGTGACAGAGGCTAAGCATGGAGGAATGTTATGGGGAAAGAAAATACATCACACGCACCTCGTGACCCATGAGCACTTTTTTTCTCGTTCTTTTTTCTTTTTTTTGGGGAGGGGGGGGGGGTATATTGCTTTTCACAAGGATCGTGCACGTACACCTGTACAAGTGGCGGACTCTCAAGGCGGTCCAAGTAGCGACCGAGCGCGTCATGCTCAAAGCAGGCAATGGCTAATACAATGGCTGTGTCAATTGATTTTTGAGCTTGTGGTGTTATTTGCCCAGAGAAGTAAGCAATTTTTAACTGACTTTGAGAATTTATTGTGCATTGCAGGCAACTTGCTGTGCTCTATTTGGCTCATGTGTTCTCGGTGGTTTCCGAGCGGCAGCATTTTCTGACCATACTGAAAAAGTGTTGCTAAGTCCCTTTGAATTTAAAGTAGGGCTTTGTGGCAGAGCAGATTTTCCTTGGACAGGTGTCTTCACGACTTAGCATTTCTACACTGCAGTGAAGTTATCTTTACAGGTGGTTACATGCGGATTGATATACATTTATTCGTTCATTGTGAATACTTCGAAATTTTCAATAACTTAAATTTAAATTGAATTCAAATACTCTATTATTTATTCGAATATTCAAAGCATTCAAATATTTGCTCAAGCCTAGCGTTTATTACACGACTAAATACGGTGCATCGCACAAGCCATACCAGGAGCATTTCCATGGTTACACGTGGGGCAGCGCCTCTGCGAAACGGCGGCGTCTGCTTTTAATCTTGTTCTTTCGATTTCATTAACCAAAGGTCGTGCAAGGCTAGATTGTATCACGTGATTACCACTCTGGCAAGACTTGCCTTTTCGTTTGGACCTCCTGAGTTAGGCCAGATTCATCAGCCATGCCAAGTGCACTCTCTTCTGAAAAAACACTGTGTAACAGGAACACGTAGATGCTGCACTTGCGCGTTGTAACGAAAGCAATGAACATACACTGTAAAAGCAACCACATTTGCTGAATTATACACGAAAACAATGCCCATTGAATGTTGGGAAGCTCCTGAACAAGTCTGTGTTGATAATTTAGTGTTTAGAGGAAACCATACACATTAGTCTGCCATGCGCAGGCCACGTTTCGGTCAGTAGTGTGACGCGATCACTTCTTTCCTTTTTTCATGGTTCCTATTTGGAATATTGCAACACCATTATTCTGGCTACATTCCTGGTCTCTATTTCTCTGCACCCCCTGTTTGGTGAAGTACAGAGAAAGGAAAAGCATTGGTGTCAGAATTAAGCACTGATGTAATGTTTATTTTCTCCTCTATGACATCGAAATTTCATTAAAAAAAACTGCGAGTACTCGCAGTTCCTCTCCCCATTCTCATTTTTTTTTTATTGCTGGCAATTTTACCATGTTAATAACTCTGACCAATAACTTTATTTGCCCTAGCTACCGCAAAATGGTTTCTTAGCAGTGCTTTGTTCTTGTGCTACTCCGTAACTTGAAGGTTTTTTTCCTCTCTCTCTTTAACTCGCTGCTCCAAATCGCAGTTCTCTTGTTCTTTTTTTCTTCTTCAAAAGCAATCTGAGCTGTCCCACCCCTGAACGTAAGAGCACTCAGCAAAGTGACTTTACAGAAAGATGAAGACACTGATTGAATGGCTTATTTTTTGTACAGCTTCTTCCTCACACAAACAGGCTTCTGTCTTGAAGTTTTTTAGCAGGAATGAGAAGTATGTGAACCTTACAAAAAACTTGCACTCTTCTCTTTACACAGTCTTGGGCGCTATCCTGATTCCTGTGGTTGTCACTATTTCACTGGTTGTGCTCATTACCATGGCAGTGCTCATCTACAGGAAAAGAAAGCGGTGAGTATGGCATAACATGGCTTGTAGGCGTAGCACCACACTATTGTATATCACGATTAGTGCAGTCAGTTAAGATCATAGCTGTATTGTCCACAATATAAATACATCTATTTTGTGAAACTCCAGCACAGTCGGCAGCAGTTTTTAGAGAGTAGCAGTTATTAAAATGAAAAAAAAAATTTTTTTCATCTCACTGCTTCATTAAATGTTAAAAAAAAGCACGAGATACATATTTGTGTGCTGACTCGGTAGCAGTCACATTATGGTATTCTTAACTTAAGGGGAGATGCTACTCGAAAAAGGTTTTTTTTTATTTCATAACCCAGCTCCTTGAAATTTTAGGTGTTAGTAAAGCTTGCAGTGCTGATTTCATAACTGCAATTATTTGTTTGATAGCTATAGTAGTTCCGGAGTTACTACAACTTTGATATCAAAATATAGTGTTTTTTGTGCACATAATAAAGCTTACTAAAACTTTTCACACAGAATTGCAAAATGGCTCATTTTGCTGCACTTGAGCAGTACAATACAGAAAAGTACCTCAAACAGAAAATTTATTTGCTACATTAAAAAAAAAAATTAAAAGTACTAAATGCATATTTTACATCTCTCTATCAGTGTATCAAGTTGTGTAACAAAAAATCTGTGATGTATAATGCAACCTAAAGTAGATACTTGTATTCTAGAGTGGCTGATTAAGCTCTGTGCAAAATTTCATCAAGATAGGACTATTTTATGCCTAAAAAAGATTGTGCACAAGATGAGAGAATTACCTCAAAATGGAAATCGAGAAAAATGCGTTTGAAAGTTGTAAATATGTTTACTCATGATTACACAGTGCGATTTGCACAAAACTTGGTGATATCATAGAAGGGACACAGCTAGAGCACCTAAAATTGTCCTGCTCCATATGTGGATCCTTCTCGCCGCTTGAGAAGGGAGTCATCAAGGCGCGCTTTCTTTGCCACGTTCCGCCGATGGGCCCTTGCCTCGGCTGTTTCACACGCAGACATTCTTTCGATTCTCCTCTGGTCGCGGGATCGGCCCAGGGTGATCAGTTGATCTGGTGGGACTACACCAAGCTCCTCTAGCACGTGTTCAAAGCTTGAATGTCCTTTATTGAACCACAACACGGCCATAGCAGCTGCAGTTTCCACTGTTGTCCGGGAGGCAAACTTAGTCTTCGGACACAACAACCAGATTTTGCTGTTCAAAGATTCTGCAGCGTTTTGGGTCTTCCCTTGGACACAACGCACCAGCAACTTTTCATCTGTGAGCCGCTTGTAAATGGGAAGCACAGCCAATCCTTGAGCCTTGGTCAAGATTGGTGTGTGGTCGGGTGGGGCCTCCCCAAGCGCTTCAGCTCGCCTATGCTTGCACCAGGAAGTCGCCCCTTCTGGACAGTATCGGTGGCTGCCTGCTGTGTTGCTCGATGATGAATGGAAATATGAGGCCCAGATGGCACGATGCATTTTCAGAATATCACCTCTGTTGTTTGTGATTGCAATACGGTAATAGTTCTGCAGCTTCTGAATTGTGCCGTCTGTCAGCTTTTCCCCTCGTGGAAGTCTTGTTGGCAGTTTCCGAAGTGCAGTGCCTAGACGCTTGGCCACATGGTTTGTGCACTCCTCCTTGTCCACAACAGCTTCACCATATACCTTGGCCTCAGCGACAGCGGTATAAGCTTTGCTGTCCCCATCACTGAGGAACTTGGTGAAGCGCAATGGTGTTGTGTATGAGGATGTCCTGCCCATATGCGCAAAGCTGCCTCAGTCTCCATGGCATGAGAGGAGCACTCTGTATTTTTTTCGCAGACAGGTGTGTGGAATGCTTGCCATATTTCTTCCTCATCACCCAAGTCCTGGTGCCGGCTACAGGCAAGGCAGTAATTCGATAGCACTTCAAAATCTAGGCACAAACCAGTGTCCACAGACACAGCAGTGCCGATGCCATTGTGGCTCTTGTGCCCTCTTTTTTGCCATGTGCCATCATACATGACAGCAACATCAGCCCCATCCACTTTCTCTTTAGTTATCATCCGCGCTTTCGCCATGTTTTCTTGCACAGCTTTGGTAGCTGCAGCATGAACTTTTTTGCCGATTGCAATAAAAGTCTTATGATGCATAGGTATTGGCAGTCCAAGAATAGCGCAAAAACGCGACAGCTGTTCATGCCCAATGCCTATTGCACGCGCAGCCACAACTACCTTCACATTGACAGCGAAGCTGTCGCGCGAGCTGCCGCTTCGGTAGCTCCAGTCATCACCGGCATCGGTGGGCTGTCTTTCCGGCAGAACACGCCGCGAACTATGCGCGGCAGAAACCACTGACTCAGGACACTCACTGTTATCACAGTGCAGCTCGAGGAACGAAGAGAGGCCCTTACGTTTACTTGCGGTGTCGCGAACGACGAGTCCAGCGGTGTGGCATGTTGGACAAACAGCACGGCTTACCATCGATGTCAGTGCGCCGATGTCACAAAATACTCCGCTCACAGAGCCACAAACACTCATCGTTCTTTCGCTTTCGAACTGTTCAATCTTTTTTTCTGATGCGCTGATGAACTTGATCGCGGCGTCGATTTCGTCAAAGTTCCCGCAAGCCGCCGTATCCCCGCTGCCTTGATTAGGCCTAGTGGCCCGCGGCTCGCATTCTTCTACCGCTGCTTTGCGCTTCGGTTTACGTCGACGCCCTTGGTACTTGTTCTTGCTTGCAAACTTTCGTGCTCGGAAGTCTCGCTTCTTCGAGTTATCCATGGTGAACTCGGAAAAACATAGAAACGCACGGCAAGTGCCGATCGTCGCAAGCGCTCAGCGAGCGAGGCCGATCAGATGTAGCCAATGGCGGCCTCGGTAGCGTACCATGTGACCGGTAGAGATGCGCGAAGCGGCTGCAGCTTGGCTGCAAACCGACTTGGAAACGACTGTTTTGTGAAATTCCTCACTAAAATACGAAACTAGGGGGACGCCTGTACACTAGAAGGAGCCTTGATCTACACCACCGAACAAACCCCGATGGCGGACGTCATCGTGTTGCCGAGTGGCGGATTTTCAAAAATAGCCGTCGGATGCGTGAATTCGCGACTTCGGCAGCTACCTTCACTAGCGCAGATCGATTTTTTACCACTTTCTCATTTGAATTCAGCTATGACCTTTGGGGAAATGATAGTTGAATGATCAAAAGTGATTTTAGCAGCAATATCTCAAAAGTGGAAATTTTCGCAAAAAACGCGATTTTTCGACCCGCATCTCCCCTTAACAATGTTTGGTACTGGCTTCTTAATGTTTCATGATATTAGTGCTGGTGTATGAGTCCAGACAACATGGACCGGACAGTTAATTTTTGTTAACATACTTGGTTTCGGTTAATATATAAAAAAAATGTTCATTGGTAATAACTTCTGACATACCTTCCTCAAGTATCTGGGTGACGTTTCTCAACAGTTCACACCGTTCGTAGAAACATGCGACAAACCAGCAGTCCAGGGTTTAGTATGCACGTGTTCTTTGTTTTTGGCACTGGGGAGTTTTCGGGGCCCCAATCGTGTTGGGGCCCGAGAGATATAGCGTCAAGGCCACTGTGCATGCATGAGACCCAAACAAGGTTTAAGTTTTGCATTGAGAACGCTATTTCTCGAATTTTGCGGGAGCCTCAAAGCCTGCCCTAAAAGCTATGTGTCAGACAAACGTGACGGCACCTAGAACAGGAGGAGTGTCTAAAGCACCGCTCACCCTTTTCGAAAACTCTTAGCTCCTGCTTGGCCCAAAGCGAGCACACGCAATGTGCCTTGGGGCGCTAAACTTACAGGGCTCCTATTCGTAAACTCCTAACTGACTTTGCAGCGAAATAGTGGAAGGCTTGTTGATCATATTACTGAACTTTAGCTCCTCTTTCTCATTCACTTTCTGTTAATTTGCTAAGTTGTCTCTGTGCACAAACTGCAGGTCCAGGCCATTCCACCATGTGCGCATGCAAGAAAGTGGAGGAGGTGGTGGCGGCAATGTGGAAATTAGCAATCCCATCTATCTTCGTGGTGACTGTGAGGACGATGCTGCGGAAGCTCTGAATGCTTCCTTTACTCTCGACCCGGACAAGGTGAGGCTGGGTGCTCTCAAAGAAACGGGACTTGAACCCTTAAACAATTTACCATGAAACTGCAGGAATGGTATGTAGTGACCAGAGAAATTTATGATGGGTGGAGCCCACCAGCACACACACACACACAAAAAAAAAAAAAGAAGAAAGGAAGGAAGCTGATTTCGGCTTGGTGTTGGGAGCAATGACAGGCGTAGGCATTTTATGATATGCTGCACATGATTGGGACCAAGTGTCAACTCCCTCCTCTAGGCCTGGGCAGTCTTTTTACTTGAAGTGTTATTCCTTAGTGATGAAAATGCACCTACACATTTCTTTACGCTGAGCAGTTATTTTCACATCAGAGGCTTTTAGCTTACACATTTTTGCATTACCATATTGCCGGAGTACTGGATTGCTGTTATCAGGTTACCAGAATGTATGTTTTAGCAAAGTTCTAGCTCCTCGTATGTAAACATTTATGTACGTAAGTAAATGTATACTAAAAGAACTTGTTGGGCTAGTTGGTACATTTCTAAAAATTAATTTGAGCGCGAACACACGATGCAATCACTCACACACACACTCAGGCATCAAACACGCACAGCGCTCACTTCCAACTGATTTATTCATAGCTTGTAGGCTTGAATATATATTGTACCGAAGCATAGTGGCGCCAGCTCTGTGCCAGTGTGAAAGAAGACGTTGACGTCCGTGTGTGGCTCGTGCTTGCCGGGTTCCTGCCTGTACCAGCTTGTTGCGGCTAACGTTTCTGGAATAATAACCTGTGTTTTTAGCAACCTAGCTCGTTGCATTTGGTGGAAACGTGCTGGGTAACGTCCTGGAGCTCCGCAGCCGTAAGCTACCATCTCAATACATATGACACATGTGTGCACTAACATCATAAAAGACCAACAGCATACATTATCACTCCATGTAGTTTATCAATTTCAGAGCCTTAATCCGATAAGTGAACATTGGCCAAACCAAATGATGTATTAATGACCGGTTAAGGGAACACGCTCAAAAATTAACAAAACGAGATGACAAGTATGCACACCTGGTTGTGCATGTCATCTCGTGTGGTTGTGATGCATGATTCTCCGAGACAAAGATTCTAGGCAGAAGCACAAGTAAAACTGCACGTGAAGTGTTCAGGCCTTTTTCATTGAAAAAAAAATAAAGATCACTTGTGTAAGCGCCCTTTGCTATCATTGTTACCAAGCGAATTCCAGTTTATCGAGTTTAGGCTCTGAAATTGATAAACTGTATGTATTGATAATGTATGCTGTTAGCCTTCTACACATGTGGCGAGTGCGCACATGTGTCCTATGGATATGTTCAAGCCTTCGAGCTATGAATAAATCAGTTGGAGCTTAGCGCTGTGCGTGTTTGGCGCCTGGGTGTGTGTGTGTGTGAGTGATTGCGTCGTGTGTTTGCGCTTGAATTAATTTTTTGTAAATGTATACCTTTACATTTTTGCAGACTACTAAATGGTGGTGGTAACTGCATTGACAGTATATTTATATAAAATCGAATCAGTGCTGTGGCAAAATTATAAGAGATGTCTTTAGCGTGTACCTTATCCCGGTACAGTGTAGACCATTTATAATGTATCTGCCTATAGGGCAGAACCGGTTACAATGCGGTCTTTTTCGACTCCCGTTTACTTTCCCATAGATCCTCATGTACAGTCCCCTAAGATGAAAGACTGGTTATAATGCCGTTGCCAGAAAATCTTTGTGACAAATGCTGTAGAGAGTGCACGTCGGAAAGCAGGCGCGCTGGGCGCGCTGCTGGGGAGTGAGCGACGAGGTCGTTGTGGAGGAGGGGAAGACATGAAGTGAACGAACAAAGAGCGGAGAGAAGAAAAGGAAAAGAAGACCCCGGCATGCTGCGCGGGCTCGCCGTCCTTGCACCGACACAAATGCGTCTACCGTGTATGTGCCGCTGGCATGGCTCCGGCCATGCGCGGATCAACAGGGCACATGCAATATCGTCCTTATCAACTACGCTTAACAGTTATCTGTCAAGAAAAGCGTCGTCGTTATTGAGCTTTTTGCAGATATCACATTTGCTACCTCGTCCGTAAATTTAAGAACTTTTATGTTTTATGATGCATTTTGCATTTGCTGCCAGTGTAGGTGTACAAAACTCGCCAAGCATCTTACGTATGCTTGGCGAGTTTTCGTCATTGTTGACCTCCCGGCCGCGAATGAGAGCTTTGCATCACGCATGCTGTTCTTGGTTCCGTGCGTGAGTGCGATCTTTTCGATGGCGGATCTTCATGTCTAGGACAAACTTCTCGCGACAACACACCGAAGGGTAGGCTAGGCCTAATCGACGTTCGATGCGTTTCAGTAATCGTCACGTGTCATTTATAAGTTGCAATTTGGTACGGAATCAAGGAAACTCTTTGCGTTGGCTGCACTTGACAGGAAGGGATACATATTGTTAATAAAACAAGGATGGCACACGTAGCGCTCGAATGGTGATCGCTCGCGATTTGATTGCGATGTCGTGAAATCGGATGCACACCTGTGAAATCGAATGTTGGCGTCTTTCAGCGCAGTGAAATTCCAGATGTGATTCGGCACAGTTTCTGTGTAATGCACATAATCGAGGCGGTCTGAGAAGTAGGTGGCACATTTCCGTGATGGGGCTTTCTTTTGTTAGACCTCCCCCCCCCCCTTTTTTTTGTGTGTTCATTTCTTTAGCAACACGTGTCTTCGAATGTTATTTTTACTTTCCTTTTTTTGGAAATTTAAATCGGTTGTAAGCAATACGGCATTGCATGCTTCGATCCTCGGACACGCGAGGATTCATGCTCAATGCGTTTTGTTCAATTGTAGGCCCTTTAAAGTAAGGTTTTTTCGTTACAGTGCGTTATCACTTATAGTGTGGATATTCACAACTCCCGCAACTTAGGTTATAAGTGGTCTATACTGCTATATGCAAAGGGGTGTAGAAATACCGGGTTACCAGACAATGGCGTCGACATCTTGTGACGCTTCATGCAACCACAGTCATGGACATGCCTATTTTTGCATACTGTTTTTGAAACAAAAAATGATTAAAAAGCAATGAGCTCGTAATTATGCTGCAAGGCATTTACATCAGAAGTAGAATGCTTGATGTTTCTACAGTAACAATTTTGTGCTTGCCTGGCTCATTTCGACATCACTAGATGGCGCTGTTTATCTGGCCTGTCAGGGGCATTAGGCCTCTCACGTTTATGGCTTCGGTATTCTAGGTCACTCTCACATCACTAATCCATCTGATAAAAGGGGACCATAATTTGGGCTCACTTACTTTGATTCTGCGGCTTGAGTCTTCACTAATTTTTACTTGATTTATTTGGCTCGGCAGTTGGAGTCTTTGTTAAGACTTGGATATCGCGAGTATCCACGTACAAAGGTGAATTTGTGAAATAGGGTCATAAACGTAAAGTCTATTCGCCAGGTAGTTACAGTCTGTAAAAGTTTAGTTCCATGAATGCTTGCACAGATTCTTTCAGGTATCCGCTAAGACGATTACATGAAGAAGTATACGTACACGCTAAAAAGCTCCTGTAAAGTTATTAAACCTCGTTGTAACAATGTTGAAGGTATGGCCAAATAGATTATTTCATAAAATGCTACTTTGTTATATTTATTACTGCTATTTACTGCAATATATGCAAATTAGGGTGCTAAAAGTGACAGTGTTGCAACACCTTCATGTGTAGTTTGCTTTTTTTATGTGCGTATTAATGTTGGTGTACAACACCGTCATTACGCTTTAATTAAGGGGTCCTGAACCACCCTTGGTGAAAAAAACAACAACAAATACAGCGGAAAGCATACACTGCTGTGAACAGCTAAACCGAATTGTCGTCATGCGTGTAAAGTAGAGTTCACATGCAGATTGTGAAGTTGCTGCTTCCACAAGCACCCTCTTTTTGTACAGGGGCCTGAGCTCACTCTTTTTAGAGCTTCTAGCACCTGGTGTTCGACGCCAAACAAGCTTTCGGCCTATAGCCAACATAAACCAAGAGCGACGTTTGCACCAGATGCACTTCTTGCCGTGACGTGCTTCCACATGCTTTAGTAACACTAGCAGTGCATCGAAATCACATCTGGAGAGAGCGATAGCATGAAATAGTTTCTTTCCCACATGTCATCCCTCCCTGTGTAGCTTCCAGCTTGCCTGTCGAGACAAAAAAGAGAAAACGCTGACAGCATGGAACAAATTCTTGCAAATAAGTTCGTACTTTATGGTTTCAAAAAAAAAACTTTTGCGGTGGTCAATTCGTAAGGCAATGAACTTCGATATTAATGTCATCCGATGATTACCTTGAAAAGTGGTTCAATACTTCCTGAAGGCATTAATTGGCATGTGCTAGTTCTTATCACCCTCCACCATAGCCTTTATGACAGCTGCCTTCTTTTCCCACTTGATGGACCTTCGCCTCTGCTTTTCCGCACGGTTTGACTGTATATGTTATAGCAACGTTCATATATTTGTGTTCCTTGTTTCCTAGGCCACGAACTTCAGCAATCCAGTGTATGATTCACTGTATGCTGACAGCAATGGAACCGGCGAAGAAAAGAAGGGGCTACTGCAGGGAGAGCCGCAAGTGGACTTCTTTGACGGCCAGAACTCTACGGGCCCCTGCAACGATCACCCACTCGCCTAACAGTCATTGATCTTCACAAGAGGCTGCAGCATTGCAGCGATACGGCACCACATCACGACAGTTGCGCAGCAAAACTTCGGATACAGGCGAAAGGCTGCCCTGGAAGGAAATTCCCGGTTCTCACCATTTCGCAACCAAAGGACCAGCTCAAGGTGTCGCAAGTGCATCTACTACTCGAGCGTGAGGAGTGAGGTGCTACCGTATCCCTCCTTCAGCATCTCACAACTTGTCATCAGCTTTCAGTTTACGCAATTGTGTAACTACCGGCAAGTCTATTTGTGCCGAACTTGTCACTGCAGGTGGTACGTGCGTGTTGGTCGAGAGGACAGTCAAAGATGGTCTCTTCTCCTATTTTTTTACTTTATATGAGGTCACAGAGTCACCTGATGCATACATGCCATTTGTCATTCGCACACAAGAAGTTTCAAGGAGAACTTTGTAGTTTGTTGTGCCCTCTGTTTCCTTTTTCTCCTGCACTCTGTTGCACGTGCCAAGTGTCCTGTATTTTTCCATCCTCAATCGTTTCACATATTGGCTTGCTGTAAAAGTGGGCAAGATTTGCATTTCACCGGTATAATACTACTTTATCGAAGGGTCGCCCCACCACTGACAATTCTTACAGATGCATTTACGTGCGTAGTACATAGTTTTGCTCTTGTTATGTGACGCGAATCATTACTCTCAGCAAGGGTAATTACGCCGGCAAAGTGAAGCATGAGAATGAAGTGGCATGTCTTTCTACAACGGTCACATGGACAGCCTTTTTTTTTTTTCTTTTTTTGTGGTACATACTCTAGCTGCATACTCTCCCAGGGAAAAATAGCATTTGCCGAGGAACAGTCTTGAACATGGTAGCTTGAAGTGCTAGTCACATACATTGTCTGTATATCTGTCTGCCTTTCTGAACGTTATGCATTTTGTAGTCTTTCATTTTTTTTTTTTCAGCTCTTGGTTTTCACGCTGTAAATGTTCTTTCACTACTTAAATAGGAAGTCACTTTGCTTTTGGGACCTTGAGCAATGAATATTGCCCTGCCATTTACGCATGCCATTTTTTTAACTTTTGGCACACATTAATACTAATGAGAGGCAGCTAAACATTTTTAATTAAAAACACTTTTATGTTATGCATCGAATGAAGTTTGCTGTTCAAGTGAACAAGGTAGCAAGCCCAAATTTTGAGTAAGTTTGCCCATCGGGGCTTGCGTGTGCACCTAATGAGAGAAGTTGCCCCCCGCGCCTGTAGCTATGCTGACTTAGGCCGCTTGTTTTAGGGTCGTTTTAATTTTATTTTTTAGTAGTCTTTTTGGAAAAAATGAGGGTCTTTTTGTTGCGGCTAGTAGCTTATTAATTTACTACAGCATGAGATTGTCCTGCATCGCAGAGGTATTGACTTGCTGATACAATCATATATCGTTTTTTTTTTTCTTGTACAATTGGTTTTACTTGCCCTGCCATGGTACTGCTGTGCACTGAGACAGCAGAGTGCGTCCCCTCCAGCAGCAGCTGTGAAAAAATAATCACACTGCCGAGGGAACGTCTTGTGGATTTGTCCAGGGAACCCGTGCCAAAGAAACAGCCCTTATTAAGCTGAGTGCGACTTTGTGCTGTCATTTAGTGGGACGTAGACAGTTGAAGTGCATGTGTGTAGCCATTACTTTCCAGGCAGCTTTTTTACTCCACCAATTGACACTTACTTGCCCTCTGGCTTCTTCACCTGATATTAAGCATTATAAATGTTGTACATAGTAGCTCACTTATGGAGGTCTCATGGTACTTGTAGCAATAGTGTGTCAATCAAGACAGAAATATTCCATATCTTCCCAAGAGTTTCTATTATCTTTTTGTTTCAGTTGGACTCTGTTTTGTTTCCACAAGTTTACGAGCCTGTGTATGTACATTTTAACACTATGCTTTGTGCAAGTTGTCAGTGTTTTCATATAAGTAGTGGGGATGTGGCTGTGCCGATTTTCTGTCCAGTGGCTCACTGATAAGCATGGCAGTTGTGAGCTGTGAACAAGGTCTTTTGCAACTACATATTGCTCAAGATGTGCTTAAAGAAAAAAATTATAATAATAAAACCCTGTTGCACTTGTAAAATATAGCACTACGTCAATTGACAGATGACAGTTCTTCCATTCTCATTCTTGCTCCCAATCTGCTAATCACTAGTCACAGGTTTCAGCGACACTGCAAACCTAACTGGTGCAGAAAAAGTCTACCCAGCCACTCTTTCCGCTATTGCCGGTGAGCACGGGTTCTGAGGCCTGCTCTGAGGATGAGTGACTTGAATGCATTTTAATCAGTACTGGTTGTAAATGAAACTTTCTTTTAGCTTGTGGGGTTGAGCAGCTCAATTTTGTAGTTGTTTTTTGCAATCTGTATTGTTGTGTTGTGATACTGTAGGTGTACAAAAGAATAAATGTGATGATAATTGCTGCAGCGAAGTGGTGTTTGTCTTGTCTTCTCGTGCTTCTTGCACATGGACATGGAACACTTTGGTATTTGGCAGCTGACAATGTGCGAGGTTTGATAATGTGGCATCTGTGAAAAAAAAAGTGGGCTATAATGAGAATATTCAAGTTTAGATGTCGATCTTGTTCGCCTTCCATATACAGGCAAGCATATTCTCCCTTCCCTTCTGCATGTAAAAGTAAACTTCATTGAGAGGAGGGATTAGTAATTCAAGGAGGTTAGTCTGAAAATAAATATTTAGTTTGCTACCCTGCAATAGGGGAGGAGTGAGGGGAGACCAGAAAGAAAGGAAGATAAGAATGAGAGTAGGAGGGAAATAAGCAAAAGCACGTACACAGATAAGTGTCACTATCGTTGAACAAGGCAAGTGGCTCACCGAAACTTCAGCCATGCCTTCCGATCTTTACAGCTTTTCAAGATCGATTGCTCAAAAAGCGGCCGTATGTCAAAGTGTGGAAACGCTGCTGAGAGAGACTGCTTCTGGGGACTGTACTTGGGTCAGTGACATAGGATATATTTGATGGTTTCGTCGATGCATCACTGTGTGCCATTTGATGTCGCAAGCAAGGATTTTTGTAATGTACCACAAGTAAATGAAACCTGTCCATATGCTGGCATGATAGGGAGTGGAGGAGCTCTGATGAAGCTTTGCAATCCTGACCGGGCGCAGGCCTATAATCCTAGTTATTTTTCTGCTTCTGCATTTGGCCAAATGTGAAAGCATAGCTTAGTACGAGTATGTCGTCTAAGGAACCAAAAAGAATTGGGTCAGAATTCTTAAATCTGTAATATGTGCAGAATCTGCAGTCTGATATGTCCCCTGCTGAATTGTGGCATAAAATTATGCAAACCCACGAAATATGGTAGAGGGTCAGTGGCGAGTTGCAACACCACGAATAATCGCGCCCATACAAGGTTGGAAAATTTTTTGTGCAATCGCAGTAAATTTGGATAGACCCCGTTTGAATTCTACGGAGGTCCATCGTGTCTACCCTTTATATGAGGTTTGTACCATGCGCATCACTATGAGCAAGAAGCTCTCACAGGGTTGTCTTCCTCCTTGCAAAGGGCGTAGTGTTAAGTAATGCAAGTGAATGAATGTGGGGCACTCCTCGCTAGCTCGGACCCGGAGATGCAATTAACGAGCGCTTGTGGACCACTTCACCCAAACTCGGCTTCACTCGACCCCAAACTCTGCTTCACTGGCGGCACTAGCCAGTGAAGCCGAGTTCGGGGAGGAAGGGGGCACCCCTTTGAAATGATAATTTTTCGCTCTCGGTGCCATGGTGGGGGCGGGCACTGTGTGCTAGCCCCTGGCTACGCCCCTGCTTTCCATCGATAAAAGTTTTTCTTCTTCCCTTTCATTAACACATTTTGATCAACATGCTACTTCGTTGCAGTGTCACATACGATTTTGAAAGTTTCACGTCTCTAGTTGGTAACATCTTAACTTCAGCGCTAGGAAAGTTCGGGCGAATAGTTTGCTTCAGAATACTGAAATAGTACACATACTTTTAACTGAAGCAGTATTTGTTTCGCTTCATATAAAGTAGTGTGCCCGCGGTAATGCACTAACTCTTCACGGCCGCTGGTAGTTGGAAGGCCTCGTTGCCAAAGCAGCGAACACCCAGTTATACGGGACGTACATCAACGGCCGCCTGCTTCGCGTGTGGCATTTACCTTGCTGCGCGCGCGCACAATTTGATCAGTTAGATATAAACTGGTTCACACTTGCGCTTACAAGGCTATTGGCGAAGCTCAGTAGAGCGGCCGGCTTGGAATTTCTTTAGTTTACACGCAACGCTGTGTTGCATTAGCGAAGCTTAACATCTGCAAGCACTTGAACCATAAATGTACGAATCAGCTCGATTTCAAACACACCCAGCAGCAGCAGTGTAGTTCTTATCAAACCATTGGGATTCGCTTAGGAAAAGCGTCGACGGCGTGGATGTAAACTGCTTGATAGCGGTATCGCTGCCGGTCGCTAGAGACGCGCAAGAGAGGTTGCTTAGTTACGCTTTTTAGTACTGATAACATTGCACGTTTTTCCTGAGCTACTCCAATCCAAAAACGAGTGTGAAACGTTATTTTCAGTCGCATCTCCTTCCGACTGATGTACACCCCACTTCACGAAACAGTAGCAGTAGTGAAATGCGAGATGGAAATGCCAAAATCGCTCACTCGTCGCGGTAGAGCGCAGCCCACGTGACCCACTTCGGGTGTCAAAATGGCCGACGACTGGGGTGAGTTCATGCGGCACATTGCGCACATTTCGTGCCCATGCGTGCTGGTTAAGTGCTGAAACTTCGCCACCGCGTCGGTGCTGACGCTGCCTAATGCGTTATCGTTGCAGAGAAGGAAGACTATGAGCCTCCTTCCTTCGCCAAAAAGCCGGCTGTCGGTGACAGATGGGAGGGCGAAGACGAGGAAGACGTAAAGGCACGTATTCGGCCCTTTCTGGTCGCCGCGGATCATATATTTAACTTCAGATTAGCTCAAGTTTGCTCAAAAGTTGCTGCGAAACTCAGGTGACATGTGCGCCCATAACTGAAGCAGCGGTTCTGAATGTCTGGCTCTCGATCGCTTGCCCGCAGCTTACGACGTCAACACGGTGCCATGCCTGAGATCCGAGCGGACACATGGTAACGGCTCTCCAGCTGTACTTGAAGTGTATACTGCGCGTGTCTCGTATTTGGTGTTATTGCTTCTGTGAGGCACGAAAGATCGCCCGCACTGCTGCCATGTAGGCGTGGTGTAAAGTCCGCTTAATGCGTGCAATCCCGCGCAATTATGCAGTGTGCTGAGCGCGAAATATACTGCGATCGTGTATCTTTAAGTCATGAAATTGTGCGAGATTTCTGTGAATGCCCTAACAGTGTGATGGCGGTCGCCCGTATAGATTATAAATCGGCTGCCAGGTGTGAGTGAAATGTGTTGCTATAGCGCCACTGCCCTGCGGGCAGATGCAAGTGTGCTGACGGCATTTCAACTGCTTTCAGGATAACTGGGACGATGAGGACGAGGAGAAAGAGGCGACTCCTCCCGCCGAAGGTCAGTAATGACATGTTTACAGCATTCATTCGCGCAAAATTACGCAACACGTGCCAACCCCGTTCTTTGGCTCCTTTTCTCATTTAGGGCACTGCGCAGTTCACGATGAATGAATGGATAATTTATTTCACTTGGGAAGTGGCGGGGAAATTCGTGCTTACTGAGGGGCGCTGTGTGAAGCGAATTTTGGTTTTGTAGAAACCAGATAATTGTATTTCGACATCTCGCATTTTACCCCGCGACACACGTCACAGAACAGAAACAGCAATTGGTCCGATGTCGTTCACACTGGATTTAATGCATTGTTTGCATATCACTTCCGTAATTCAGTCTCTGCTTGCTGGATGACTGTTATAAAAAATAACTACAGCTGTGTACCACATTCGTAGCTATTTGTAAATGCTTTGGCACCGGTGGCAGTACTGTAAAAGAATTTAGAAAAACAAGTACTGAGAAGACATACACCGTAACTTTTCATACTTCAACAGTTTTTCTCTGTTTTCATGTATGATGTCAAAGCAACACGCCTAACTGAATAAGCTGGTTGTAATACTGTGCAGAAATTGGCATAGATGAAGGCCAGTTTTGAGCTGCCTCTTTAATGTGTGCATGTGACAGAATTCTTACAAATGTACCTGTGCATGCGATGCAGCCTCATTAACAGCAGTTGCTCCCAAGAAAAAGAAGCCCCTGAGTCAGATCATTCAGGAGAAAGAGGAGCGGAGACGGCGGGAAGCCGAGGAGAAGCGGGCACGCGAAGAACAGCAGCGAGCCGCCCTGACACCAGAGGAGGAGCAAGCTGAGAAGCTGAGGCGTCAGCGCATGCAAGAGGAAGCTGACCTGCAGCTAGCCAAGGAAGCCTTTGGTGGGTATCTTTAGATCTGTGGGGGTTCGCCCTTTGCAGCAGATACCACTGCACCAAAAACATGTAAAGAACCAACTTACAATTGTGTTGTAACGCACTCCTCAAGTATTCAGCGCTTGTACGGCGTTGAAGTGTGAAAGCTATGTAACATGGCTTAACTGCCAAATATTGTACAATACTCCTGAAACTTCTCAATAAGACTGTACATCTCTTATAAATTGGATTATCATTATTATCATTATTATTATAATTAATATTATTGCAATTGTTCAAGGAGCTGTCGTATGCCCAGTTTGTAGTGGTGAGATGTAGATGGCGACTGCAAGGACTGTGGCATGCCTTTGATGATGAAGAGAAAGCTTCAACTTTGAGAGTCATGTCTAAGTGCACATGGGTACATTGATAGTAGCATTGTTTTTCTCAGTGACCACAGCACCGAACATGATGTGATCTTATAAGTAGGGATTGTAAGAAGTGTGCTTATTATTGTGCTACTCATCATTAAAAGTTGATGTTAAAAACATCTTGGAAAACAAACATAAATTTCACCACTGAGTACATAAGTGTCATGTTGGCATGACTACCAATGCCAAATTGTCTCTAAATTTATTGATATAAGGACAGAATAGTGACTTCACTAATAATGTGAGATGTTTCATAACAGCTGAATCCCAATCATGAACAAGTCTCGCTTATCGTTTTCCCAACTTTTCTAAAGTATACAAGCGGGTACTCTGACCACATTTGTACAGGGAAGTTGCTGAAGTAGTTAGTCGTCAACTGACCTGCTGCCGAAAAAAAGAACCAATATAAATGTAGTAATAATCTTCATAATCTGTTGATTAGTAATTAACAGCTTTTTCTCCTGAATAAGTCTGTTTGCCAGAGTACTAGCTGTGTTATGTGTATTTCCTTGTGTTGAAGAGACATTAGTGGGAAATAACAAGGGAAGCTACACTGATAGATTTATACTTGAGGATGTTCAAGGTGTGAGTGTTATCAGTACTGCTTTAGTGAAAAGGGTAAAATATGAATGTCGCCCATTTTCAGTGAGAT